GTGGGATGAAATAATGGCTTCCTGTGTCTCTCACTACCAGTATTGGGCGGTAAGATGTTAGCTGAATTGCCTTGATTGATGACTTATCTGTTCTAGCTTAATGTTGAGGATGATGCTTTGGTTCTTCCAGAGAAGTTAAAAAACACTTCGACTCCACCACTTATGGGACTGAGGTGGATTAAAGAACACATGGAAGCATTGATGGAGGAGCAAGATCATGGCATCAAAGCCAAGATGGCAGAGGTGAAGATGTACACTGACATGTTAGAGAAATTGAGGAAAGGCAAAGGAGTGTAGTCCCATTCAGTCTTCATTGTATACAAGATGTAAAATATTCTATGCATTCAAAAATCTCGCATCCGAGTCCCGGAAGCCCAGGTCCCGAGTCCCGAATTTCGGAGTTTGGAGTTCGGCGACCCGGAGCTCGGCAACTGTGTTGGGTGTCAGGGTATCGGGAGCATTGGAGATCGCATGTGTCAGTATTTTGCGTTTCATGGTTCATGTTTGGTGATTATGGAATCGGGCGTCAGGGACTCGGTATTCAGAACAGTGTCGAGTCCCAAGTCACGAGCTCCGAGTCCCGAGTCCCAAAACCCACCGTGCGGGACTCGGGACTCGGAGCTTGTGACTGGGGACTCGACACTGTTCTGAATACCGAGTCCCTGACGCCCGATTCCATAATCACCAAACATGAACCATGAAACGCAAAATACTGACACATGCGATCTCCAATGCTCCCGATACCCTGACACCCAACACAGTTGCCGAGCTCCGGGTCGCCGAACTCCAAACTCTGAAATTCGGGACTCGGGACCTGGGCTTCCGGGACTCAGTATTCAGAACAGTGTCGAGTCCCAAGTCCACAATGTCGTGGTTCAGGGTTCTGTCAAATGTGTATGGCAATCACAAATGTTAATTCAAGCATATTTATACATCTTCTCCCAGTCTCAAATATCAAGTGTGGAGTTCCGTGTTTCAGGACTCAGTACCCCAGCACTCGGGACTCCCATATTTCAAGTCCCGAGTTCCAATTATCGAATACCGAGGCTCACATCCAAATTATTCAGTCCCATATATCACTTCACAAATGCTCAAAATTGAGTATTGAGGTCCGGATAACTATTGGTACATGGTATTCATTTGTTGGAATGTATATAGGTCACAATGCTTGCTCTTTGTTTGATCTTTCACACACTGTATGGACCATCCACACTAGCCCATCCACATGATGGAACACCAGCGTAAATGTGAACAGAATCCCTCATATACCATGCCCAAGCAATCTGATCCCCTTCCACATCATAAACTCCATGTCTCACAATCCTTCCGGAAAACACAATCATACAGCCGGAATTGTACTTGAACTCCAGCTGAAGGCTTGGCATTGTCATCCGAGCATCAGAATAGTTCCCCACAGTGGTGAGAATGTCGAAGCATTCAGCAATAGACAAATGGTCTCGATGATTGGGGGTTTCCCAATTGGAAATGATAGAGAGGGTGTTAAACACGGATGCCCAGTACTGCAGGGCCTCCGGCATCTGTGGCAGATCCTTGCTTACTGCTATATGTCCGAGGTTGGACAAGGTTCGCAACCCTGCCCAGTACTGCTCAGGATGCATGACCCTGAGTGCCGCAGACATGATGGCTGCTGGCCTTGCAATGGCTTTGAGGATATTCTCGCAGGAAGGTCCCTTCAATGATGCAGATACCTCCGGATCAGACACAGTCTTTGGGATTGGTGAGTATGACTGCCAGAATCACCATCTCATGGGATCCTACCTTGTGTCCCTGTTGAAACCATGCTGGAGATAAATTGATACATCCGGGAGTTGCGCCAACATTGTCCGAGCCCCGTTTGAACCACTTTTGATTAGTTTGCCAAATGCCATCAGCCCTTACACTTTTTTCGAGGCTTGGAGCGAGCAAATTGGTGGCCTCCCTGATTTCCTTCTGTAGGTTCCATTTGATATTCAATATCCATTGAGTAGCAATGTATATTACACACCTGGGTGGTGTCAGTCAGGGCGTCTGGGAGGTACCATGCGATGATGGCACCGGATGCATTGAGAATTGTGGCAGGTTCGTCGACCAACCTTTTGCCTTCATGGCCAGGAGGACACCTCTCAAGCAACCTCACCTCTCTTTGTTCATTATGCCCGGTGTCCTTTGGGGAGATCAATTTGCTATATCTTGCAATATCCATCTGCATCTGAACTGTCATGCAGGAATTTGAATGATAAAACGAATTTTCCGAATCTGCAGGAAGACCCACTGGGATTTTTATATGCCTTTATGAGTACATCAGCCAAGCGATCGCACGCCATCACCAGATCAGTGTCTGGGTTGGGGGAAGGTATGACTGGGCCTCCTCCAGTCTTCTCTGCCTTGAATTTCTGTTCGGTATATTCCCCTGCTTCATAAGTCACAGTCAGGGCCCAAGTGCGCCAGATGTTTATGCTATCAGGAGTGGAAGGGGAAGAACCGTTCATGCTGGATGTCTGGACTTTGGTGTTAAAGGGGGTGGATATAGAGAGGATCAGATAAGGGAGCCTGGGATAATTTTGGCTGTCAAAGATGTATTATTATCCATTGCTCAATGAAATACTACCTGATTAAAGATATTCATTTGTCGACTCCCGGGTCCCGGAACTCGGAAGTCGGTATGGTTGACCCAAATTTGGGTGGTCGGAACTTGGCGTCTCATAGGGCAACACAAGCTTTGCACCGCCATGTCAGGAGATCACCTGCTGCTCCGGGAACTTGGTAACTTTGATTTATTACCTCCTCTGAGTATGGTTGACTCACATTTTGGTGGTCGGAACTTGGCTTCTTGTAGGGCAACACAAGCTTCGCACCCCGGATTCCACATTCTGCAAGACAACCTACGCACCATCAAAGGCCATGTCAAGAGAGCACCTGCTGCTCTCTTCAGAAACATCTCAACTTCGGTTGGCCATTTAACACAGAAAGTATTAACTAAATTATGTGTTGAGTTCCAGGTCCCGGAACTCGGAACTCGGTACAGTTGACTCAAATTCTGGTGGTCGGAACTTGGCTTCTTGTAGGGCAACACAAGCTTCGCACCCCGGATTCCACATTCTGCAAGACAACGTGTGTACCATCAAAGGCCATGTCAGGAGATCACCTGCTGCTCCGGGAACTTGGTAACTTTGATCTATTACCTCCTCTGATTTGGTTGATGTACAACTACCTCAGCTCCATCATGTCTACAATTATGATACACATGGGCCCACCCATCTATATTCTATACCACCCTCGGCCCACCCGTCTAATACAACATCCCATACAACACCCTTGGCCCACCCGTCTAATACAATATTTTATAATACCCTCGGCCCACCCGTCTAATTTAATATGTGTCTGGGCCCACCCATGAATGTGATAACAAGTACCTACCCATCTATCTCATACACATCTACCTTAATACACCCATCTGCATAATATCCAACTACCTCGGCCCACCCGTCTACCTAATATTCATGTACATCGGCCCACTCATCTACTCTATATATTCCCTACATGGGCCCACCCGCCTCCATCGGGAATAATTTGCCTCCCGGCCCATCCATCACAGTCGAGGATATTTTTATCATGGGCCCATGGTCCGCTGGCCCATATCATATGGGATATTATGCACATCCATTCCCTCATATTATATGGAGATAGGTCACTGTAATATGTGCTTCCCTCATGCGCTACCATCTCCCTTGAATTCTAAAGCCAAGAAAATATGGTCTACTCGAGACTCCCCCAACAACCCTTTCCTTACCGGCAAGTATGAAGCCAATGCAAGTGGCTGTGAGAGCAGTGATGATGGATGGGCTGTTGGAGAAGCCCCGGGGTGTGAAAGCACGCTAACTCCAGCACCAGAGTTTGAGGAGAAGCCGACAATAAACTATGTCTGGTGCGTTGTAGGTTTACAACTCGGAGTGGTGCTATAGGCTCCAAACTGATATCTTTATGTTGTAGGTCGTGCACTGCCTATCTGCTATACTTGTGGGACAAGTGCGTTCGACCCTAAAGGGGAAGCTAGTGCAGCAAAGGTCTAGAAATGGATGCAGAAGGTGCTGCTTGTCGGCCGATGCGAAGCGCAGGAATATAGCGGCGGCTGAAGGCGTGGGAAAGACATGGCTGCGAAGCGGCCGATGCGCGAGGGTTTCGGATGGTAATAGAGATGAAGGACAATAGGAATAGATGTAGAGCAAGGTGATAACTGATACAATGTGAACGGTAGACAGATACTGATTGCCAATAACTACCAACTGTAGGCTAATGGGAGTTGTTACTGGAACGTCCGGAAAACAAGCTCCTGAATGATATGTACTGCTAATGCTTAAGTATTGCGCTAAGCGCTGTCATGCGTAACCAAGCCGATGCGCTACCAAGCCGACGTGCTACCGAGCTATGTATGTAAAGCTATATGTAATACAGGTGGTCCGATGCGAAAATGGTCTGATATGTAAATATAATCATGAAACAACGTACCATTGGGTTGGTTTTGGACTATGGATGGGTGCGGAACGTCGGCCAATGAAGTGCAAGAAAAGCGGCCGCTATGCGCAACTCGCGGGAAAGCTGCGCTTCATGTAGGCAACTAATAGGCTGCTGAGGGATACCACAAAAATAGCCTCTACAAGGCTACAAGGACTCCAAGTCCTACACCGTACCTGCTGACTCAAAGTGGGTGAAGGTTTTCTTGTCTACCACGCTTCTCTGGGCTGGAAGTCAACCTAATCCATGGGAAATACCTGAGTCTGTGATGGCAGACGCACTGCAGGAGATTTTTGATACAGTCTACCCTGATGTCAAATACAAGGTAAATACAAACGGTGCAGTATTTGCAGTAGTAAGTTCGTTTAATACATTTTGTGCTGCATCTTTCATACACTGTTTTAGGCGCAACAGCGACTCTCGGAGTGGAGGAGTAACATTGGTTCCACAGCACTTGCCATCATCGTCGATTTTTGCTCGCACATCACGGATGCACCAAACACCGACATTGCCAAGTGATTCCTCCAGAATTATGCCTTCATGTATGAAGACCCAGACAATATATCACGGGACACAGCCTACCTATCAGTGTTTGTACTGCGAATGATCGCATCCACTCATCTTAGCGCCATCGTCAATCATGCTGATGTCCCTGCATTATATACTGATGAGCTTGCCTTGGGTAAAGGCATGGACGGTGTCATCGTGCTTTGTGTTGTTGTGGTGAGATTTTTTATCTGAAATTTGCTTTTCTGATTGTTTCTAGCTTGAACGTGCCCTCAAGTTCATTAAAGACAAAGTCATCAAGGTCGAAGACATCCTCGCATCCATGACAACTGGCAAGTCTGGCATCAAACTCCCAAAAACGCTCAACAAGGTGACAGGGAAGATGTCGAGCGGAAATTATAAATTTTCATTCGCGAATTGGCACGAAGAGACGGAGTCGTACATGAAATCAATCAGTAGCAGGGATGAGGAAACAAAACTCAACATTATTGTGCGCACACGAAAGCTTATGAAGAAGACATTGAACACGGACTTTTCGGACGATGACGTGGAGGAGAGTATCAACAACTGTGCCCTCATTTGTAACATTAGTTTCTTCCCGCACCATCAACATCACTGACCTCTTTTCTTATCTCAACAGAATACTATATTGTCATGGTGGTGCTATATTCAAGTTGTGATGCACCTACATGTCAGCACCACAGCATTCGTACCATTCAAGGTTCAACCGCCACCACCTTCCTTCGTATTGCCCTTCATCACAGTATTCAAGTTGAAGTTTCGCTCACTCACAATTTCGACCACTTTGTCTAACAATATTCACTCGTTTTATAAATCCTATTAATTGACTTTTTGTGGTGTTTCATTACTTCGCTTATCGTACTGTTTGGATCCAATTGTTACGCACTCAAATAGATCTGTTATGCGGAGCCCTAAGAGGGGCGTCGTCCGCTAATGTTCGTGACGTAACCGGAAGGATCCGGTATGGCAAGTGAGACTGGCGACGACGAGTCAGCAGTGATCACAGTACGTGCGTGTCACATGACTTCTAAGACGGGTGTCTAAGAAGTCGCTCAAGGTAAGGACAGTCTTGTCCGAACGATGAGGTCGATTGAGGTAGACTTAGTCGCGATGAGCAACTAAGAAAAGATACTAGAGACTGAAGCCAAAGGGGTGTTCAGAGGGAAGTATGTTCCAGGGAAGATTGAGTAGATTCAAGTTAGAGAATCTAGTACAGGGTGACCGACTACTTATACTAAGTGGAGAGGGTTAAGGGCAAGGCTACCGCACAGTAGGTAAGGGTAAAGGGGAAACGAGAATGGTATAGGTGCATTGGCAACAGAGCCGGATTAGTGGTGGATGGTCGAATGCGGAGTGAGACCGAGAAACGTTGGAACGGACCAACGGTAAGAATGCAACATGTGGGAATCCGCAGTCAGAAGGGAACAGAAAGGGAAAGCCACATTGGTGGCATGAGTCAGACCGAGTCATAGGTGTGGGATCACATTGGTGGTCGAATCAACGGAGGAATGTGCATGCATGTGCATAGAGGCAGGTGATGCGAGGGACGGGAACGATCCTGAGGATCCAGTCAACAGAAAGTCGGTAAAGGAGGACAAGCCAGTAGATGGTGAGGGCGAGGACGAAGGGAAAATGATAGGGGGGCCACGTGACCGATGTTACTTGTAACACCAATGATCACTTTTTCATCTTACTACCAGAGGGATAAGTGAAATTAAGATGAAAATAAGAGATCAACTGGTCTGAATAAGTCAATGTTTACTTATCCATCGCTCCTACTTATTTGTGCTTATCAAGTCATTTAAGTACATAAAGCAAATGTGAGAATTTCCTGATGCTGGTGACGATCGTTACTGCTTTGCTTCCCCTTGCTCTACTTATAATTATACAAGAACAGGATTGCAAACTTTGGTTCTCCACACTGACTCAGAGATTACCATGTGATTTCCTGGATATTTATGGACATTCAGGTAAGTATCCAACTCAGATGAGCCTTCTTCACAGGATGATATGGCTCGTGATTTGCAACCTGAACAGGTTCTCAGTTGAACTTCTCCAACTCAGAGCACAGGAGACCAACCAACGGCAACATGCTGTATAGTACTGACCAGTGCTACATGTTCAATATCCTATAAGTAGTGACTTGAAGTGAGGTTAACTCATTTGATAAATCAGTATGAATGCTTTTCAAGAGACTCCAAGTCAAGCTGATGCCTTCTTGAAGCTGGGTGTAAGTGCGATTCCTGCTCGTGACGTGTCCTGTATCATTGATATCATGTTGTCATTCCAGTATCCTTATGGTACAGTTGTGGTCTATGATCAGTTTTCTTCAATTCAGTTTGCTTATCTTCATGGTAGTTGCACTAACAGTGCTGTGGGTGAGTGTAAAAATTACCATGATCTTTCAACAATGGCTCAGAGTCATGTTTTCACTCGAACATCCAGCTGTATGACCACATACTGTGCATACCCGATGCAGCAAGTACAATTTTCTGAGAGCCCCAGTGTATGCTGATCTGCAGTCGATGCAGATCAAGTTTATCATTGAGTCTCAATGGAAGCTTGCCATGTTTTTCTATCTAGCTTGCAGTTACTTGCCCTTTGTATATGTCTCGCTGGATATGCTCAGTGAGTGTCCGGCACTCATCCAAATTTTCCTCCCTCATCATGCAACTTCCAGCATTTTTTCGGCCTGGTGCCTCATATCCTGTAGGTGCAAATTGGAGTTTTGCAGATGTTCGAATTAACCCATCCCAATCAAAGGTTTGCCAGTCTTATGAAATCGCCGATGTCTGTGAGTCTGGTAAAGCTTTCCCAAGGCATGTACTGACTCCGCACCATAACTCATAAGATGTGGGGGTACTTCCAATGTTATTTGCTGAGTGTGGGAGCAATTGGATTACCTAGCAATGATTCTGTGCTCTGACATTGTTGCACTGGTTCAGGTATATTCGTACTCAGAGCATTTGCAGCATGGGAACGGATGAGGTGGTTCGCCATATTCCTATTTGTTAGTGTTATTGTGAGTCTGATATTTGGAGGCTATGGATAACAATGTCTAAATCATCCTGTGCAGGCCTATTTAGTGCCAATTTTCATTTACATCAGGGAAGTTTGGTCAGCCTCTGGTGCGTATAACTTCAAGTCAGACCCTGTGTTTGCTTATCCCCTGACCTCTCCAATGTACAGGGGAATGCTGGATTCTTGGTGCTTTCGGACAACTGCATATGAATAAGAATGTATACGTAATCTACAGCTTACTGGCTGTTGCTGAGCTAGGTTCATATTGGGAGCTACTGCTAACACGAGCTTGAACTCATCGCATGCACACAATTTCAGAAGTATTCCTTCTTCTACTCTATTGCTCTGTCAAGGGTCATGGTGGTTGGAAAACCAACAACTGTTTCATGCATGGTCTCTTGTGACAAAATTTAATGTATTTCAGCTGCAGCTTTGGTTGGTTCTCGCATAACACCAAACACCTCCTACATATTCACTTGCTAAACACTACAGCTTTGGTTCTTGGTGTCATTCTCACAACATTCTTTCTTCCGGTAAGTTAATGTGTACATTATGCAAAGCCACTCTATTGATGCAAGGTGTAGTTTCCATTTGCACATGTGGTGACAGAGTTTGTCTACTCTCGGTTTCAGAGCAATAGTTACTTACTCAGTAGCAGATTCCAAGTCATTCTGCAATCTATCATAGTCATGCAAATGCACAGGGACTTCTGAAGGTTGGACCATGCTTCTTGTGGCACCCAGACAGATCTTTCTGTAACAACGTGGATGGCCAGAGTCCCAGATACCATATAATGGTGTGGCCGAGTGCACTTGCTCTTCATAATCATGCAGCTGACACTCGTTGATTCAGTGACAGTGCTACTTGGAACATGCCAACCCTTCAATTGTGCTGCTTCTATTTACTTGTGCCATGAGCTTATCAATAACAAGTGGTGAGCTTCGGTCGTTATTTATTACCATAGGAGCCCTTTGTACACTATATTTACGCTATCTTTTTTCTCACTCCCTCCTGTAAATAAGCATACCGTATGTCAGCTGCTTGTGACTTGAAATAATGTATAGTAGTTGACCATGAACAAAAGGATCTGTTCTGAGATCGAGAACTGTGCAAGAGAGTGAGACCTTGGCAACCATTGAAAGTAGTCATGTAAGCTGGTCGCAAAGGAAATCATTTGTGATTCACTGTCTAACTGGAGCGGTAATAAGGATAAAAAGACAACGTGATGCATGGAATGCAGTGGTTCTTGAAATTATTGAGCAATTGAACTTGGACGAGTCGATAATTTCTCATCAATCCCTTTTCGACCAAGAGGCTGCATTGCATGTGCAATTTATTTTGAAATCCAGTCGATGGGGAGGGATTCTGAGCGCAGTAAGCATTGCTACTCTGGTGTTTACTGAGGTGCATCAAACAGTGTATTAGTCTGCTTCTTTTAAGATGTCCGAACTTGAATAACAATCTGCAAATTTTTTAGCATTCATTCAAGATACTATCATTCTATACTCAGGGTAGTCACCAGGTAGAGTATCTAGGATTTTAACTTTGAATTCCTCAACAGATAGGTTTCATGACGAGAAGACAGCACATTCGAGGCAAGTGTAGGAACATCCTTTGCAGGTAGATGTAAAGTCTGAACAGGAGTGCCATGGCATCGGGTCGAGCTAAGCACTGCAGAGTCGACCATACTATAACTAGTGTGAAAAAGGTGCAATGACTCGGAGAAGTGTGCATGGACTGGACACAATTGACACCAAGCTGATGGCTACAGGCATGAGAAATACTCATACTAACTCCCGATTTTTTATATCTTTTTGTGAAGTCAGTCTAGAGCTCGATCAAGCTGATCATGGCCCTCCATGGTGAGTAGGTGGCGCCATGGCCAGGGTTGAAGGTGATGGAAAGATCTATTACATCGCCCTCGGCATTTTGTCAGATGCATGCATGGCCTCATACATCTTATGCAATCATTATTGCTTCTTGACCAACGTATATCACTGGCAGTTGCCAGGTATAAGGTTCAACACTCAATTGTGAACATTCCCAGTCCCATTTTTATGTACTGAATAACTTGTTCTGGCAGGACATCCCATTGGAAGCAGTACCACTATCTTGATCAGTCAGACAGACATGTACTAGCAGCACCGCTAGTGTTTGAACAGATTTGTACTCTTTGCTCGACCTTGGCACAATTTTTTTGTATTGCTATTACAGGACCAGGGACTCTACTCCACTTGTCATTGGTGGTGACACATCACTCTGCTTCTTTTTTCTCTACACAACAAGTATACGAGAACATGATTGCAAACTTCAGTTCTCTACACTGGGATTACCATGTAACTTCCTGTCTTCTAAGTTCTGAATTGTGTATCCCTCAAACATTGCTAATATCAGCTCTTAGTCAGTTGGAATAGTCACATGGTGTGCGATCTTCAATTTGAATGGGTTCTCAACTGAGTCAGACTTGGGGCACTGTGATGGAACAGAGGTAATGTGCCATACCAGATTCTGCGGCTGCATGTCTGATATGTTATAAGTAGCGACCTAAAGTGAGATTGATTGATTCAAGCTGACATTTCAAGAGACTCAAGTCGATGTATTCTTGAGGTTGGGTGTGAGTGCAATTCCTTCTATATGGCATATCATATATCATTGATGCTGTCATTCCAGTATCCTTATGGTATGGTTATGATCTATGATAACTTTTCATTGATTTGCTTATTTGTTTCCTGGTGTCATAGTTGCACTAACAGCACTGTAAGTGAGCATAACGATTACCACAGCATTCAGTGGCCAAGACTCATGTTTTCACTCAAACATTCAGTTGTATGACTACATGCTGTGCATACTGGACGTGGCAAGTACAATTTTTTTGAGCATCTTAAGATGTACTGATATGTAATTGCTGCAGATTGAGTTTATTGTCGAGTCTCGATGGGGGCTCGCCACATTTTTATATCTAGCCTGCAGTCACATGCCCTTTATCTTTGTGTCACTGAATATGGTTGGTGAGTGTCCGGTACACATTTCATTTTCTCTCTCTTATGATGCGACTTTCAGCACTTTTTCAGCCTGATGCCCCATATCCTGTAGGTGCAAATTGGAGCTTTGTAGATGTTTGAAATTCACCCATTTCAATCAAAGCTTTGCCAGTCTTATTCACCAATATCTGTGAGTCTGGTGAAGCTTTTCTCAGACACATACCGACTCCGCACCATAACTCATGAGATGTAGGAGCACTATCGATGTTCTTCACTGAGTGTGGACACAGCAATTATATCACCTAGCAATGAATTTGTGCTCTGACATTATTGCACCGGTTCAGGTATTTTGATGATTAGAGTATTTGCAGTATGGGAATGGGTGAGGTGACATGCCATATTCACAATTGCCAGCATCATCATGAGTCCAATACATGAATGCTACAACCAACTCCAGATAGCAATGTCTAACTCATCTCATACAGGCCTATTTAGTACCAATTTTCATTTACCTTGGGAGTTTATGGACAGTCTCTGGTGTGTATAACTTCAAGTTAGACCTTGTGTTTATTTAGTTTCTGACCTCTTAAATACAGGGGAATGCTGGATTCCTGGTGCTTTTGGATATGCAAATATGAATATATGCACATGGCTATATGTGACTTATGGCTTGTTGCTTATTGGTGAACTATGTTTGTATTGGGAGCTACTGCCAACACAAACTTGAACTTACTGCATGCACACAATTCCAGAAGTATTATTTATTCTGCTCTATCACGCTGTCAAGGGTCATAGTGGTTGGAACATCCACAACCATCTCATGCATGGTCTCGTGCAACAAAACCTACGGCATTGCGGCTGCAGCTTTGGTTGGTTCTCGCATATCACCTAACACCTTTTGCATATTTATTTACTAAATGCTACAGCTTTGACTCTCGGTGTCATTCTCACAACATTCTTTTTTCTGGTAAGTCAATGTGTACATGTGAAGCCACTCCATTGATGCAAGGCATAGTTTGCATTTGCACACATGTTGATAGAGTTTGTCTACTCTCGATTCTGAGGCGATGGTTACTTATTGAGCAGCAGATACGGAGTCATTCTGAAAGTTGTATTGATTACGTGAATGCAGATGAACTTCTGAAAGTTGGACTGTACTTCTTGTGGCATCCAGACAGATCTTTCTTTAACCATGTGGATGGCAGGAGTCCCAGATATCATATGATGGTGCACTTTCCCTGCAAAACCATCATGATCATGCAGCTAAAACTCATTGATGAAGAGACAGTGCTATCGGCAATAATGGTTATGTGAAAGGTGCCGGTTCCAGAGTGTTCAGAAGGAACCTGCACCACATGTCCAGCTGAGCGAGAGTGTTTGGCTCCTCTCTTAATCATTTCTTCTCTGTTCAACACATCCTACTCGCTCGTACCTACACAGTCTCCTCGCTTGTTTCTCATATTTTCACCCACCCTCTACTCCCAATATCATTGCAGCCATAGTTCTATTCATGTCATATTTGATTAGATCTCAAATATCCATATATACATACCTGTCATTGTATCTAGCTACCTATCTTATCACATATAATGGTCATCCAACAGTCTGCCTGTCGAGTTTATTTCCTGCTCACCCAGCAGCAATCTCATCAGTGTCCAAACTGAGGTAATGCTCGGCCCCAGCCCAACAACTGTTGGAATGACCTCTGTGCTGTCCGATAGATGAAGTTGGACCAAAATCCACTCCATGAACTCATGTCACATCTTCCATTCATAGACTACTAGATCGTGTATTAAATGGTACATAGAGGGTAGGTCAACTTGACTTGTTTGTTTGAAAATTTATCCTTCCTTCGTGAGGTCCCAAGTAATCCCCCTCACCAGATTTATGGCAATTGTTGTGATTAGGGATCTGCACGGGTAAACCCCGGGGTGTCAGAGACCTTACCCGCACCCCCATGAAGGGTACAGGTTTTTTGGGGGGTATGGCAAGCTCATACCCTTACCCATACCCGTGCAGGGTTTACCCACAGGTGATAGATATAAATATGAAGTTAGCAATTGTAAAAATGAATGAGACACTCACCTCCTGCAAATGGTGGGCAGCGACTTGAATCAGTGTGGCTCGAGCTCGGATGAGGATCAACAGACTCGCGAACTGTGAATGGTGGCAGACGACTTGGATCAGCATGGCCATTGCTCAAATGAGGATCAACACACTCACCAACTGCAGACGGTGGGCAACGGCTTGGATGAGCATGGCCGTTGCTCGAACAAGGATCAACAGACTGACCAACTGTGAACGGTGGCCGATGACTTGGATGAGCATGGCCATTGCTCAAACAAGGATTGACACACTCACCAACTGTGGACAGTGGGCAATGGCTTGGATGAGCATGGCCATTGCTCAAACAAGGATCGACACACTCACCAACTGTGAATGGTGGCCGACGACTTGGATGAGCATGGCCATTGCTCAAATGAGGATCGACACACTCACCAACTGCGGACAGTGGGCAACAGCTTGGATGAGCATGGCTGTTACTCGAACAAGGATCGACAGACTCACTTCCTGTGAACAGTGGGCGACGACTTGGATCAGCATGGCTTGAGCTCCAATGAGGATTGACAGACATACAGACTGTGAACGGTGGGCGACAACATGGATCAGCATGGCTCGAGCTCCAATGAGGATTGACGCACTCACTCACTGTGAACGGCGGGTGATGACTTGGATCAGCGTGGCTCGAGCTTGAAGGAGGACCCTTACACTCACTTTGTCCATGGAAATTGAAGGTAGGCATTGTGTTGAAGAAGATGAAGGGGCATAGCACGCTATAGTAGGCAAGCATTAGTTAGCAATAGGCAGTTGAGGAGTACAAGTGTAAGTACTGCTATAGTTCTCAATTAGGTAATGTACCGGTCAAACCCGAGTGCGCAGGTGTGGGTGAGGGTCTGGGTACCCAAAATGCAGACCCCCACCCATACCTGAGGGGTACCCGCACGGGTTTTCAAAACCTGTGCATATGCCCAGTTGTGATTGCCAGCAATATTTACTGACATATGAAGCTGTAAATTGTTCGCCAATTCACTGATGGAGGAGAGCACATTTGAGGGAGCTCAGGAAGACAGCAAACATCGTAGATATAAACTGATCCATCAGCAAAATGTCGAGTCCCTTTTCAACTCTTAATTTCCTTTGGCAATTTCATAAGGTACATAAGTATGTTTAAGGATGCCAAAGCCATCATTTTGTTACTGAGCGAACTTTGAGTGAATATTTCCAAGGAAGATAAAAATTTAAGGAAGGCTGTATCTATAAGTAATGCTAAGTAAAAAATTGCATGCTGGGAAGGACATGACAATGTTGGCCTCGTCCGTTGTAAGTAGGTGTGAGAGCATGGAGGATCATAACCATAGGAAAAGAAGTATTACTGTATCGCACATACAAAACAATAAGTCGAGAAGGATATGAAGATTGTCGATGTTGCCGGCACTTACGAATGACACACAGGGCCCATTGCCTGCCAAACAACGTCCCTCTCCACAACAAATGCCCCAGCGTGCAGGCCATCCTTCGAAGCCAGGCATTGCTTGCTGTCTCTCTCCCTGCATTCGCGCACCTCTCGAGCATGGAAGGCTATGTTCTTGTGGGAGCCAGTGTCCGTAGTACTTTTCTCACCCTCAGATGCGCCGGCATCAATCTTTGCACATTTGGCACCAAGCGAGTCGGTCGGAGGAACATCTTCATTGAAGTTGCGAGACTTGCGCTTGAGTTTGTTGGTAAAGAGCTGGCAGGGTGGACATGCCTCAGCCATTTCAAAGTCTGGATGATCAATCGGTAGTTTAGACGCCTCGAGAACTTCAATGGGAAGATGATATTGGGGGTTATGGAAGGTCACTTTTTGGCCTTGGCTAATGAAGCGGTCAGTAGACAGAAATTAGTGAGAACTAGGAAGACGCGGTAGGACTTGGAGTCCTTGTAGCCTCATAGAGGCTATTTTTGTGGTATCCCTCAGCACCCTATTACTTTCCTACATGAAGCGCAGCTTTCCCGCGAGTTGCGCATAGTGGCCGCTACTTTCCCGCGATGGCTGCAACGTTCCCGCATGCGCACAGCCGTGCTTAGCAGCCGCTTTTCTCGCACTTCATCGGCCGATGTTCCACACCCATCCATAGTCCAAAACCAACCCAATGGTACATTGTTTCATGATTATATTTACATATCAGACCATTTTCGCATCAAACCACCTGTATTACATATAGCTTTACATACATAGCTCAGTAGCACGTCGGCTTGGTAGTGTGTCAGCTCGGTTACACATGACAGCACTTAGCGCAATACTTAAGCATTAGCAGTACATATCATTCAGGAGCTTGTTTTCCGGACGTTCCAGTAACAACTCCCATTAGCCTACAGTTGGTAGCTATTGGCAATCAGTATCCATCTACCATTCACATTGTATCAGTTATCACCTTGCTCTACATCTATTCCTATTGTCCTTCATCTCTATTACCATCCGAAACCCTCGCGCATCGGCCGCTTTGCAGCCGCATCTTTCCCACGCCTTCGGCCGCCGCTATATTCCCGCACTTCGCATCAGCCGACAAGCGGCACCTTCTGCATCCATTTCTAGACCTTTGCTGCACTAGCTTCCCCTTTAGGGTCGAACGCACTTGTCCCACAAGTATAGCGGATAGGCAGTGCACGACCTACAACATAAAGATATCAGTTTGGAGCCTATAGCACCACTCTGAGTTGTAAACCTACAACGGAAAGATCGTTGTTGCGATATTGACCACAGGGCTTGATGACCTCCTGTGCAGCAGTCTTCCCGGCATTTGATGGGACTTGGGCGCTGGGGGAGGCACAACATCATCATAATAGCCTGCCAGGACCTGAGTGGAGGGTGGAGGCACAACATCGTCATAATAGCCTGCTGGGACCTGAGTGGAGGGTGGAGGCATGAGATCATCATTGTCAGTAACCTTGGAGGCTCTGGAGCGCTCTTTCTTCAACTTTTTTGATGGGGGAGGGGTAGCACTCTGAGATACAATGGTAGATGCCTCAAATATACAAACTGAGTCGGTTATGCAAGAGATAAAAGAAACACGCACTGATGTAGTCTTGCGAGGGGCATATTCCTTCTTCTCCGAGTCAATGATGGCCTCGGACAAGAGGCCTGTCATTTCCTGCGAATCATCAATCAAAATGTCAGAATCATCCGTGGCCTCGGATGCAGTCTCGTCAACAAAATCTGCAACATCATCCAAAGCCTTATGCTTGACACCACCAGACTCTGCAAAATAAGTTATCTGCTCCGGCTCAGAGTCACTCTCACTAGCAGGAATGATTACAGTAGACTTCTAGAATCCAGGTTAGTCCTTGAACAGAATGGTTCATGGAAACAATGATTTACTCTAACTGCCCATCTCCCTTTCTTCTGAAGTGCAACTGGATGCCGTTCCAAAACATCAGAGCCATCAAGGCTATCATTGCTAACCATCAGGACATCATCGGTAGATTCAGAGAATATGTTGAGTTTGGTTGGCTGCTTCTTATCAATGGCCGCAGATTTGGTCTTAGAACTAGTGTTAGTACTAGTGGTGGACAACACTGATGAGGGCGGAGTGGAAGCAGCTTGAGATGCAGAATAGGTGTTCAATTTGAGACTGGTTGTATTGGACTTTGGGTCAGCTTGTGGTGGGACATTGTTGACCCAGCCATCGATAAAACTGTTGAGTGACGATTTTTCAGTCGTCCTTGAAACCACATGGTTAATAAAGAATAGAATTGACTCGGTGAGTAAAAACATTGGGAAGCAAGTGTGTTGACTCACAATAATGCCACATTGTTGTCTTTATTGTTACTGATGGCACATGCATCCAAAGCAGCCTTCAATCCGGAACGGGCATTTCTGATGGCTTCCTTCAGTAACATCGTCTTTTCCTGCTTCTTTTCCTTGCCACTTTTTCTATCAGCCTCATCAATCTCACTGTCTCTGAGAAGCGTGTCCTCTAGGTAAGTGTCAGTTTCAGTTACTACTCTTGATAGGAGGCTCATACCACTTGCGGTGTCCTTCATAGACACTTTGTTGCCTTTGCCTGTAGGACAAGGATGGGGCTGAATAGGTTTTGGCTTGCTTTCATGCATTTTGGCTTCAAGAGTCTCCATGCCGTCTTCAATTCCTGCAATTCGTTCAGCAACCTTTTGAATACGGGCATTCCTCTCTTCAGGGCTTTCATTTGCATATGGGGTATTAGCAACTTTTGAAGTCTTGGTACGAGGTTTTCCCTTTGCATTCTGGAGCTGCTCCTCAGCTTCAGCCTCCAGAACAGGCCTACCAGGATGAGCATTTGCATTTGATGGACGAGTCTGACACGTGGACACTTCTTGTGAGGCTTTGGGGGGCATAGCTGACTGATGGAGATGATGGGAGGCGAGGACAAAATGAAGCAAAAAGTTCAAGGTAAAATTTGCATGGTACTGGCCCCATCAATTTGCACAAATATGCGCTCACACTTGTGTTACGTTCTAGAACTTACTACTTGGGCTCAATTTTCGTACTGCTACATCTAGTCCCAATTCAGTTCTATATGCCAAAGTTCCTGTCAACTAATATTCTTCAACCAGCACTCTAGCACGCATGGCACCCTGCTCTACTCAGTATTCTCGAAGGAAGCATAACTCGTTTCAGTTACCCTGCGGTCATCCTGGATGCAATCAACATTTCAAATCTCAAGGTGGGCGAACAAGACATCACACCATCATGCACCCAATCCTGTGCCACCCAAGGACCAATGAACCTGCGCCACAGGATATGGACATCAGTCCTCCTGGTACGACTCACTCAACGGTTACCACATTCCTTCTGACCCTAATTTCAGAATGTTATATTCCAAATTGCTCGTCTCCGCCACCAATACAAGAAGTAGACACTGATATGAATTCCAGTGAGTCCCAGTGGATCCTGCTACCCAACTCACAGTTCTAACAATCCCTTCTGAAGATATTCCGCACTATGACCACTCATTTCCACCACAACCAAGACAAGAACGAGATGGCAATGCTAATGGTGAGTCACAGTTCCAGTCTCAACACCAGTACCTCTTTTCTAACAGCATCTTCTGAAGATGTTCTGCACCACTTGTCTCCAGCACCAGCCCTGGAAGTAGACTCTGAATTCTATGGTACAGGCAAATCTTTGTATCGAAATTATCACACTGGTTTGAATGGTGATTGTACCTTTTTTATTCTTACTAGTAGCACATCTGATGTTAATGATGTCTTAGCTCGACCATGCGATGCAAGTGGCAATTTTTTGCCCCCTGGTACTCCACCAATCCCTCTTGCAGAACAGTCACCTGATGACTGGTCACCATTTCGCAATCAGATTGAATTCGAGACAGCTGAGTTTTTGTACAGCCATGTACAAATGTCCACACCCAATATAAACACTCTTCTCGATCTCTGGGCTGCATCGCTTCTCAAACATGGCGATCAGCCACCTTTTGCAGATTGTAAGGACCTCTATAACACAATCGACAACATTCCAATTGGTGGCATCAGCTGGCAGTCTTTCAAAATTCAGTACTCTGGAGAGAAACCTGTTGGGCCCGATGTGCCTCCATGGATGAACCAACAGTTCGAAGTTTGGTATTGTGACCCTCATGAAGTTGCACGAAACATCCTCACCAACCCCGACTATGTAAATGAGTTTGATTATCACCCTTTCCACGAATATTCAGTTGATAAGGATGAACACTGTTATCAAGACTTTATGTTGGGCAATTGGGCCTGGCAGCAAGCAGTATGTGGTATTATAAAGTTAGCCTCTTCGTACTAATCATGCCTTTCAGGATATCATTGCAGCTGATCCTGACAATCTCAGAGCAACATTTGTGCCGATAATACTCAGAAGCGACAAGACAACAGTGTCCATCAGCACTGGAAACAACAAATACTATCCATTATATCTATCTATTGGCAATGTCCACAACAATGTCCGTCGAGCACACCGAAACACTCTCTGTCTTATTGGCTTTCTTGCCATACCAAAGAGTGAGTTTTTCAGACTGTTTTGCACTGGAACCCGGCTAAGTCTTGTAGCTACCAATGAACGTAAAGAAAAAGAAGAATTTCAGAATTTCCAATGCCAGATCTTTCATTCCTCACTCACCAAGATCCTCGAAACACTCAAAGATGTCATGTCAAAGCCTGAGGTCATACGTTTCAGTGACAGCCATTATTGATGTGTCATTTTTGGATTAGGACCATATATTGCGGACTACGAAGAACAAGTTCTACTTACGTCTATTGTGAGGAACTGGTGTCCAAGGTTTGCCTTACTAGTTCTTTGCCTGCTCTCCTCATATCTGATACCTTCAAAGGTGTCTTGCTCCACGTGGACAACTAGATGATGATGCACTCTGCCGATGTGAGGCACATAGAGAGGCTCTCGTCGAGGAGGATACATTTGATGTGGATATGCTGCAGCGTGAGTTTGGTATTGTTGGAGATGTCATGGTATGCTTCATTCAGTTGCTGCAAGTGCTCGCAGGACTTATTTATGTTCAGCCTTTTACAAACGACTTCCCTCATGCCAATATTCATCAACTCATCGCACCGGATATCCTGCACCAAATCATCAAAGGCTGTTTCAAGGATCATCTTGTTACGTGGGTGGAAAAATACCTCCATCGTATTCATGGGAAAAGGAAGGCTGAAGCATTCTTGGAGTTCTGCTTCTCGTCCAAAAGAATGTTATCATGGAGGACACAATTTTGCAAATAGAGGATGCCCTTTGCTGGTTTCACCACTATCATCCAATATTCCTCAAGCTCGGCATCATTCCTACATTCTCGCTCCCACGCCAGCATGCAATGAAGCACTACCCTAAACTTATCCGTCTTTTTGGAGCGCCAAACGGTCTCTGTTCATCAATGACAGAAAATAAACATATTAAAGCTGTAAAGCAACCATGGCGTCGGTCCAACAAGTACAACGCACTCGGGCAAATGCTTGTGACAAATCAGCAACTCAACAAACTTGCAGCATTGCATGTAGATTTTACCAAATGTGGTATGCTCAATAGTACATGTCTTAGTGATGCTTTAAACATGAAAGGTTAGTGAATAGAGATCGCACTATTATTCCTTTGCTGATTTCAATTAGGTCATGTTGATGATCCAGGCAATAATGAACCCATGAATGACATTCCCAACACTATTCAATCCAATGCTGCCGATGACAATGACAATGATGGACTTGATAATGGTGAGATCGATGATGGGCCACCTGAGATTGAGGCTCATGTGCAGCTTGCTCAAACATGTTGTATGTGGTTTGACACTTTTGTTATTAAATAGCTTATAATTATATTAGAACGAAACTGTGCTCAAACTGTGGCGGCACTTGCTATCGAGCTCTCTGTTAAACACTTACAAGAACTCATCGAGAGCTTTCTGTTCAAACAGCTTCACCCTCACGACACTTGTGACCATGCTACTATCCCAGCTGACAGCTTCCCGGTCTACAATGGGAAAGTCTCAGTAGTCAATTCGGCATCATCAAGATTCTATGCACCCAGTGATTTAAGTGTGGTTGGAGGGATGTGAAGAGAATACATTTGATCCTGCCCGAAATGGAGGAATGCACATGCCCGCTATGATTGCGTGTTTATCAATTCACGACCGGAACTTGACGGAATGCGAGGACTCGAAGTAGCGCGTGTGCTATGCTTCTTTTCATTCAGGTACAAGTTGGTCCTATATGAGTGTGCTGTTGTTTGTTGGTTCAGCGTCATCAGTGATGCTCCTGATGAAGACACGGGCATGTGGGTAGTTCAGCCATCCTTCAATGATCACTCTCCAGACATTTCAGTGATACACATTGACGCAATCTATCGTGCAGCTCATCTCCTTCCCATTTATGGTACTGATCCCATCCCTCATCATCTCAAATTTTACCACTCTTTAGACAACTTCTGTGCCTTCTATGTCAACAAGTTCGTGGACCATCATGCATTCGAAATTGCATTTTAATTCGTCCCGTGAATGGCTCGGTCCTTACTCTTCTGCTCTCTTCCCATCCTGCCACCTCCACCAAACAACTTGGGATCCATGTCCCTTCTGCTGCCCTCCCATCCTGCTGTGTCCTTGGGACATGCTCCCTCCTGCATTCTCCTCACCCGGCGAGGGTTTTAATCTCTGCATTTGAGATCTCCCTTCGACTTGCACACATGTGGGGATCGGATTAGTAGCTGATTTTTTCATGCATGTTCTTGGATTGCACACAAACCGCTCTCCTTGTTGATCCCGGCTCAGCGCCATTGAAAACTTATAAGATTCTTAATTGTTACCATTCACATAGTACTAATGTATTTGTCGAAAAAATGTCTTATTGCACTTAATTCACTTTTGCATCTTATACTATAACATTGATTTGAATCAAGTTTGCAAAAAGTGGTATCAGTAGAATAAGTAACATCAGAGGTTTCTTTTTTTTACTTAGCGACTTTTTTCAGACCAATAATATGAATCAGACCGAAAAGGGAATGTGAGATATTGCTGATGCCAATGACAAGTCCATGGTGGAGAATCCCTGGTCCTCATGCTATGTAATAGCAATGCGAAACATTTGTGTTAAGGTCAAGGTGCGACTCGGAATCCATTTAGACTAGTCAAACTTCTGTGGCCCATTAGTGGCGCCACTAGTAGATGATCATCGATAGGATAGCGGTACAGCTTCCAACAGGATGATGACTTCAGTACTGGAACGAGTGATTGAGTACATCAAAATGGGACCAGGATCCAGAACGCATCGATGCCAGTGCTCTGGTGAAGATGTTTCTAACTTGGTATGTTCAGCAAGAAACAATATTAATGTCCTATCATGTACAAGCCTACGCTGGCAAAATACTGAGGGCCATGTTTCTTATTTTCCATCTACTTCAGCATAACTTACTTCAGCCCTGGGGCCACCCACTCAGCACCACAGATGAATATTGAACATTGAATTCCAGGACCGTGATCAGAAGAGAGTTGAACGTTGAAACATTGACTTGGCGTTACTCAAGCGTTAAAATGAAAACTCGGGAATTATTTCTCACGCCTGATGCTCTGAGCTTTCTCGAACATGTGGTATTAAAATTTGATCTACCACTCAGACAGCTGCAGGCTGGATGTATCGATTGTTGTATAGTATATATGGGCCACAAAGATCAGCGAGATGACTTAAAAGAAGCTCTCCGGAAGAGGGATGAACAGGTCAGTGGTCATAGCACAGTCGTCAGGGAAATATCATTGATAGATACATTAATGTAGATTACCTGCCTGGAGGCTCGGGTAGACGCCTATATTGCTCGAACATCAGAGACGCAGGCTCGCCTTCTCAAAACTATCGACACTGTCGATTCTCTGAAGGCTCAACATGTAACCGACTTGGAGGCGAAAGAACGCGAGAGGGTAAACTTGTCCCATGAAATTGAACGTTGGAGAACCTTTGCGAAGTGCCTCGAAGTTGAGCGAGATGATCTCAAAAATGTCGTCGAGGACTTGATTCAGAAAGGTGCATAGCAATCTACAAACGGACGAATGTCTCCCACTCATGTATTGTTGCATTTCTCAGTCCAGATGTCCAGTGATTGGAGCATGTGGCCTTGCAGTCGCATGGATATAACAAAACATCCATGTTTGTCCATTTATTATAGCTTTGCAGGCGTCGAGACTAAATGCTAAAAATGACACCCAGATCAACTCGCTGAGAACTATTCTAAACCCAGTGACACAAGCTGCAGGGATTCTGAGGTTCTGTTGGAGTACGGTGTTTCTCTTATAAACAGGCTGCGTGTCGAGCTTGACCACGAGCGCAAAGCACACTGCAAGGTTGTGGAAGAAGCCAACCTCCGTATCTCTGAACTGGAAGCTAAAGTTGCTGCACGCGAGCTCGTATTAGAAGCATCAATTCGACACCATCAAGAGAGGGATAAGTCACCGCTGGGCCGTTCTCGAACTCCCGAAAGCCCAATACCACCTCCAAAACCAATGACCGATGAAGACTGTCTCCGTGTATTGGCAGATAGCAACACTAGAAATAAATCTCTTGAGATTGAAATACGGAGTTTGACACAAAAAGTGGGCGATGCATTTTTTCCATCATTGATACAGTTTCATTGATTTTGCGCTTGCCGTAGCTTGAGCGTGCGCGGGGCTCCGCGGCTTCACCTGTATGCATTTCAGCAGATGCAACCCCCGTTGTTAGCCCCTCGTCACCGCCGAGAATTGTTTCTCTCGATCACCCACACCAGCCAGCCATCCCCAGGAAACCTCTAACGAATGATAACGAAACCCATTTCACACCGACAGTGCATGCAGTATCCAACCTACCGGCTGACTCACATGTAGTCACACGACCATCATCTCACAATAGCCCCATAAGCTCATCTGATTCTGCATCACAACGCTCTATTGCGCAGCTGGATGATCAGATTAACTCATACGCCACCCAGCTTGATGCCTTTAAAGCGGAGAGGAAGATACTGGTTGAGGTGGCCGTAAGGAAACGCAGAGTTCGTAACACGTCAATCGCTGCGTCATATCACTGAATAATCTTTGCAGGCATCGGATGGAGGGGAACCTCCCGATTTCCCACAAATCCTAGTTATCGAGGAGGAATGCGTGAGGTTGGTTCCTTAGCACCATTGTATCATCTGTGCTCTCATCCTTACCATGGTGTAGGCTTACCTCTCAGGTCTCGCATTTGGAACAAGAACTTCAGCATAGTCGAAGTTCTGCCAAGTCCCGCGAACACGAGTTGCTAAAGGAAATTGACGCTCTCAAGCTGTTATTGCATCAGCGGTCACCAGTAGGTGTCATCGTCCGCACAAGAGAGACGTTGCAGCTCACCGAACTACCAGAATCTTTATCATGCACACGACGTTCAGCATTTGGATGATGGTATAGATATAGAACAAAACATGGAACTGGGGACACCTTTACAGCCTACCGCTATTCTGTCATGGAACGATCCTGGTTTTACATCATTTCCTAAGGACCCGCTCCTCATTCCGCTCCCTTTCTCACCTGAAAGAAATTCATCCCCTATTATCTCATCCTCTCGTCCACCACTACGCCCTTCCAGCCCCCATCCTGTAAAGCTCAGGCGACTTGAAGAGGGAATGGAGGTAGCCATGGCTCAACTGGCCGCGAAGCAGCTGGCCCTCGATCAGCTCAAAATCGATATGGAGGAACTCCAACACTTACTATCAGAGGAACCGCCGTGATCTCAAGGATGAAATGTATTACCATGTACTCTTTTCGATTTTGCCCTCTCGCGCACACATATATTGGTATTTAATGAGGCTCCATGCTTATCTATTGATATTTCTGCTGTATGTATCTTGTATCTGTATGACCGAGCAGCACTGGTATACTGTATTTTACGCTACCTCAATCTGTCATTGACCCTCTGCTATATATTGTGAGTAAACAAGGGGCCTTGCAAGCTCCGTAGCACCGCCAGCTTGTTATTTCACGAGAACATAAAGCAATTCCATACGCATATTGCTCCACGGATGATTTCGATCAGGTGTCCTCTTCACAAAGTCAACCTCTGAGGGAGGCGCCCCGACTCTGTGAACCTCTTCAACCTCAGACTCAGCACGAGATGCCGGACGGGACGAGACAGGGGTGTTCGTGTATGATGAAACAGTGTATTTCTTCGTCTTGGAGTTCAGAGATAATACTTTGTGCGTCTGTGCTGTGGGACGAGAAGGCGTGCTCGACAGAACCGGTGGTGTGGCAGCCGCAGAACCAGGGAGAACAGGGAACGCGCCCTCCGCATCGCGTGCTTGCTGGACGACTCGCAACCTCCCCTCTTCCTCTTTTGCTACTTGCTTGGATATCTCCTCATCAAGTCGGGCAGACAGCGAGGAACGCACAATGTTTGAGAGGAGCACTGCAGAACAGTGCGGGCATGCGTAGTAGGGCAAGTTGATAGCACATAGGATTAATCCGCAACCGCGGCATATGGCGGTGTATGGGGAAAGGTCATGCTCTCTTGCTGGACTTATTGGTTTCAGCGTTATAAGCTCAGATCAGTGGAAGAGTCCTCGCCTTGGCAGAAACATCCGCCCTTCGGATCCTTCTCTCTGCCGGACGACTTACGAACGCCCTCGGCAAGAGATTCGAGCTTACGGATCGCCTTGCTTTTGGAAGGTTCTTGGTTTTTGCCTTTTCCTTTGCTTTGTTTTTGGGAGACATGTTGTGGGCGTTGCGCAGGACGTGGTAGACGGTCAGAAGGCATAGAGCCTGCAGCTTTGGACCAAGGAGTAGGTTGCATGACGGTGATGGTCCAGATCGAAAACAATCCCTGAAGTCGACTTTAACCAATTACATTCATGAACTCCCAGAGCCGCATTGAGTCATTTCCACAAAAGACACACCGACCATGACCAGGGAAATATAGCATTAATACAAGAAGCAATAACTCGAGCAATAGGAAAACTAGAACGATGGCTAAAGTCTACACATACGTCAAAACAGATAGAGTTCTGAGCACTGAGAACGGCGAGTCGAAAGAAGAGAGACGTCAAGATCCTTGGTTTCTTCTCCATGACGAAAGGCTCAGTGCGCCTATAACGCCCACGACCAGCAATGCTGTGCCCGCACCCACCAGGCTGGGAACATACAGGTACCACGCGCTATCGATGTCATCCTTGCCCTTGACCTCGTCCATGAAGATCAGCTCTTCTTTCTTCTGCCTTCTTCGACGCGGGATGATCTCTTGTTCTGAGTAAAGTGAATCCTCTCCAGAATAGACACTCTCCGAGGCAGAAGGATGAATCTCTATAGATGGCATCTCAAGTTCATGGGTACTTCCAAGGTCATGCCGGTCAATGCCTTCATCAGGAAGGACAGGAATGTCAAGATCGGGCTGCAGAGTGCGAGCACGCTCAAAGTATCGACCTGCAGCTTCCCTATCACGCTTCCAAGCTTCTGTGCCGCCTTCTCCAGGCTGTGGCTGTGGCGGCATCCTAATGGACGACAGAGTGGAATAAGATGCTGACAGGAAAACAGAAGCTGCTCCTTCGAGATGAAGAAGACCAGCCTCCAAGAAGAGCTTGGCCAGGCCCGCCGGGCCGCCAATGGACTGAACATAATATGAGACGGTTCCACGTTGGCCTTCTTCAGATGCATCAAGATGGTCCAATGATGTTTGGATGGGTAGATAGTGAGTCACCAATTTCATTGTAGCAGAGGGAAGGTGGCCATGGTGCCACGCTCGTCTGGATAGTCAGACAGGAAATCAGTCACAGATGAAACGGGTTCTCAGCACTGGCGTCACATACACAAAGCACTCAAATGCTTCTTCTTTATCTTTCCTAATATCGTAAAGCTCTATGGCATATAGAACAAGACTTGTGGGGTCCATGTTATATTTGTACTCCAAACTGGAATCACATAGCATAGGGACAGGAGCGCATGGCGAAATTTCCTGGGGAATTGGTCCTTGCTGTGTAATAGGTGAGCTCCGGCATGGATAAGACCCTGACAGCAGAGGCTCACGATCAAAGACGGCCAAATGATCGACTGTTCCTTCTCAAGGTGAAGCGTCACAAGTCTTCCTGAATTGGAGTGTAGTGACTCCAAGGAGGAGAATGAAGATAAGGCATGTACAGGTAACGAAGGCGATGCGGGACTAGAAGTAACAGGGATAGAGTGACGTTGACTTGCACTGCTGGTGTGCTCGTCAGACGAGGAGATAGGCGATGATAACGCGGGTGAAGGAGCTACAATCTCCTCTGCATCAGACACTTGACCACTTTCCAGAGAAGCTGCGAAACTGCTTGAAATTTCTGGGTCGGATACGAAGGCGAAAGAAGATTGGGTGGACGTCGTCGATAATGTCGACGTGGTACGCTCCCGAGCGGAAAGACGCGAGTTGCGGGGTTCCAGTTGCCACGCCGAGTTCGCCACGTCGACGTGGCTGTAAAGACAACCCTAGAATTAAAGATTGGGGATTGCAAATATGTCTTTTTGATGCGAGGCTTACTTTTACAATGGGCTGTTGGCCTTTAACCCCAGCGAGTAGATAGTTGCGTTCAATAACAACCTACCACGAACATGAGATTATGCGTGGCGGATAAAGCAACATTACTGACAACAACGTCTTCTCTTGAGGTTTCATATGGGACAAGAAGCAAAACTGTAGCCTGCAATTCGCCCAAGCGTTAGGACTATGAAACAAACCCTTACCCTATTGGCTTCACCTGATCATGCGACTAGGCCCGTTGAGTCAAATGAAGTGTCAATTATCAGAGTTTCATGGCTCACCTGGTGCCACGAGTATGAGAGTTTCTGGTGTTCGCTCGTCTTCTCCATATCGTTAATGCTGCCAGTCGTGAACAACGTTGCAGACGTAAGCGAGCTCTATTGAAAGGAGCGGAGTCAGAACGCTGACCCTCTGCGCATGTGCTGTGTGACCTATTGACACCGAGCTTAACTTCGTGGCAATGACTAAATTGATCCGTTGTGCTCATATGCATTCCATCAGATCCTTCTGTGTAGGAAAATAGACGACAGGTATCGGAAGTACTCATGTACAATACAAGCAACGAAAAAGCAGCAAGAAAACAAGGGGTGTAGGTAAATAGGATAGCAAAAAAATTCCTAGAATAATTCAAGGTTTGGGTACTTTCGCAGTCTGCGCAATTCTCCTCAACGTATCCTTCTCAGCCTCCATATGTTGTATCAGCATTCCATCCAATCTCTTCGATGACTCGGCCAGTGCTTGTTGCTCCTTCTGCCAGCGACGCACATTCTCCGATCCAGGTGTGTCCGGCTGCTGCGGTGCCGAGACGTCGACTGTGAGATGTTCTTGTGAGTGCTGCGCAAGCGTGAGATGGGTGAGAGAGTTTGGCGACGCCTTGACATCTGTAAAGTATGGAGTTTTTGGCAGGATGTTGCTGACAGGCTTGTGCCGCTCGGTTGGACTTCCTTGAGAATGCAGCTCATTCCTGGCCATGTTGGGACTAGAGCGATTGCTTGAATGCATAAGTGATGGATGGGGAGAGGTTTCAGGATCTCGGTACACAGTCATATCTTGGTCCATGTCACTTCTACTATCCTCAGAATCGTCCAAGTCGTCCATAGCATTCGGATGGTTCTGGATGTGGTCAAAGAAGGTGGCTGGTGATGAGGGAGGTGGCGCAGAGTGAATGCCAGATGCAAAGCTGTCAATAGAGACATTGATATCAAGTGGCAGAGGCAAATGACTTTGGGTACCACTGTTGCTGGGCATGGGAGAAAATGATTTAAAAGAGTGGAAAGTGCCTTGGCTAGAGGACGAATTATTAAGTGACAATGCTTCATGGAGTCGTGAAGGTCTAGGCTGGTTGGTATTGTTCCCCGAACGATGCGGCGGAGGTGACAGAGCAATGCCTACTATCGATGAAGAAGGTCTAGGTGGTGGGGACATGGTAGAAAGACGAGGAATTGAGGCAGGCGGCGACATTGAGGAATCTCGTGAGTGTGACAAGGGGTCAATGGGAAGTGACTGGAAGTTTTGGGAATAATAGCCATTTGACCATCTATCCCTAAAGGCGGACGCAGTTGGAGACGGTTGAGAGTACTCTGAAAACGATGGCCGACGCCCACCGTCGGTTGCTGGCACTGAGATTGCCAAGGAAGGACGAGACCGAATGTCATCGAAGGCGGCCGAATCATCCGTAAACCGAGAGAAACCAGTCAGTGCGGTCATCCTGCTCATCCGATGCGAGGGCGGAGGAGATATACTTAATGATGGCAGCAGTGGCGGACTCATCATGGATGTTCTCCTTGATTCATAGAAATCGGAGAGCATGGGCGAAGAACAGGATTTGCGAAGTGTTCGGCGCAGCTCTGTAGAACCTGCTGGAAGATGAGATTGTGAATGAGAGTACTGAGTGTCTCCAAGTTGTCGGCGAGGAGGCGGCGCAAGAGGGGTTTGAGGGACTGGGGTCTCTGCTCGGAGAGGAGTATAACTGGATAACCGCACATTTTCCCGAGCTGGAAGACGCGCAACAAGATCTCTATCAGAAGGTGCGCCTACGGTGTGTGTTGGTGGCTCAGGCTCTTCAAGGTGATCAACTATCGGATTCTCAAGAATTTTCTTGTCTAGCATTTTCCGCGGGTTTATGAGAGCGCGCTGGTATAGTGACTCTGACGAACGTAGATGGTGCGGTGACCTCGTCGGGGTGGACGGAGCCGTGGACAATGACACAACAGACGTTACTGTTGAATTGTTGAGCGAGTGTCCAACAGCTTGATGCAACAAAGCCTTTCTCCACGCATCCCCTCGTGGATCAAGACTAATGGAATGTCCAGGACTACCTGCGGGAGGCAAGCGCTCGGCTAACACGGCTGCTCCCACAGAGTCTTCAATTCCCAGTCCATGAAGTGCCGAAGCTTGCAAGGCTAAAGTGTAGTTGGCTGACGGGGGAGGCACGTCGACTGCTTCCGTGGGATCAATGATCCCATCAAACACATCAACCTTGGGTCTTCGCATACCCCTATCGCGGTCCGGAGGAACCTCTCGACCCTTCAAGTCTATCTCTGCTTGCTTTGCAGCAGCGACAAGATCATCCATTTGCTCACGGACAACAACCACACGTGCAAGGTGCTGGACATTCTTCGGGGATCGGAACGTTTGAGGTGCTCCACGTGGGATGTAACCAGACACGGTCGTAGAATCTGATGTCACTCTTAACATCGGAGATCCATCGAAGGAGTCTGGGCTAGCGGGTTTAGATTTGGATTTTCCAACTCGGAAATAATCCAGAAATGCAGGGGTGGTTGCTTTTTTGGATGTGTTTGCATATGGTGCAAAATCGGCCGGACGTGGTTTTAAGTGTGCGGGAGGAAGGAAATAGTTGTTCTTCACAAGCAACTGAAGACGATATGAGACATCGTCTGCATTGAATTCCTGCACCCTCATTGGTTCGTCGATGTCGAGAATTGGAATAACAACGCCATGGTCATGTGTTGTCGGTGAGAGAGGAGAAGGAGGTGACTCGGTCCCGATTGAGGTAGTAAGAGGATAAAGTGAAGAAGATGTAGATGATTGTTGCGTTAGCAAGGAGTCACGAACACTACTTCGCACATGGTCGCTGTCAGTGGGATTTGGACGAAAGGCAGACGGGGGAGACGTCAACATTGCTTTATTTCCGCGACCTTTTCCCTTTATCTAGGACCTCGTGAGCTCCATTCGTCAAATAAAATGGACTCTAAACTCACAGGAATAGTTGAAGTGAATCCTGCTAGCGATTTGGAACCCGGTTGACTGTCGGCGGGGGCTGAAGGCCCGTCATGCTTCATGACCACGCGCAAATCACCCCCTACACCACCGAACGTTCCTCCACTCCGTTCTAAATGCGGTTGCCAGTTCGCGGGACTCGAGACCGGACTTATGGTTGTTTCGAATCGCGTAGTAACCGGAGACAGTACACGTTCGGAAGAATCAGTCTTGACCGGACTAGGAAATGGTTCTGCGCTATTCGCAGCTGAGATGTCCAGCACCTGATCTTCTTCTGCATGGGTATCATCTGGCCTAGACTCTGTAATTATCGTCCGTGTTCGTTTCCTTGTCGTCCGCGAACGGCGACTTAGACTAGCACCACTACTGCTAATGGTGCTCGCGAGTGAATTCGAGCGTGATGTCCCAGGAAATTTAGAGGAGGAGGGTTCTTGCATGGGTTTCGTCGCTGGCTCATTCGTCCAGGACAAAGTACCAGAGCTGTTACGGGGACAACACAAACCAGATCTGCAAAACATCCAAAAAGTAAAAGGAAACTTACATAAGCCTATACATGCTGCACGTGCACCGCGTTTAATGTCACTCTCAGTTTCAACCGTGCAAGCACTACTATCCTTTATAAACTGATAAGATGGCTACTCAGAGTCAGGTGCTGCTGGAATGTGAGTGGAAACATGTTCTCGCTCTATGGCAATCTCAAAAACTTGTGCATTAGACCTCCCCAAGTCCGAAGGCCTTTTGCCTAAATGGCAGCTCGTAGTCGCCACAATTGCTGTGTTCAACACTATTCAGAACTTTGCGACACTAAAGCTGACTCGCAGGCTCTATACTGGCGTTCCGTCTGCCTCAAGTATATGATCTTTCATTGAGGCCAGAATTTGACTCACGCTTATCTTTGTCCTTCCAGTAACAGCACTCCAGGCTCGCACGTTTGCAGTTTGGACATTGACATCAGCGGTCGTACGGGGATATGCTGCGTACAACATCAACAACAAAACGTGGGTTGTTTTTCTCGTGTGAAGCCACAATGGTGAACCTCAGACCTAACTTAGGATTTATGACATGGCTCTCCTCACGTACCTTATCGCATTTGGGCACTTTACCTCTGAGATTTGCTTCTTCCGCACGGCCAAAATCAATCTACCTGTCCTGAGCCCTGTGATTGTCTCCAGTATGCGTCCTTTGTTAGTATTTTTCCATTACGCATACTCACCTGCACATGACAGCTGCATCACTGATTTGGATGTTGAGACAGTACGATTTCTATGTCGCACCTTAATCTGACTATATATGACGAATACCGAGGTCCATATCGATGCCATGTGTCTGTTATGCACATTGCAAATTCAATTGTTACACAAACCAGTGAATTATGTGGCAATCAATGACAATAATTCGCCACCGCTCCGAGCGTCTCCGAGCTCGTGGCCGTCCTGTGACCCCATTAGTCTACGAGCATCTCTGAGACGTGGCACGTAATCGACCTCTACCTGCCCCTACCTGCTTGTCAAGCTTGAAGCTTGAAGGGGAACCGATGGTCATACCAACCCTGTAACCAAGCGTGCATTAAGGGTGTCTGTTGCATGACACGCTCAGATGCCAGCACAACAACTAGCCGATCAAGCGTCATCCTTGCACGCGTTTGTGGAAAACTCGTCAGGTTGCACGTCATCCTGGATCCCTGAGTGGTCCGATTGCATAAAAATCAAGTTCGAAGTCACGACAATACGTGGACTATGGTGTGACAGCAGGACCCTGATGATCTCTACCGAGGGCTACCCCACCAGACCTGATTCAGGAGTAGTCAGTTTTGGGGTGGACCAGAAGTTAGAACCCCCCTCTCTCTCTCTTCGGAGGTGGATGACGGCGGGGCCTCGAAAAAAAATCGTACTTTTACACGAAATTTTGCCCCAGCCTCTGTGATGCTGACAAATGTACGCTAGTACTTTGACTACTTGTCTTCATAAAATTCCATCATCTCCATTGCTCTACTTTGTCCTGGGCGAGCATTTATGGCTTTGATTGCACCCAATATTTTTGGAAGTTCAAGAACAAGCTTCTTGAAGTCATATTGTCCCGTGTCAAGCGAACTCGATTGTAGCGCAACGAGTTTGGAGACGACTAGTGTGACCATAGATATATTGTGAGGGGATAAGCACGAAACACTTCACATGCAGTGCCGCGAGCAAGCTACTGCTAATGTAAGTTACTGCCAAATGACCATGGGGGGTGATGTCATTGACGCTCGAGAAGTTTGAGTTTGATGTATCTGATGAGTGCGGTGATAGTCGAGGCACACTCGAGATAACTTTTGATACAAAGTTGACATATATTGATGACTTACGATAATTGTGTCTCCTAGATTACACTCGGCCGATAACAATTCTGACATGAAAAAGGTCGTATGTCGGAGGGGTGGACTCCTAATAGACCCCGGCTTAGAAGCGGCCAGTCCAGCAACGAATTTCGCCCCTTCCTGAATTAGAGCTCTTAGGCCCTTTGACCCCGCCGGAGATGGACCAAGGGCGGCCCTTACTATAGTAGTAAGGATTATCAGGATCCTGTGAAAGCCGAACATGTCGAAGGTGACAGCTAGACATGTCGATTTATGGCGCCAGCGATCATTCTATGCATTCAATGACAAATGATGGCTCAAAACGAGACCTCGCACCAGCAAACAAAATGATCGTATCAAATTATGCGTGGCAGTAGTCAAGTCCCTTTATATTGGCTCGTGGGATCATTGCGTGGTCCAGTCTGCTGAGGTATTGCGACGAGATGGTGTGACGTCGCGCCTAAATGTCATCTGTTCCCCCGATCAGGGCCGATATGCAAACAAACTCCATACCAGAAGATCCGTGGACCTTCGGCGGTACGAGGAGGCCGATGCAAGAAAGCTGGGCGGTGTGCACTAGAGTCTAGTAAATTCCGTCACTATTTGAAACATCCGTGAGTCGTGGAGTGGTCGAACGAACGTTAACTTGATCAACGTGTCGGTAGCTCATCAAATCGAACGCTGGCGTTCTCTAAAGATACCGCGAACGTAAATGATGGTTTCCCCCGCATTACATAATTGGGGTCAGTGCAATAAGGATTGCCGAGCAGTATATAAGTAGTGTTCCACATTCTTCAATTGTGACTCATTCGACGGTTCAACGATTTTTCTCATCCCGGCTTTCGTGCTACTTCTTCCTTGCTTTGTATAATTTCTATGTGTGCTATACTGCAATACCCCCCTGAACTGCTATTCACTATATGCGAATATATTTATGCAGCCGGTTTGCCACCTTCCGAGTATGCCAGTTCTCTCGATCCACTCGCAATTGGCGAGTTTGGAACGCCAACTGCGCTACCTTCTGCTATGCCACCCCCAAATTGGACCGAGCCAGAAGCACGAAAAACCCTTTCTCGTCTCTGTTTGGTAAACCATGCGTGGTATGAAGCTGCTAAGCCATGGCTGTGGCACAAAATCGAGGTTCGTCTGCCCAGGAGTTGGCTCGCTCTCCTAGACGAGATCACAATGGACACCGAAGACGATGAAAAGGCTGCTTTGGCCGTCAAAGAGTCTATTCAAGCAGCCACTCACGCTGCTCTAGCTAGTGCTGTGCGTACTGGCGCATCTTCTGACGAGGATGCAGCTAGGAAATGGAAGGAAAGCATCATGGAGTCTTTGAGTGGCCCAGATGGTTCCATTCCTCCAGAGCTGTTGACGCCTCCAGCATCTCGCGACTCAAGTCCCAGACGTATTAGGCCAAAGAGTAAAAGCCCGGCTCGGTGGAAGATTATGAGGACAATCAGTAACGCCGTTCAAAATGTTATGGATCTTACTGAACCTGGGGTTTATGGTGAGTTTCTCACTGTCTTACTCTACATTCTAGCATAATTGACATGTGTTACGTCTGCAGTCCCGAGGCTTCATGATCCTCGTCCTGGTCGGTTTGTCCGTCATCTAGACTTCAATCACTTTCGTACCATCGGAATGCGTCGTTCCGTAGAAGACAGTGCGACTAGTCGTTTCGTGACCGGCGAACGTGTTGAAGCATTTCTGAAGGTTTGACATTCTGACATCACTCACCATTCTTCCATTGACTGACCATTTGATGCAGGAACTTCCAAACCTTACTGCTTTCGGCGCCACGGAGTACATGGATGGTGCTCTGTCGTTGCCCGTTCTAAATGAACTTTTGCTTCGTGGTTCTGCTTCGAGAGGAGGGGGTCGCCCCACTCGTGGACGAGGAATCGTGACAGAAGATCCAGAAGAAGAGGATCGCGAAAGAAGGAGAGAGTGCAAGGACCTTCAGGCCATGGACCTTACTGGCTGCGTCAGCGCAGTTTTTGTAAGCGCCCTGACAGAGTTCGTCAATACGCATCTTCTTCAAGACGATGAACAGTCTAGTGGAAGTGACGATGAAAGTCGACGTCAGATTAGACGTGCTCGTGCTCGGTTTATGCAAGAGGAGCCACTCACATTTCCAGGGCTTCAGCGCCTTGGACTTCGTGGCGTGAAATCGATTCAACCTCGAGTCCTGATGCCTTTTGTCCTCGCATTCCCTTCCCTTACTCACCTTGACCTCTCCGCTACCCGAGTCACACCGGAATTACTTACTGCTCTCAGGGGCTCAACCGTTCGCCTGCATTCGCTTGCACTGGCTCGGTGTGTTCACCTAACTGGGTCCTGTATCAGAGATTTCCTCGTTCATGCACCGGCAGCAGCGCGAATCCGGGAACTCACGCTGTATGGTGACCAAACATTCCCATCTCCCCTCACTACGGATGATCTTATGGAAATAATATCTTCTGCCCCATGTTTCACCTCTGGTGAACTTACCTACCTTGATCTCTCAAGCGCACCTGTGACTGAAGAGCTTCTCGTTGACGTCTGCAAGCCGCAGCCAAAGCTGCGTTCGCTTGGTCTATCATATATTCCTGATCTCGAATTAAACGTCATCGCTCAATTTTTAAAGAGCAAGGCTGTGAATGTTGAGGTACTCACGCTTGTCCAGACTAGCCCTGATCTAGATTGGGGCAGGGTTGGGCCTGGCGCACCTCGAGGCTCGGCACAACAGGCGATGATGGCTTTACACACTCAAATTATCGGGCCGCTGTGCACGCCCCCCTACATGTCCACTCTACGTTCGCAGGCGGTTGTAATACCTCCTTATCCTACGCGACTTCGGGTGATTGAGCTTTCCGCACCTGCCCTTGCTGCCCTCGGCGCTGGCGCCGGGTCCTGGAGAATAATAAGAAGTAAAGGTGGTCGAGGCTGGTATGTCGACACGGCCAGTGGCTGGGTTGGCGCGGGGCTGCAACGAAACCTTCCCAAAGCGCATCCATTTCGTGTTCAAATGTGTCGCCTAGCAGATGCCAATGGAAACGTAAATAGCGGCATTGGATGGCACGCGAGAAAGATGGAAGTGAGTTACTTACTTTTCATGTCCGATGGGAACGGGACGCTGACTTTTTATAGGTTTTACACGGTTGTGGCATGTTGGGACGTGAGGACGGCTTGTACGGTGCCGTGTCGTTTGCTTATCAGGGATAGCTTTGGATATCCTGTCGACATTTTCCATTAACAGCCGTTGACGGCTTCATAAGCATTGGGTTGTATGTACTCTAGGAGCAATGTCTGTGTTATTTTCTTCATAAGCACCAGCGAATTTACCCCACTAGTCATTTCATGTACTGGATTAATTAGTGCCCTTGGGAGGGCTGAATGTTAATGTGGTTGTTTGTTTAACAGAGTGATGCAGCTAAAAATCAACGTACTCCAAAATAGTGGATCGATCTCGACATGCATAGTTACTGGGGAATCGTCATGATTGTTCAAACGATCATGCGCATAAATTGTGAATGAGAAGTGCGTGAAGTTTGTGGGCTAATGACGTCGAGTTCAATCATACTATATGTCATCCTTGTGTCATTGAATCGAATTGTTGTTCATGGCGCATGGAGTTAATGTTTGAAGCGGACTGCGGAGCGACACTGAATGGCAATTGGCTGCACCCTAGGCTCTGAATGGAGTCCTGCCACGACCAAAGGAAGTAGTACGGGCGGTGAATATCCTGTAATGGTTAGTATGTCGCCCACTTAAACATGCCGACGCTGCTATGCAAGCCTTGGCTGATTCAAAGCCAGCGGTCCTCGGCAACTAGGAGTTGCACCACAGGTCCACAGCTGCATGCGCTCACCTGCGCTCCTAGTGACATGCTTTTGTTCCTGTTTCACTGTGACTAAGTCGGTAGAGACTGATTCCGAAGGTTGCCGTCGGTTGACACTGCCAGTGACAGCGGTTACAAGTTTTGCATTGAATGTCCTTTGAAGTACTGGTACTATTCTGTGCGCTCCAATAGGTTGTCCACTGTGAATATTCCAAGTACCAATCCTATTAATGTGAAGTGCTTCAAGTGTGCTTGATGGGAGGGGTATTTGTTGTGGCTCCACGGACTCCCATTGATTACGTATCACTGTCAGGACTGTCCCGCCCGGACCACCGTCATCTAGAAGTCTATATAGAACTTCTAGAAGCCTCTATAAATGGTTCAGATAAGTTAGCTGTGCTGCTACCACACCTTCGTTGGCTTGTTTAAGAGCAACAAAAACGACCACTACAGCTTTCAATCCGAAACAGTGAGTACTACTACTACTAGTACTAGTCGGCAGGAATCCCCACTTAACAAGTTCACAGCATTTGAACATTCTTTCATAAACCCCAACTCAACTGCGACTTGCTGTACCATGGGTACGTACGATTCGTGTTGCTTATTAAACACAACTGACCTGATCTACTACATTCCTCAGCATCCGACCTTCCTGTCCAAATGGACAGGTCTTCAGATGATGGCAGGTTCTCAACAGAAAGAATCATCCGCAGGCACACTGCCACGGATAACCGCATCCGACTGCCGCAAGAGCTATCCCTGGGGCGTAGAAAAAGCACGAGTGATATCGGTCGTGAAAAAATGGCCTTCTTACCCACTTTACGAAGAGCTGCAACGTTGATGTTCACCCCGGATAAAACAATCGCCAAACCCCCCAATACCTGGAGAAGCATTCGCGCCATCATCTTTTCATCATGTAAGCGGAGACTCTTTCGCAGCTTAAAGGTTGTGTTAATATTTACTTGCGTAGGGTTCAACGTTCTGCTGGTGTTTATTCCCATATCTGTATGTCTTTTTCGTGTCAGTTTGAATCATCTCTGACCAGTCGTTGTTTGAAGTGGGCAATTAACTTTGCTCTCCCTGATCAACAGAGCTTAATCTTTGTCTGTGAGTTGACAAGTCATCTTTTAAATTTCCGGATACTACAACGTGCTGCTGTAGTGACATTTCTTGCCATCATACCATTGGCCAAGGTGATTACAAACTCGCTTTTTGTAGTTGTATCACACTGAGCCACTAGCAGCTCCTGGCGTTCGCTACAGATGAACTCTCCATAAGGGTTGGCCAAACTTTGGCAGGTCTTCTTAATGCTACACTGGTTCGTACATAATCAACTATTTCACGATTCCAATCTAACGACGGAAAATTCTAGGGAAATGCGTCAGTTAGAATTTGTTTCTGTCAACCATTATCTAACTATTCGTGCTTTCTTCCACAGCGTCGAACTTATCGTTTCTGTACGCTCTCATGTTAGCAAACTTTCATGGCGAGATGCTGAGGTTTACACTCTAGATTATCGCTCTCATAAAATGCGAACTCACGGTCGTCCAGTCCTCCTGTATGTCTTCTTATCTCCCTTGCGACCCTAGACTCACAGTTACTTTCAGTGGTGGGATCTATTTTGAGCAATCTTCGTATGTATTCTTGTCTTCCGTCTTTGAAATTAATTGACCACACACCAGTTCTGGTGCTGGGAATGTGCTTCTTTGCCGGAGGCATGCGCTTTTCAGAACAGGGTTTTGGGCAAAGTATGTTTGTAGTGGTCCCGGAATGCTGAACCTTGATTCTTACTTCTGTGGACAGGTGCTGTGCAACTGAATTCGTCACTACTTACCATTAGCGTCATTGCTGTTTTGCTGCCTGGCGCTTTCCACATGGCATTGCAGGGCCAGCCTGCATATAGTGAACTCTCGACAGATTACAACATACTAAAGACCAGCCATGGTGTACGTGTCTGATGTCTCGAAATGCGTAGAATTATTCTCACACCCCCGCCCCCATCCAGGTTGCCATCATTCTCCTTTTCAGTAGGTCAACCAAAGCACAGCTGGCAATAACCTAATCACCCTCGTCTAGTTTACGGTTCATATTTGGTGTTCCAACTATTTTCACATAAAGCCATCTATCAAGACAGTGGCCCGGACATACAACAGACAAAAGGCTATGAGGGCCAGAATCCATGGCTACAGTTGAGACTCTACCGTCGTAAAAAGGCTAAACTTGCGCAATCCCCTTCACTGGCGTGTAACGACGAAGTTGCGCCCAATGCTACTGTGTCTGGTGAAGGTAGCGACTTAGAGCATGGGTCTGCGTCTATGGAGGACACTGAGGTAGAACCAGATATGAGTGTCCCTGTGTCCCTCGGGCTGCTGGTCGTTGTAACTGTGGTACGTGCCACTGCCTGTACTGACAACAATCATTTAAAGTTATTCTCGCTCTAGTTGGTAGCTGTTACTGCGGAGTTCCTTGTCGATTCGATCAACGGTTTGACTGCATCTGGGGCCATCGGTAAAGAGTTTGTTGCTGTGATCTTGCTTCCCATAGTCGGTAATGCAGCGGAACATGTCACTGCTGTCACAGTGTCCGTGAAGGACAAACTAACCCTGAGCTTGGGTGTTGCTGTTGGATCAAGTATCGTGCGTTTGTTTACCCACATGTCTTTATGAGATCGCTGATCGATCTCTAGCAAATTGCACTCTTTGTTATACCGTACGTCTCTTCGTAGTGTCTGCTGCCGCTAGTTTTCACCGTTCGTATTTTGCAGGTTCATTGTGACGCTCGCTTGGATTATGGGTAAAAAATTGACGCTCCTCTTCGACCCGTTGGAATCGATCGTGCTGTTCTTGTCTGGTGCGTACAAATTTTCAACACGATGGCATAATGATCAAACAAATACATTTATCAGTCATCACCGTGAACTACGTTGTACAGGACGGCAAGTCAAATTGGTTGGAGGGCATGATTCTCATGTGTAAGTCCCAGTTGTATTTTGGCCCGCGTTTATGCTCACCATTGTGCAGGTTTATACTTGATCGTGGCTGTCACGTTCTGGTTTTACCCTGGTACGTCGCTGACTAAAATGTCTGTAAATTGCCGAGGTGCTGAGTAGTTCTCTTTTAGGCACCTCAGGCATCTTTGCGTGTTAGAAAGGATAATGGGGCTGACACTGCGCTAGCGATATGGCTTACAACCATGAATACATACTGGATCACCAGAAGACTAATGACCACAACCCTACCACTCCTTTCAGTACATCCCTTGGGCCTACTACAAGACATATAAGTCTAAGACCAACAAACGTTAATGGACCCCGCCTATCCCCTGCTCACGATCTTGATACCTATTGAACGAACGATATTATATTGGCTGACTGACCACTAGACATTGTGTCATTGTTCCTATTTATATCATTTGTTCTTCTCTCCGCCGTGCTGGATGCGTACTCATGGGTGCCCTGCTGCAAAGACTTGTTTCGGTCTAGTCTGAACAGGAGTTTGGTCTAAAGTACTACGTCTAATTTGCCGGTGTACGTAAATTATTGAAGACTTAGCCGTTTTTGGCTAGCACAATATATTTATAAGAATACCCCTTCGGTCGGTCCTTCTACTGTGTTTATAGTAGCAACTCTGGAAATACAATATTAACACAATCTTATCCTTCGTCCCTCTTTGTGAATTGACACATCATATCTCTTCGCGTTCTCACCCCTCGACAAACCCTGTGTACAACTGACCGTGAGCACGCTTACGACGTGCTAGCGTCAAACCTTGACACTAATCTGCGTTACGTACCGCATTAGAGTTTCGCCATCATATCGGTATCGATAAGTATCACTGCGGCTGCGGCCAGCACTGTGGTTCCTCGCTCCTTTGTCTTAGCGGCTGTGAAAGAAGGCTCGACGTCGATACCTGAAAGAGAAAGTGTATATCGGACATACAGAATATTACTTTGTTGCCTGTCTTCCACATCTCCGTGACAAGCGTCTCACCAGGGAATACTACACCGGAGAAACTGCGGGTATGTGAGCACAGCATTTGAGCATAATAGGAACAGCGGTCACCGAACTTTAATATCCTTGTAGGCACCAAAAGATTGTAGAACATGCTTTGCTGCGATCCCCATGAAGCATAGACCTGAGATAAGTTTAGTATGCATTGAGATACATAGCCCGGGCATAGAATTCGGATATTACCATGAAGAATGGGTTGATCGAACCCGCCGATTGCCGCGAAGCTAGGATCAATCTGTGTTGGAGATAAAGACTACTTGAACCTCGAGTAATTGCACCATATCTGTACGACTTACGTGTAAAGGATTATAGTCACCACTTAGTCTACATACTAGGATCAGAAAAGCGAGAAGATACAGTCATATATTGAACTCTGACCTGTAAAGTGCAGCTTGCGAGGCGCTTGTCTTCTCTTCGATCACAGCATCAGGTTGACGATTTGGGGGTGTATTTACGGCTGTTGCAGCGCCTCGATCTACAGCAAACTCAGATAAGCCTGAATACGCCAGTGTTCGAATAGAAACTTCAATACCTCTGCCAGAACGTTTGCCACCGAAGCCGCCGGCCCCTCGAATGAAGACCGTTATTTGGTTTTCGAAGATCACATTACCTGTGGCTACATCCTTCGTGTACACTATGGTGGTGACCGAAGCAGCCTTGCCCTTATCCAGGACTTCCAAGAGCCTGTGCAGCAAAATTGGGATTGGCGCGAGGATGGCGCGAATATACACAAACCTGGTTTCATTTACAAAATTTCCCTCTGTGGGTATAGGGCTTTTGATAGCCAGATACTGTTCGCCATGAAGAAGCTTAGCCTGACTCGTTATTAAGTTCTCGGGAGTACATTGAATTCTATCAGGGTGCCTCACAGGATTGAAGTTCGGCAGCCAGCCTAGTGAAACACCAGAACTGGCTGCGAATTGCGGGATCACTCCAAACGTTGGAAGTGCCCCAAACTCCTCGTGGCTTTCATAGGTCCATTGCAGGTCTTTAGCTGTCGCGCCGACGCCAAGGTTGTAGAGAATGACATCGCGTTCGGTGTAGCTGAACTCATGGTCTTCGGGCTTGTCTTTCTTAGCGTCGGCAACGAGTTGGGAGTCCTCTGGGTCGGTGAAAACGTCTGGTAGTGTGGACATGTGGGAAGAGTACTAAGAATCAGAATCACATGCCATGTTACATGTAATTACACGTTGTTAACGGCGCTTACTAACATTGCCAGTCCATGTTAGTGACTTTCGGGATCGACCATCATAAATATGGCCTTTGGTATACTTGACCTTTAACAAATCTGTTCGATGTATCACTCCAGTTAACGTTGACGCCTTAAGCTTGAGCTTGGAGGATTGAATGTACTCGTCAGAATTGAGTCCCCTAGCCTAAATTATCTGTACCTTTTGCTACGGTGGCTAATAACTTCAGTGACCCGTGCGCGGGTTAGTACGAGTACGTATTTGCCGCACTCATGCCAATGCAAGATACAGTCAACTGTAAACGCCAACGCGCTATTAGACGACCGACCATCATGATCTCCGATGGCGCCAATATTTCGTCAGCTTGCGCCTCTCTTCTCTCCACCAGCGCAATATAGAGCAAGCGTACTTTGCCGGTGAGTAGAGTTTCCCTTGCTGCCCCAATGCCAGGTTCACTGACTCACTTTTCCACTCAGCTTTCCTGGCTCTTTCCTTCCATCTACTTCCGAAACCAGAGCCCGCGTACCTGCATAAGGAGGCTTACTACCAATCACCGGGCCCAGCCTCGCCTCGTAGGTATTTTTCCAACCAATCTCTCATCTATTTCTGCCTCTTCCCCATCACCATCCAGCCAAATGTGACGCTGCGCTCGACTGCGCCATCGACTTCGTGATGCTGTCAGTTGGCAATGGACGGGCCGTTGTGTCGAAGGAATTGGTAGATGTGAGTGCTCGCATTTTTTTTGGTTCCGAGTCTTTACTTTCTGCTGTATTTGTGCGGCTCTTTTTTCGAATGTCGGATACCACGCTCATCTGATTCATTTGCCAGCGTGGGCTTCGACTCACTGACTTTATTTCTATTTCTACAGAATGTCATGGCGGTGCGCTGGAGTATTCAATGTCAACAGTTTCGTAATATCGATTCAACGTTGTCCAACGTCCTCTACTTCACTACTACGTCTTCACCGACGGAGGCTCATGACTGTTTGCACGCTTCTGACACTCGTGTGCACATGTTCACATTTGTTCCCGCTCGCGTCTGCACTTGCCTGCGCATGTTGGTACTTGGGTGGGTATTGTTTTCAGTATCTACATTTCATGTTTGTAGAATAGCTAATTTAATAACATTTGTATGTATTACCTGCAGGTACGGGTTTTTGTCGGGATGGCCTCCAGTACCCAGAATTTACCCGTGCAGATAGATTTGATACCCCGGGTCTTGTGTGCGATAGATTTCCTACAACTATCGTGTAGCTTACACGAAGAAACAGTGCTGCTTGCAGTTTACCGACCATAAACTTATGCGATAATCGCGTAGACAGCATGCGAGCACCAAAAAAATGGGCGAGTCATACCATAGATGGACATCTATCATGCTTCAATATTTCCGTAACCGCACTATTTATGACGCGTTGTATAAGAAAAGGGAACACGCGGTAGAAACACCGGACCGCAGTGGATGTCAAACTTTCAGGACTCAACAACAACCATAATGGTTTGAAGGGCATAAATCTTAAATGCTGTGCGTGCCGTGACGTGGCACGTTCCAGCAAAAAACGTACCACCAACAGTCAATGCCACTGCCCATAGGTAGTAAGCAGCTCCGGTGGTCCGAGGATGTTATGCGCAAGTCGGGTCTCCGTTATCTCGCCGCGGCGTCGGGACCCACAGAGATGCCGTAGTGGTTGCGACTCGAATGGTTCGGTGGTCCTAATCGAGCGTGTAGTCTCCGTGTACCTTGCAGAAGCGAACGAAAGCCCGGCCAAGCACCTTTCAAATCCAGGATAGGAGGGTATGTATCACTGGATGTGTAGAAGATGGCTTCAACAAGTCCTTATGTGTAGGGCATGTTACAATAGAGTCACGAAGACTTCACTTTTGACGCTGCGGTGAATCCGGTATCAATTAGCTTTTACTCTTCTTTGAGATGTACACACGGTCTAGATCATCCTGATGCCAAATACCATATGGGTGTGAGCTAGGAGGAAGGTTCAATTCACTTGTGTTATGTAGCTAAACTGGGGGAGGGCAACGTTAGGCTGATTTATCCGTGTAAGTATACAATATGTGGAACGTTCTACGCACTCTCAGTACCGGCTGATGACACATCTACCACGGCCAACTTCTCCTTTGCCTGTAAAGGGTTCAGTAATGATCGTAAGTATGAGTATCGGCATTACTAACCTGCGCCAGTAGATCACTTTCTACCTCAGGCAGGCTCTCTCGCACATCCCCTTCTCGAGGCACAACATCCCATCTCGTTGGTGGATTCTCGATACACAAGCAGATATCCTCTGGGATATGTCGTCCATGCTCCGCATTGAAATCTTCTCTTACCTGACGTTCTTCTGAATAATATTATCACTCCTTCAGCAACTACCCCAAGAAGGGACGAATAAAGCTGACCTTCAGTCATTGCCCTTAATTCCAGGATCATCCCTTCGACAACCTTCTCTACTGCTTCTTTGATTTGTCTTCTCCTTCCGATCTCAACAAGGAGTTTCTTGAACGAAGTTTGGTACTGGATAAAACGGTGATGAAGGTCTTCAACGATGAGAAGTCGCTCCTGGAGCCCGTCGAGAAGCTCTTGGCAATCATTCTGTCAAAAGATCAAATACTGACTTCAGCATATATAATATAAAATGTTACCTCGACATCTTGTTGCTTCTGCAACATGTCAGACATGATCTCACCTAGCTCGTCGAGGTTATCGAGAGTTAAAGATTGCGTGGTGAGTCGTTCTTGAGCAGCTGTCTTTGCTGTCACCAGTTGTTGGCTAAGCAGAACATAAGAATGCCACATCATGCGCATAGCAAAATGCTAGCTTACTGAGTATCTTCGATCGAGAGTACTTGTTCTTCTAGCTCAGCCATGATAGAAGGTAGCTCTTCCGTATCACGGTTCATGTCTTCAACGCATTAGTCAAAAGCTGAAGACCAGACACTGCGCAAAAATTAATTCAATACCTTGTAAGTCCTCCTCGCCAAATATCTCTCCAGCTTCGCTTTCTCTCAACGCGTCTGCCATTTGTTCATAGTGGGACGTAAGACTACTGAGGTGGCGTGCCATGAGCTCCGAAGGCTGCTGCTGTGCATTCAATATATCCTCTATCGAAGGTACGTTACTAGACGATGGAAGAGACTCGCGAATGGACGATATAGCAGCCGAGAGAGTTTCTGGGTAATCATACGTTGAAGCCATAATATCCTTTTCGCGGATTGAGTGGAGTATTCTCCTGAGAGTGCAGATAAAACTCACGTCTAGCCTTGTTCTGTCACTCTCTAGTGTGTCCAGCACGTTTTCAATAGCACTCTCATCCACGAAGTCGCGCAGTGTCTTCCACTTGGTCCGGTCTGCGTTCTTGCCGTGACGGTCGAATGGGTTATCCCGCACAGTGGCGGAAGGGCTCTGCTGTGCATTGAAAATTGCATTGCCATTCTTTCCATCAATGGAGTGTTGGCTTCCGAACAGGGAAGAACCAGAGGAAGACTGGTGGAAACCAGGTGGTACTAACTGTGCCCCTAGGGACTCGAGGATATTGTCGAGGGCCTCAGTACGTTTCGAGCGCACAACATCCCATGCCTATATAGATTACTGTGTAGAAATGTCACAAGTTCAATAGACGGGGAAGCGCCACACACCTTAACTTGCTTATCCAGCTGAGCACGCTTATACTCAATACTCTTAGCAACATTCGCCGCAAGCTAGAATCGCTAAATTCCTAGTATCAAGTTAAATTTGGGGGCAAAAATAACGCACCTTGAGCTGCTCAAGAACGGCCTCTGTGATCCACTTAACTTTCGCGTCCAGTGTAAGCACGTCTAGCGAACATTGCGCGGACGCGTTTGAAAGACTATTAGCCTTGGAACAAAGTTGTTGGCCGTGTTGAAGTGCTTTCTTAGATTGCAGAACTAGAGAAACGAGATGAGGCTGCTCTGTTTGCTGTCCCGGTGGTGGGGAGGCCATGTCAGGACGTGGGCCCAGGCTGTTGGGGTCGCCAAAGGCTTCCAGCGGTGTGGCTGTGCTAGTATTATGTATGACTCACTAGCTAGATCATCAAGTTCAAGTGCTAGTTAACCGCCACCCTAGTAGAAGCTCAATTTCGCTTTGATATCTTTATCTCTTAGACTAAATCATGCGTTCAACCGCGCTCTGCTCGACTTGCTCATCGTGTCTTCCACCCAAAGCTGCCCCAGACTTATTTATGACCAAATGCTGCGCTCGCCCCATCTGTCCAACCTGTATCAGCTCAAACCCTCGCCTAAGGAGCTATAATCCCTGCTTGTCCTGTTTGGGTGGCGTGGGCGTGGTTAGCTCGGCTTTCCTACAGAACATCCGCGCCGCAAATAATGACACAGTGCAGGATGAAGATATATTTATTCTTGGGGATGATGAAGATGATGAAGACGAAGCTCACGAGCTTGCTTCAGTGTCCCCGATCTCCGGACCCGCTCCGCCTGCGTATCCGTCGTCATTATCCAGCCTAAACAGTGAATCAATACTCACCACGCAGACTAGCGATGCATCCGCAGGACATGCGGAAGTTGTAGTCACGGGCGAGCATTGTATCCCCTCTAGATATTACATCAATTCTAGGGACACATTACAGGGGATTGCTCTCCGCTATGGAGCTAATGTAAGATAAGCTGTGCGCACTAATGGCCAACACTAACCTATGGCATGCCATCGTTAAAGGGTCGGGAATTGTGCCGTTTGAATAACCTACCCCCAAGCACCCTTTCTACCACCCCTCATCTACTCCATACCCGCACTTTTATCGTCCTCCCACCCTCCGAAAACTCTCACTCTGTTACGTGTGATGCGGATCTGGATGCAGAAGCGAGGCGCGTCCGCGAGAAAGCCGAGAAGCGTTTGCAAATGCTGACGAAAGAGGCAGACTGGCGTGTGGCGAAAGCATACGTGGCTCTGGCTGATGATCCTGACGAAGAAGCCACGTATGGCTTCAAGTGCAAAGAAACTGGCGGCATTGGTGCCAGCACCTTGGAAGCACGTGCAGCTGGTCAGTACCTAGAAGATCAGGAATGGGAAGAGGAACAGAGAAGAGCTGGCAAACGCATCTCGTTAAAATCGCTATCATTCCTTTGAGACAAAGTTGTCGCATAGACACGAGAGCGCCTCTATCGTTCATGGCATTTTACGCATGACCCATACGAATCCCTGTGGAAGCCAGGTCAGCGGAGGCCCCAACTTGTCCAGATGCTGTCCTTGTTGCCAGTAATATCAATCTTACAGATTTATGCGCAAAGTTATCAATCCCTTATCGACTACTGAAGGCACTAGTACATTTTCGTAGGCAAGGTGATTTATTCAAATTATACTTCCTCTATGTCGTACATCATATATATATATTGAGACCTTCACTGTAGGTTGCCAATAAGAAGACAGAACGACCTGGTTGGCATCCTGAACCAACCTCCAGGAAAACATGGTACTGGTCAAGTTTCAACCGTCCATATAGGGGCTATTGGCTTAATGTGCGTGGCGCATTCACCTACTCATTTAAAGGTTCGGTGAATTAGAAAATGTTATCGTGCTATAAGTGGGATACGCGAGACTAACCACAACTTCAGATTACAGTATGACGTGAAATATTGACCCACACCGTGTGTGACCGTAACGGACTCGAACTCGGATTCTGTTGCTGCCCCGGTCACTCATAAAAAGTATCTGCAGAGAAACTTCAGATGTCGCAGAAGCTTATCAGGAGCTGTCAAAATTTAAGACGCACGGGGGGCAGAATTCTAGAAAGCTCGTGTAGGGAAATTTTGACGAGCTCATACGGTATACCGAATTCGAAATCCATATGTACGTATGTACTTAGGCCGCCACTGGCAACCCTGGACGGTAATGAGCAAAATAGGAAAAGGCCGGCAATTTAACGCTCAAGCCAGCCGGAGATCCATAGCTAGCTGAGCGCTGATCCATAGTGAGTTCTTTAAATTTTTTGAAGACTGGCACAGATAGATTACGTCAGGTCTGCAAGGATCTCTTCCCGCCTCTTTGGTCCCGCCTTTCCCTTCGAGTTTTAAGCCCATCTGGTCAATTTGTCGGTAAAGAATCGTATCGACTGGTGACCATCACAATCACGATTAGGCTACAGCCTGCTATAGCGGGGACCTCAAGCTCCTTCACTTCAAGTACCCATCTATCTGAATCGTTCCAGAACTTTCGACGAGTCCCTCCTCAGGATACCGCACGCTGCACTTCCACGGACCACAAATGACAAGTCGCGGTCACACTATCTATCCTTCACAGCACATTCGATTTCACGCCGCGAATACAAATAGCTATACCTTTTAAAGCTCCTTTCCTCTTCCGAAATTTATTGCTTCGTTGTGTACGTGTGGCGCGTCGACGTGTGTCACGCCGTTTGGAAACAAATTAATCACACACATGTACCCACCGATTAATTGTACGTACTTATTGATCAGTCTGAACGATGGCCATCTTGTTGAACACAGGTTTCACAGAAATTACTAACACACAAGCGTTAGGTAGTCACTTTTCACGTCTGCAACAACGATACAGCTCAATTTAAACGGCATGCTTGACAGGTCTTAAAGGTGCGTTTCCCTCATCTACAGATGCAGATCCCACTAATAATAAATTCTAGTAGGATGGCTTGCTTTACCCAGATAGGTAGCCCTCAGTAACTTGGCCTAGTAAGTACTAGAAACTAATGAAAGGGTCAGATTTGAGTTTCAATTGTGCTTCGAGACGAAACCAAGATGTAAAAGAAGGCCTGGAAGTATACACATTGCATCTTTTACTTCTTTCCCTCCATCTCTTGCTCATGTTTCGCGACATTGAACCTCTCGTAAAACCAATAATTCCATCTTTCCCCTTGGATGATTCATTATATTGTCTAGACCCTGAGGAGATTGCCTTCTTCAGGAGACAGACTGGCATTCAAGATGAAGTGGACCTGAAGACACACATAATTGATGTGCAAAGGGAAGCATACAAGGTGCTCTGCGGTTTATGCGAAAATTGGTTGAATATACTTATCGCGAATTGTAGATAGCTCCCTATGCTTGTATCCGAGGATTTGATTTCTTGCAGTGAGTGGTCACCTAGACTTACTAAGAGGATTACTCACATCGGTGACGTCGTCGTAGCCAAACCATGTCTAAACTACATATTTACGACCACATTTTGAAGCGTGGTTCTGAAGGAGCAATATTACTCGATGTCGGTTCTTGTCGTAAGTAGACAACCCCCTTGGATCTTGCATGTCACACCTAATTTACCCTCGCAGTTGGTGCCGATGTCAGGAAGGCAGTTGAAGATGGATTTCCGGCCCATAACATCATTGCTTCTGATATTAAAGAAGGTTGGTTCCTTCAAAATATCTTCTCCCTGTCACTAACAAAGTATTTTGGATGATAGCATTTTCCGAGTTAGGACGCAAACTCTTTAAATCGAGCTTGGAGCCGATTTTATTTATACCCGGCGACATATTTGACCCCGCATTTCTATCGATTTCGCAGCCAGCTAGGTTTGTCCCAGAGAGTGCGATGCCGGACATTCAAACGCTGCGGTCACTAAACGACCTTCACGGTCACGTCGGTATCATCCACGCTTCCAAGCTATTTCATCTATTTGACGAGGAGAAGCAACTCGAACTTGCTCGCGTCTTGGGAGGCTTGCTATCCTGCAAACCTGGTTCCACAATATGCGGTACTCACTCAATTGCATTGAAGAAAGGCATCGTTCATCACACAGTGCTAGGCATTAATATTTCATGCTTTTGCCACTCCCGAGAAACTTGGATGAGTTTGTGGGATGGCATCGTGTTTAAAAAGGGTGAGGTAAAGGTTGAGACGACAACATCCACCGTTGATGTGGGCGGCGTTACTTTTCGCCTTTTACATTGGTCTGTTACGAGACTCTGAGGATTTTGTCCATTCACGGAAGAGCATGTCTATTTACATAAGTACACGACTCGGACCAGTCCAGATCATTACCTTCTACTAGTTACTCTACTACTAAGTAGTATTTACCCAACAATTGCTAGAAACAACACACTCGCCCTTGCAACAATAACACGCAGTCTTATGCATCGCCAACTCATGAGCGTTTGCACGTTCTCAACTTGAAAAACGGCCAATAATGAATGAGTTTCTTCCCATAATCCGCAGGAGCACTCAGATCCTTTCTGGCCGACATCATCGGCTCCTTCGAGTTCGGCGGGAGTTCCTGCCAGTGCGAGTAATGGTTGTTGCTCTTCTTCCTCTGTAGTCTAATGAGGTTGATCAAGCGACACGCATCCATGCCCATCTCACGAGGTAGGCCATGAGGATGAGGCTTCCCATCAAGTCTCCCGGGCCTTAAGTCAGGACGCTGCTTGGCGCAGGAGACCACTGATAGGGCGACGGAAGTCTGAACGATCACTACCTCGCTAAAAGACAACAGCTCCGAGTCCTTGTATTCACCTATTGTTCATACTAATATTACAGAATAGCCGACCTCAAACCCTTACTATCTCAGGATGATATACCACCTGATCTGGAGCAACTTGCAAGATTGGAATTGGCAGTCAACGTCAAGGTGAAAGGTCGAGATTACACGGAGATGAAACATGACGGAGATTAAGCAGAACCATCAGGCCTTTGGACACGGATAGATGGATAGACAAGTCGATTGTCAAGCCAAGGAACAACAACGATGCAAGATGGTCGAGCATCAATGTAATAAAAATACAGTAGAAAGGCAAGGACCTCCGAGGCACAGTTGAGCTGCGCACATTGTCATGAAGTCATGATTACAAGCGAGCATTCTTAGGCATCTGTCGAATTGCCTGTCTCACTCCGAGGTCGCCGAGTACATCTTCCGCTATGATGATTCAGTTCAAATACCACCTTGGGCCATGACAACACTGCGACACTGACCTCCGCCGAGAACCGCATCGAAGGGAATCGTGCGATGGTACTATCGTGGGCATCATGATCAGTTAATCTCCTTGCACGATAAGACGAAGTGAAATTCTCACAAGCTCAATATACTGCCCCATACCAGTCTTCGTGATGCCCCGTCCGCCGAAAATCTGAACGGCATCGGTAGCCGTTTCTTGGGCACACCTCGTTGTATACATCTTGAGCAGACCGATCGGTCTACGGAAAATAACGTGTGAGCAAAATGCCACCATGGCGCATAGCTAAGACAATACCCCGCAAGCTTCTGTGCCTGTTCCTTGTAAGTCTGCGAAAACGCATCGCTTGATGAGTCTCTTATACTCGAAGAGGATGGAATGAAGGTACCATATTGCACATTTGCATAGTTAAATTTTCAAGCCAATTCTGAACACTTTCCGTACGTGAGATCATGGCTGCAATCTTTGATCTGATTACTGCCAGTGAAGACAAGGGTTTTCCAAATGCCTTGCGCTGAGTGACCCATCTAGCAGATGAAGTAGTTAGTTGATGTTTAAAAAAGAATCGATGAACACACTTGAGGCATTCCTCAACGATCAGCCGCTGACCTCTAGCGGAAGCAGCGCACATCACCCACCGCTCGTGATTGAAATTGCTGTATAGCTATATAAGTTTTTCAATTCATTTCGTCGAAAATGATACACACGAGAGAATGACGAAGATTCCCCCACCCTCGGGTCCGAGGGTGTTTTCCACAGGGACCTTGACATTTTCAAATGTGACATATGCGGTACCAGCTGTTGATGAATAGCTCGTTTTGATGGGTTTTGTCTCGAGACCTTCCGAGCGTTCCACCAAGATGACAGTGAATCCAGTCTGCGAATATAATCACTCAATCATTCCATTTTAATAGCGTCAATAATAACTTGCATCAGTTTTGCACCCCACAGTGAAGCTAGTCGCAAATGTAAGTTCACACAGTACGGCTTGGACTTTTGTACTTACTAGTCGGCAAACCTGCGGCCCAAGTCACGTCAGTAATACGAACATGAAGATTCCGCAGCTACTTCACTCACATCCCGTTGGTTATCCACTTCTTCGTGCCATTGATAGTCCAATACTTCCCATCTGAACTCTTCGTCGCACGAGTCCGCAGGCCAGCAACATCGCTTCCCGCAAACGCCTCAGATATCGCCAGGCAAATGAACTTCTTGCCAGAAAGCACTTCAGGAATGATCTTCGATTTGAGTTCTTGCGATCCAAAGTTCATGATAGGTGGTAATCCTATGACAGCTCCGCTTTGTAGAGCTGTACATCCCCTAATTAGTGTCCGAATGACCGGAATTTAAAATTGAAGATATGTTACCATCGCCATATCCACGCTGACCGCAGCGAAATATCTCCTGTATGCAGACAAGCTAAACTTAAAGTTAGAATCTTGACAATAAAGTCGAATACCACTCTCACCTCATGGAAGTAATCAAACTAAGAGTGTTACAGGTGTCAAAATTGAATACACATTGAACTAGAGCTCGTTACCTCCTCAGGAGACACCACACCACCCATAAGGGTGAGGCCTTTCAAGTGTTTCCCCGGACCAAGGCGCATGGCATGTATGTTTAGGTCTCTATGAATATCCACGTAAGAATGAGATACTTATGTACAAATGAAATGAACAGACGCCATAGCTTTGATTACATGGGCACTTGGCCGTTTGCCATCTTCCTCATGCAGCTGGAGAATCTACATGAGAATCTACCTTGGCAACAATTGGTAGAACTCACCAGTGCATCTGGAGTGATGACCTCATCCACGAACTCTCGCATCGCTACTTGTAGGCGTCGATGACTCTGTTTTGATGATCATGAGCATTGAAATCCAAATAGGTTGGCCGTGAATTTCACCTCCTTGAAGTAAGGGCTGTAGTACCCAGCGCTGAGCCAGGTAGGCTCTGCATACGGCACATCACTGAGCTTCCCAACCTCTCGAGAATATATAACGCTCCTCTCTCCTTCAATGTGACCTATTTGTAAACGAGCATATTGTGGTCGCAGAAGCACTTCATGACGGTGAAGGCCATAAAACGCCTCGGTCGCATCCTGACCAGCTAAAGAGCTTATTCAGTTTTTCGAACACCAAATCACGAAAACAAAATGTACCTATATCTTCTTCTGCGAATACTGAAGCACCCCCTGGATGCAAATCTTTGAAACGAGTGATATCGTACACCTTGCTATCAATAATGATCCACTTTACAAGTATCAAACTCAGCCAAAAAAATAACGCGGAGTGAAACTCTCACCAGGTCATCGGGCTTATTGTGCTGTGCAATATATAGGTCAGATCAAGCTCCACGCATATGACGTGTTCTATGACACACCTTTGCCACCTCTTCACAGGTGAAGACCTTCAAGTCCTTTGACTCCATGTTATGCTTCAAGCTTCAAGGACGATCGTCTGTGTGCAAGTATGTATACTATGGTTGGAACTTGGTTGGAACCGTTAGAACTTTGATGGAATCACATGCTCGTGACTTGTGGCATCTGAGTCCGAATCATTTAACGTAACAGTGAGAACTGGGATACTGCCGCGAGTCAACAAAAGCATCATGGTCAGTGACGGGAGCAAGCAAATGTTGTTAAAGGTTGTAACATTGATCACTGTCGCCGGTGGTCATTCGATGGTTTTCATTAATGTGTTGGATTCAGTCAGAGATCGTAAGCGAACCTCAAAATTCCGTCATTTGAAATTAATACCACAATGTTCGCACACTAGTGCACGTACCCCTGTTCGCTCCCGTTCCCTGACATTTTCAACTTTCACTAGAACTTGCTTCATCTGAGTCCGATGGTTGTGTCGGTTAGACTCCACTGGCAGACAACATGCTCGCGATGGATTGAAACTCTGGCCAGCGTTAGCTGTCGAAATATTCACTGCCAGCAAGCCAATCAGGCCGCATTGCAATACTCCCCAGTCACGCCGACTCGGGAGTGGCAGGGATTAATGGGCTTGTTAACCGCGCCGATTATAATGCAACCAGTATGTTAAACGTTAAACACACTTCACAGTCTCTAGAGCACGCATTTTAATCAAACTCACAGGGTCAATCATTCCATGAGTTCCGATTTGCTCCTGCTTAATGATCGATAGTATCCTTCACCAGGATGCAATCGGCTGGACGTTCTACATGCAGTGGCCTTCATGCTTCGAGCTTCAAACTGCTTGACCTAATACTTAAGTACATGGCTAGTCATGCATTAGTCAAATTACCACACAGTTGAAGGACGGCGGCCGCCCATCGCCGTGTCCCCGATTTCAACCCATAGAGTATCCATGCTGCCTGATGATATGATCTATTCATCGGTGTCGCCAGAAAGCAGGACTTTGTCAGGACTATTTCCCAAGTGCCCTTCTTTTCTGATGATCAAGTGCAATACAAATTTCCCGACGGGCGTCAGTACTCCGGATCGAAGGTGTCACAAGCTACCGCCAAGTATTGAAATTTTCGTGCATAATAGTGCGTGAGTTCTATTCCCCTCGAGGATGTAATAAGACTGAAAGGGGTAGCGGGGATTCCCCTCGTATCTGTAACTCCAGTAGTTGTTTATTACGACCAGCGTCGCGACATCCGTCTAGAGCCAGTCTAGAGCTGTCTGAAAACAGATCTGGGAGCCCAACAGCTCTTGCACACATGACTAAGGCGTGTGTCCTCAAAGAATTTCGAACCTCGGGCACTGGCTGCCCGTAGCCGAAGCATTCCAAAATATTTGCTTATCACGGGTGGAAGCTTTACTACTCGACAACGACAAAGTGTTTGTTTGAGGATTTCAATTATGTTGATGACCATCACTTCTTAATCCATTCACCTTGGTGGCGGTCCCACATTCTCGGGTTCCGTTTGTGTATGCTTCCAGCCTACCTGGATTGTGCAGAAGACCATTGTCGTGTGGTAATCACTTGTCGGTACCCCGCTGAAGTCGGCAAGACCCTCGTTAATGTTGCCATCTTCAGATCCATTTTCGATGTTGAGGTGCCAGTTGCACCAACACGTGTGCTATACCGTTCTGCAGATCGGCGTAGCACTAACTATCTTCCATTGCAATCGTGAGTAAACGGATTCTCAGTATCTGCGAGTCTGTTTCACTACGCTTCTATAGAGATGACGAATATCGAGTGTGTAGGGTCACCCTTCCAGTTGCCCCAGACGTCAGATCTAGCGTTCATTTATTCTACTATTAAATGATGCCACTTTAGCAGTCTCGTACGATAGACGATCACGCTCTTCCGGTGCCCTCTTTTCAAAGTGATGCAGGCTTCCATGCGTTATATTACGAGAGAATCGGTTCCCGCGAAAGGTTTACCTTTCTCTCCAGCGAAGAGAAGTTGTCGATACCTCATCCACACCCTCGGCCATCTTCTCTCACCTCATGGTGAGTTTGTATGGGTCATGATTACGCTCGTTCCTACGCGACTGGGCTTCTCTAATATGTATTGAGAACTTCTTTTCATATGATGACTATCGCATGCGGCATCGCACCATTACGCTCTTGTATCTTACGACATCCGAAGTAATATTCTGATTCATCTGCCACATAGGAGCTTTAGATCTGGTGCGCTCGCCCATTATGTCCTTGAAATTTGGAGTGGAATCTCACCTGCAAATACAGAAGGTTTTGTTGCGTGGTCAGAAGCTTCTTCACACATATGGAAGATTCACCGTTCTCGAAGCATCTGATATTTTGGAGTGTTTATGACAGTTTGAGCCTGTCCGAGTCCAAAATCTTGACGCTACCATGATATGGATGGCACGAGACTGCAATTTGTCCGATTATACAGGCAGGTGAGCATCATCCTCTGATATGCAGAACACCCCGGTGTTCTTTTTCAAACATTCAAGTTATTGCCCTATTGAGAGATAACTCTACGTAGGACATTACAGACAGGACCCCCAGTGTCCTTTCGCATCTCCGAGTCCTTTGACACCCGTGAGAAGATGCAAAATGCATGATGGTCGTATTCGTTGCGCTGATCTTTTTACCCCAGCTTCGCCTTATAGAGTGGGATTATCCCCGCCTCGCCTCGCGGCTCCCCGTATGCTCCAAGGACCCTGCTTGGAGCCTAATCACTACCCCCGTGCGTGACATATCCCATGTGTCTTCTCCAGTCTATAACTAAAGCAAGGCTATTAGTCTGGGGATAATTTTGTACATCATTTCCGTCTAGCATCCAAATTTGCCCTAAGCTGTTCCTCGATGACTGCATGGGTACTCAAATTTTGTGGACGCTTCTGGAGAAACTGAATGTATTATATGAAGAGTTTGTATTCTCGTTCCTGTTCCTCTTGACTATCTAGATGTTGCCCCATTGAACGCGGTAGCACTACGCCACGTTTCGTTCGATTCGGACCATACGTGTCGGGTGCAGCTAATTATTACTCGAAGGACTTTACCTCCAAGTAACATGATTGAACTTTGGAAAGGGTTTTTATCATGAATCCTAATCTAATAGTCCCTGGGCCTGAGCCGTCTGAGTGTGAATCTATTCAAAGTGCTCTTTAGTCGACACTTCAAGGCACTTCAAATCGATCCAGCGAATCTTATTTAATCCCTGACGAGCGTGCCCGCCACAGAACGCGTTGCCACATTTCCCCTGGACAGATGCGCCCTGTGACACACAAGATCAAGAGTGTAGGAAAACCGTTATCAGCGCGCTTGAGGTGAAATGATCTGTTAACCTTATTGAGTGCAGTCGAGTGACGGGATTCGTCCATAGATACTGCCGTACTACCAATTGAACTTCTGTGTAGTTGGTGATTGATCATCTGAAAGGTACTACAGCAGCTCTAAAGACGACGTTCTGCATAATATGCATGTTGAGGGCATGTTGCACAGATTCGATCGATCATGGGTATTATTTTCTTCTCTGGATCTGCGGGTTTACGGCAGGCAGTGGCCAGTCAACTTGTACAGATGTCGTGATGTTGGCCTGATTCGTGTCAGAGTGGAATAGAGCCGGCCAAGAAGGAGCGCTTTCCGAAGTGCGGAAGCGGTAAAACGGCTGGATGGTGGCTAGGTCGTGTTCTTAGGACCCTTGGCAACTTGTAAGTAAAACGCTCATAACCACGAAGGTTGTGCCAAATCTACGATCAGTTTAGCCTCATGCTGACCGGTCCTTCGTGACCATTTCCGTACTACCCTTATCAAGGACTGCGAGTCTAAACGGTAGTGGCACCCCACGGATAGATGAGATCACGCAGCTACTCTCAATGCAGGTGCGCCCGTCACAAAGCTCCGGCTGCTCTTTTACATTACACCATGGTTCGATATGCGCTCCCACGATTACTTCGTAAATGGGTTTCCGCTACACCGAAGATGCCTTACCATATGCATCCAATCGTATTGGTCAATCGGCCGGTGTGCGTATAAAAGCATACCACGTCAATCCGAGTCAAACCCAGTCCTCCCTACCATTCCGCGTTCGTCTTCTATCCATAATCCCACCACATACTTCAACATGTGCAGCATGGAATGGTGAGTTCCATTCACACCGAAAGTCTTGCTTGTCAATGACCAATGTCCGTTCGTCGCAGTTTCGGTGATCAGTACAGAGGATGTGGGGTGCGTTATTCCGAGCTTTCAGCGAGCATCGACCTCTTAACAACCACAATGGCACCATTTAGCATTACGTCCGGGTCTATCAGACTGGAATTACATACGATTGTGCTCGGCCGAATTGCAAACTAAGTGCAGCACATATGCACAGAACTGCCAGGAACTGCGGGTGCAACATGGTGCGAAAACACGCGCTTGCTCCTGATTTTGGCCAGTCTTCTTATGGATATTACTCGCTTCCAGGAATTTTCTGATCACCGCAGAGTTCGCAACCTATTCCAAACAAAATGCGAAGCTTGCCTGGAGTATGAGGGTGGGGGTTCGGATGAGTACGGCCATCGAACGGGACGGCATTGGTGATTCATCAGCATGCAACTACTATACTCCTGAGGTTTGTTGTCATCGCCTCTACTTATCTTGCTACCCGCCATCGTACTGCATTCGCCACTAATTATGATATCCCCCCTCGGACACTTGACTGCTAGTTGCTGTGCTATTAGCTGTGTTTTCATCGGCATCTGTCGAAAGCTGCTATTCACTCACAGTAACCGTTGTATTCTTACGGCACAGTTAACATCTTTGGGAGTCCTTTCATTTATAGAGATAGCTCCACATCTTTTATACAGAAAAGGGGTTAATGATGTCGATCCATCAAAGGGAAGTCATGGTATTGAATATACCCCAAGAAAGTAGCACGCCTTAGGGGCCTGGCCTTTGAGGGGCCTGGAGAAACATATTAGGAATTTGTCATTAGAATCGTACTCACTACGGAATAAGAACACAGCGACGATGACATGTCCAGGGTATCCGAAATACCAATAATCAGTCCTACGGTCAGTCCGCCACCGACGAGGGAAACTATCTGCCCATTGGCATGTCCGGCCCTTCTCCGAGACCGGAATAGAAACGAGGACAGGGACTAGAAACGCTTGCCCCCTCGTTTCAGCGGTTGTCTCGTCCCTCGCTTAGCGGCAGCTCCGCTCTTGATTGCTGCTGCGTGTCGTTTGCGCTCTTCCTCGCTATCGTCGTCATCTGAACCCTGAGGCTTGAGCTTCTTATTTGGACGCACGAGCGAGGGATCGGACTCTGATGCGGGGGCTTCTGTCCGACTGCGGCTGCGGCCGGGAAGGGCCGGGGAGCCGTCCTTAGATAGGCTAGCCGAAGGAGGCCGCCCTGAGACACGGAGCTGATGGCTGGGGGTGGGAGAGGCGAGTAAGGTCCGTTGCTTTGGCGCAGCCCCTTCAGACTCGGACTCAGTGGCAGAATCTTCCTGCTGTGGCAGTTTAGGCGGCGTGGGCTCTTGCAGAGGCTCCATATCGTAATCCTGGATCAAGCCTTGCTTAGCTCAGGGTGAGTGAATCTTCGATCTTAGAAACCTACATGTGGTTTGTGCTCTGTATCTCGGACTGTTATTTTGGGCGACGAAATTTGATCTGCCGTGAGCGCGCGAAGGTCCGGAGTTCCCGCGTCAGTGGTTATCGCAGCTTTCGAAAAAAAAGTTCGTGTCATACTAGGGTAGTGTTAAGCATCGAATTAGCACTTACGAAGCTCAGGTAAGAAGTTGAACATGGCCGTCATGCGCTGAAGGGTCGTCGCCACGCGTGGCCTCGATAGCGCGTTCTTAATATGTGTGTCGACCGTCCTCCTCGCAGTACGTCCAACTTTATCTGTTGCCTAACAACGTAAACTGTTGCAAATGGAAAGGCGAGTGACGAAAGCATAGACAGACCTTCTCGAGGTCTCCCGGCGCAAGATCACCCAAAACATCGGAGGATGAGAACGCGAGGTGATTAACACTTATCAGGGGCATGATAAGGTGTTTTGATATGATTTCTGCGGATAATCTGGGCCCGAGAAAGGTGGGCTCCCATCGCCACTTCCAGTTGTTGCATTCCAGCTGGAGTGCCAAATCCTATAGGGACGTGTCAGGGCGTATCACACCTCAACGACCAGCTGATAAGGTTACCCCCGAGGTAGGTTTTTCCAGCTCCAACGTAAGCCCCAGAAAACCACCGAGTGAGTGCGCGCGGCCTATGAGCGCTAGGTGATGGTCACGCCAAGATTCTTCTTCATCCGTATCCGGGAGAGGAGAAATGGAGAGCTTGTTACACGTGCGCCACCGCCGAGCAAATTGATTGCTCGTGAGGACTATTGATATTCAGATTGATGAGTGGCGTAAATTGAATCGATCAGTACCATGGGTGCATTTCGGAATGATCGGATTAATGGTGGATTTGGTGGACGTGGTTTGTGAGTTATTCATTCATCTCGGTGACCACAAAGAAACTCACCCTCGGCCCACGCAGCTTTGGTGTCAGTGACGAGTATGCAAGCCGTTAGATCGACTGAAGAGCAAAAAAATTTCTGTGAGACCACCGTACACGTCGGAGCAGTTATTTCACATGTAACTCAAGACTCTGAGCAGGCACACACAAAAAGATAAGGCGTAGAAGTCTGCGAATCAACTTTGACCAACCATTCTTTAGCGAGGAGCGCCTTGGAATGGTCCTACATGCGATTAAGACATGGGGGTTTTGACCACGAAAGGAATTACACGTACTTCTGTAAATGATTCCATGCGTTCGCAATGCTACAAGAAATAAGCGAAGTAGGCTAATGCACGGTGCCGGTCCAGGATGAATCAATGACGCACAAGACGTGGCGTGGTCTCCTAAAATTTACAAGCGTAATGACCGTAGAGCATGGCAGTAAGAACCATTAACATCGGAGTTCGAATTTATTATTTCTCGCATTCACTTCCAACTCCCAAGACCAAAATTCACGTTCACGAATGCGAACTGATTGAAGATAGTGATAGTGAGAGGACTGCACCACTAGACGCCAAGGATCCGTGGAGATGGAGGATGGAGAGGTGAGCGGTACAAATCACACTCATGCAGAAGCAGGCTACGATCCTGCATACGAATGGCCTGGCTATACAGAGGTCCCACAACCTACTACGGTCCTGAACGAATCTCTTTCATCAAATTTCAAGCCATGGTCTCTGCTTCGCTTGCTTGTGCAAACTAGCTCTGTCCTTCCAAGGACCCAACGTCTCGCAGTACTGGATGAGCACAAAGAAGTGCAGTTTGGGAGAGATGTTGCTCCGGCCGGAAGCGGAACTCCTCGTGTGAGGTTGAAGGAGATGGCAGTTTCGAAATTACATGCGACGATGTTTTGGGATGCTGTCAGGCGAGAGTGGGCAGTTGTGGATATGGGTTCCAAGCATGGGTCGTTTTTACGTCCTGGTGGATATTCTGGTCCGACTGTGAGCGTGGGTGAAGATTTGGGGATCAGGCTTTCCCCCTCACGAGTAGCCAGCTTTCCACGCGCATTAAAGCACAAAGATGCGTTGACAATCGGAAGCACCACGTTTGCCGTGCATATCCATTCTGACCGCATATCATGTGAAGGATGCTCGTCAAGCGGGAGTGGCGATAATATCATTCCGCTTTTCCCTGTTTCGAAAGGCGTTAAACGGGCAAGAGAGGAAGTGGGTTCAATACCTTCGGAGGAGAGGGATGCCAAGAAAGCGCTGACCATGTTGAAACGGACGTTGTTATCTCGTCACGATACAGCGAGGTCATCGGCATCCAGCCAGCCCTCCAGCTACGTGGACCGTTCCGCAAAGAGACGAGCACTATTCCCTAGTTCGCCACTAGACACTCCAGGTGTGCTCAGTCCTAGAAGCGATTCGCCATGTGTTGCTTCTTCCGGTTCTGTCCCCATGCCCGAAACCCCTGCACCGCCCCAGCCACTGCCGGAATCGAACATTGGGCGTCAGCTGCTAATGAAGCAGGGTTGGCAACCAGGAACGGCTCTAGGCTCACAGGAAAACGCATCAGGGTTGGTCGAACCATTGGAAGTCAGCGCAACTTCAAACAGGTCAGGACTAGGTATGCCGGAGAAGGCGCCTACTTCTTCCAGCGGTGACTGGAGGGAGAATGGGAAGCAAAAGCGGTGGGCCGACATGATAGATAAGAAGTGAATATTGGCATTGGAAGCACAGTACAGTTCGGTAAGTCTTTACTTCCGTTGTAGTCTAGATACTAACGTAAGAGTTATGTTGTAGGTTTAGCCTCAACTGTTTTATCTTGATCTCACATACGAAACACGAATTCCACGTGTGTGGAAGGCTGCCAACAACAGACGCTCATAAGTACGGTTGTGACTCCCCATATGATAACAGCCACGCTAGCACGGCTTCGCTCACGTTGACATATCATGGAAGCCAGGCTAGATCGAAATTGTGTCTTCTTTGTCTGATGGAAAGGCGTCGTGTACGTTTGTATTATTAGTACGTACAAAGGTGTGAAAAGCACGCGTCACGACACGAGCGCGACGCGACTGTTTTGAATTGTTTTTGAAGTCACGTGTGTGGTTCGCGTCCTACGCGATGGACTGAATTTGAACTTGAACAATTCGGAGGTTGTTTTGAACACGACCAAGTCGCTTCGCTGGTGGCTGACTTGTCCTTTCAATTTGCATTTGATCCACTTCTTTCTTCTTCAACTACGCCACGATTAAAACCTAGGTTAAGTTTTCAGTAGGGCAATTCTCTCTCTTCTCTTCACAATCTCTTCTGTATCTTTCCACTGCCCACTGCTCTAGCCGGTCACAATCAAGTCGCCTTGTATTTCAATTCACATCATGGCCAACAACACTCGCGTACGTAGTCTACTGTCTCAGTCTTTTTTTTTAACTTTGATGGCTGATCATGGAGATCCATCACGCAGCTTCAGAATCGTCGCATCGGCGTCACACGCAAGAATGCAGATGAAAATGCCACCAGCAAGCACTCTCGTCAGGCGTCTACCCAGGGAGTTGCAACTCGCGCCTCTGTTGTGCTAAATGGCCTGAAGAATGGCTCACAACGCCCAGCGCTTGGTGAGGTCACCACTACCGCGGTCAACCGCAAGGTTTGTCATGCCCTTCAATTTTAACCTTTCCCAACGTTCTGAGGCTACGCGACTTCAGGACGTTGCTGGTAAAGGCAAGGACGCTGTGAAAGATGACGCGGGCCTCAAGCGTACACGGTCGTCGTCGCTCGCAGCCGCCACCGGACCACAACGCGTCCCTCTCGGGCCAGGTCGCACGGAGAGTGTCGCACAACGGCCTACTTCACGTGTATCACGGCCATCTGTCTTCAAACGCGCATCGCGGCAGGAACCCGCTGTACCAGTAGTCATTCCGGCTGAACAAGAACAGAAGGAGAACGATATGGACGTGGAAGATATCGAAGAGGACCCTGAGCTCAGCATCATAAATGAGAAAGAGGTCGACGAGATGGTGGGTGTACAGGAACAAGGTACTCCAGAACAAGAGGAGAAGTCCACCGTTGCGGTTGCGAAGTCGCCCCGTATATGGCCTGACGTGGATACCGAGCGTGCCATGAGACATTATAGAGAGATCGCAGAGATCCAAGAGACGTTTGAAGATGAGGTTGACTATCTCGACACAACGATGGTCTCAGAGTACTCGGAGGAAATTTTTAAATACATGAACGACCTCGAAGTGCGTCTCCTCCATCTACCTTGTGTTCCGGGTGTGCTGACCATGATTTCTAGGATGATGTGATGCCAAATCCTGACTATATGGATGGTCAGAATGAAATCACCTGGGCAATGCGCCAAACATTGGTCGACTGGCTCCTCCAAGTGCACCTGCGCTGGCATATGTTACCGGAAACGCTTTGGATCGCGATAAATATCGTCGACCGTTTCCTCACGAGACGCGTCGTGTCCCTAGTCAAGCTTCAGCTTGTCGGTGTTACTGCCATGTTCATCGCCGCCAAGTACGAAGAGATCCTCGCTCCCAGTGTCGACGAATTCGTCTTCATTACCGAGAACGGCTATACGAAGGAGGAGATCCTCAAGGGCGAGCGTATCGTGCTGCAAACGCTTGACTTCAAGATTTCGCAATACTGCTCACCCTATAGCTGGATGCGCCGTATCAGCAAGGCCGATAACTATGACATTCAGACGAGGACGCTGGGCAAATTCTTGACGGAGGTGACACTCCTAGATCACAGATTCTTGCGGTGTAAACCGAGTCTCATTGCTGCGGTGGGGATGTACAGTGCTAGGAGGATGTTGGGTGGTGATTGGGTGAGTACCGCCTCCTCTGTTAGCTTTTTTGTATATGGGCACGATGCAAACGCGTGTCCATGATGGCTGTGAATCATGTGACTGACTTTTTGTTTGTGATTTCCTCTTTTAGAATGAGTCGTTTGTGTTCCACTCTAGCTTCGTCGCGGAGCACCTCGAGCCCGGACACCAATGGATATGCGAGAAGCTACTCGAAGACAACTTCGCGAGCCAGTACGTTTGCCAGAAATATGCCAACAAGAAGTTCCTGAAGGCGTCACTCTTTGCAATCGAGTGGGCGAAATCGAACGTGGACGAAGTCTAGGACTGGCGTAGTTAAGGCCCTGCGGCTAGAGATAACTGCCAGGTCACGGCCTGAATATCCCTCTCGTCCAAAAGTTCATGGGTTCCCGATCTGCCTGCATCTCATCTCATTCTGTGCTTGACATACTGTTTCACTCTGGCATCATTGCAATCTCAACTGTCTGATTACGCATTCCACCCAGCCATGTCTCTTATTATGTCTTTCTCGCTCTGTTCTGCTCTTCCATGCATCCCACTTTTTCAGCATCTCCATCTCGATTCATTATTTTTCATCTCATATTTTCACACTCCATTACTGTGCCCGTCGTCGAAACGCATCGTATTCATAATTAAGTTTACATGTCCGTTTTGCCTATGAACCATCTCGCACACTCTAGCAGCCATCATTCATCCCATGCCGCTGCACGCTATTTTTTCTCTCTTGCTTTGCACTTTATTTGCCATTGTCCTTATTTTTCAATTCACCTCACACCAGTTATTCGCACAGCTGCATTCTATATCTTCAAAATTATCCCCGCTGGCGTTTGTCGGCATTTATTCCACGCCGCTCTTCTGCAGGCATTGTTCATCTATCGATTTATATATTTCCTGCGATCTCGATTTGTCAACAGGCTTCTTAATTTTCAGTTGGTCTTGGTTAGCCTGCGTGGACAGTATATACTTGCTCGTGTATGCTGCGCGGGGCGCGTCTCATGAATCTCATCCCTCAATATACATCATTATTTATACATCGCACTTGTCCACTATATGAAGTTGCGAGAGGCCAGGATTCGAGTGGTATTGTTGAAAGAAGCCCCAAGTACGGTGTCAACAAAGAAAGGGAAACCAATACTCACTGAGTACTGAGTACTGAGTACTGAGTAACGGTGTTTGTCGGCCGAATCGGGGATTGGCGCACGCGCCGCTAATCATGGATGATCCGAGGACTGTTTTAAATTTCACGTGATTGTGTGTCAGCTCCTAGATTCGCGCGCGCACACGCTTGAAGCTTGAAGCTTGGCCATTGTAACCTATCTGTTACGCTTCAAGATTTCCTCTTGTCATACACTTCAACAAAAATGTCTCTATCATTTAAAGGTCAAACTGTCGTAGTCACTGGTGCAGGTGGTGGACTCGGGAGAGTGTAAGTAATCTGTTCATCTCCTGGTCAGGCTGTGACTGAAATGAGTGGGGCAGGTACTCGTTGTTATTTGCATCGCGCGGTGCAAACGTTGTTGTAAATGATTTCAACGCAGAGGCTGCACAGAAGGTTGTGGATGAAATAAAGAAAGGTGCAGTCGTTCATTCACTTGTTCGGGCCCAGAGATGTGACGTCGCGTTGGACTGTAGCTGGTGGTAGCGCCATTGCAAACGCCTCTTCTGTGACTGATGGCGCTGCGGTGATTCAAAGCGCTCTAAGTGCTTTTGGGGGTGTATCGATCCTCATCAACAATGCGGGTATTCTGAGGGATAGAGGGTTGGTTATGTTTTAATGAAGTGGTTTGGAAGTGCTGATGAGATTCGTAGGCTCAAGAACATGACAGATGCTGAGTTTGACCAGGTCATTTCTGTGCATATCAAGGGTGCATTCTCGTGTACGAAAGCTGCTTGGCCCCACTTTAGGAATCAGAAGTTCGGGCGCATTATCAACACCACTAGTGCAGCTGGCATTTACGGTGAGTTTCTGGGTGACTGGATGCGCATGATCTTAGAATTTTGCACAGGAAACTTTGGCCAGGCGAACTATAGCGCTGCTAAAATGGCTCTAATTGGATTCACGAAGTCATTGGCACGAGAAGGTGCAAAATATAATATCAGCGCCGTCGCTATTGCACCTGTTGCTGCATCAGCTATGACTGCGACAATCATGTCTCCAGAGATGCTTGCGAATCTGAAGGTTTGTGAATGTCGAGAGCGTCATTCCTTCATGCATTAATTTCATTTGACAGCCGGAATTTGTGGCGCCTTTCGTCGCTGCTGTGTGCCATCCCGATGGACCGAACCCTTCTGGCAGAGTGTTTGAGATTGGCGCTGGATTTGTTGGAGAGCTTCGATGGGAACGCAGCAAAGGCACCATCTGGAAGACAGACGATACGTTTACTCCTTCAGCTGTCAGTCTGTGGATACATGCGCCCCACAGTAGCTGACTCTAGTTGCAGGTCAAGCTCAAGTGGTCAGAAGTGACCGACTTCTCGGACCCGAGATAGTAAGGACGTCTCGTTATGGGAGAAAATTTGGTTCAATTGATCTTCTTTCTTACAGCCCAGAGTCCATATCCGATGTCGATAGCACTGTACGCGACAAAAACAAATTGTCTTGGTTGTTTTCTGATTGTTTTGTTCCCTAGCTCGAACGTGCTTCTACAATGCCTCCCAATCCCCAGTCAGCACCGCCGGTTCGATTCGACGGCAAGACTGTCATTATCACGGGTGCTGGTGCCGGTCTTGGACGCGCATATGCACTCATGTATGCACGCCTTGGCGCAAATGTGGTTGTCAACGACGTCAGTGAGAAAGGGGCACACGCTGTGTGCTCCGAAATCAAATCGGGTAGGTTGCCACTTTCGTTCGATGTTCCCAATTTGATGCGAGCTTTCACAGCTGGGGGCAAAGCAGTTCCTGCAGTTTGCTCGGCAGAAGATGGCGAGGCCATTGTCAAGATAGCTTTGGACACATTTGGAGGTGTACATGTCCTTGTAGCGAATGCTGGTGTCCTAAGAGACCGTTCATTCACCGCCATGTCCGAGCAGGAGTGGGATCTTGTCGTGGCGGTGCATTTGCGCAGTACATATAAGGTATCGCTCACGCTTTCAAGTACCTATTTGATAGTCTCTGATATCGGTCAAGTGCGCAAAAGCCGTTTGGCCTATTTTCCAGAAGCAGAATTACGGTCGTATTGTTACGACCTGCTCGCAAGTCGGTATTTGTGCGTTTCGTTTGTTTTCAGTATATCTACGTCTCTCATAACTCGTTGGTTCGCAGATGGTAACTTTGGCCAGACGAATGCAAGGCATTTTTTCCAATTTCTCAATGCGAGTGCTGATGACCATCAATACAGTATTCGTCAGCCAAGGCTGGCATCATGGGTTTCACTAAAACGCTTGGCTTTGAAGGTCGTAAATACAACATCTTGAGCAATGTCATCGCTCCCTCTGCGGGCACTGCCATGACGATGACCATTTGGCCACAAGAAATGGTCGATGCATACAAGGTCTGACTTTTTACTTGTTAGATATTCCATTTATCCTACCTTCCCTGCAGCCCGATTACATTGCACCAATCGTCGGCTACCTTACAAGCGAAGCCAACACCGAGACGACAGGGCAATTATTTGAGATTTCTGGTGGATGGGCAGCGCAGACTCGGTGGCAGCGTGCTGGCGGCTACGGGTTCCCTACTAATAGAGTGCTCACGCCGGAAGATGTCATCTCCAAATGGGACGTTTTCACCAACTTTGGTACGTTCCGCGAAATCAATTCTGGAACAGGAGGCTGATGTACGCCTTGTAGATGATGGCCATGCTACAAACCCTATTACCTCAGCTGAAGGTATGCAACAAATAATGGGCAACTTTGAGAACAAGGCGTCGGTTGTGGAGACTGTGAAGGATGCTGTGAGAGATGCTGGAAAGGCATTGAAAGCCAAGTTGTAGGAGTATCATATACTTTCGGAACTGTATCTACCTATCCGTTGTGCATATGTCATGCATGTTGGGTCAAGGCATTTGGTTTGCGGAACACGTCTGGGGAGAGTACGTGCTTGTGCACTCAACATAGACGGCCAAATAAAATATTCATTTATTCACAGTATGGTTCAGCTTCTGGAAATGGTAGAATGTTGGCTTCCGTGCCAGATCGCAGACCCAGATGCTGGCCATCGAATCAGCATCGAAACTTGCATCGAACTGCGAAGACTTCCTAACCTCGTATCATGACAATACGACGACTCACCAGCCGCAGAAAGTCCCCTTTGGATATCAAACGATATCAAGCCCGGTAAGCGGTGTGCGCGGATGAAGTTCCTTGTAACCATGTACGGTTGAGACGGTTTCAGAAAGCCGAGGACAACGGTCCACGTATCTCGAATGAAGATGTCATATTTGCAGCAGTGCGCGTGTGATGATGATGAAGACCGGACCAGGGCGGGAACGATCTGCCTAATTCTCGTCATACGATCCAAATCGATATGTTTCGTCCTGGGCTGATTCTCTCATGAATGCTTGACGGCCATTCTTGAAGACGCCCCTAAGCTTATGTATTTCGCCCAGTTGGTGAAAGGCTGCTTACCGAACAAAAGTTGGAGGAGGTATTAAAAATATTCGCAGTGCTTTGCTGTCCTCTTCAACGTCGATACGGTGGACCAGTGTATCACCAGGGTTGCGGTACATAGAGAACCTGCAAAGCCGAAAAGGTAAATAACGTGGTCGCCACTGATGGTCAATATTTAACCAACAGCAACATATCAGAGGATCGAACGATTCAGGATGAATCGCTAAATGGAACCCTGTGGTTTGATGGGCCCGTTGTTGTGGAATGAAAACCTCTTGCGGAGTGAATGCGTGATAGGATGCGATACAGAATACTTGATGAGTTGTTCAACCTGTGATCCTACGGTAGAATTTGATCCCGATGCTTCATAGCTTTACATCGCCCGGACTTCGGCATATCATCGATTCATCATTGATCAGGTAGTAATCGTTTTCGGAGCTCGATACGAACTAGTGTTTGAAAATGATAATCACCTTTGAAAACACGGGTTTCATCATGCACGTTAGTCGCCACATGGCCCGTGCCTGTTCCTCAGGATGACGTCGGTCACCGTAGATAGTGAGATCCGGGACCACGATGATGTCACTTAAATATAGTGCCAGTACACGCCTCGCGGCTCTCTAGATCTATAGCCGGTATCAATATCAGTACTGTTAAGGTAGTCGTAGTTGAGAAATACCCAAACTCGTTGTTCTAGTTATTGCTAGCTTGTATATTCTGCTTCGCTTTCCATGATGCAGGCTGGACCCTCGCCGACACGTGACAAATGTCACACTGACACGGAACTCGATGCAAACTCGACTGCTAAGGTAAGGTTCCAAGTTGACTTGGCAGCTAGTTCCTTACCGACTTTGCTGACGCGGCGGCGGCAGGAGGGCGTTCCTGAAATATTGTCGTAATTGGGTACAGAGGTGGCGATGCTCTGACGGAGTTTGAAGACGCCGGCACTCCCCGAGCATGGCTGACCACATCACCGCCAGTCAGGGGGACACACGGGCCCATGGGCATCACGTCCCTCTTCGCTGCCATGATCAGCTTGCCACCATTCCACCTCTCAATATTACAGCTAGGACATGGTTCGAGCTGCGTCTAAATGGAGGATTCCATTGACACCACCTCCAGTGGTGGCGGCTGGTGGCGGGCATCATTCCTGACAGCAGGTACTAGCGGAATGCCGCGCGTGCGAGACTCTGGCTGATTCGACTCCGCTTAAATTTGCCGAGGATGACCGTCGGTTTGGCTTGTCTTCATCGTTCCCTGCCGCCGTGTAAATGGTAGGATTCTGGCGGCCGGAATCCCGACATTCACGGCAGGTAATGACAAAGACAAGACAAGCCGTCCGCGTCATTGTGAACAAATCCGCAGTTTAACTTGGTACTTATGCGCATTCAAGTTGTTGTGCAACGCTGATATAAAGCTGCACTGTCAGCAGATAAGTTAGCATATCAACTTACAAGTCTGAACGTCGCTTCTACTATAGGTTTGTCTCGCTATCGATTGAATCTGATAGCCCCAACTCAAAACCAATATTTCTGTATAGGTCATGGCTACCGAACCCGAGCCACGCCCCCATGTCGTACTCTGGGGTGTCGCCAAGGCACCCAATGCACCTAGCTCGTCTGGCTTTTGCCAAAAGCTGGAAGTATTCCTCAGATTCAGTGGTATATCATACGAAGTAGGCGAGACTGTCCCAATGAAGGCTCCCAAGGGCAAAGTTCCCTTCGCCGATATTAAACATGACGGGAAAACTGTCACTATCCCGGATTCTCATTTTATTATCCGCTATCTCATCGAGAACGGGCTCATCAAAAATCCGGACACCATAGCCGGCTTGACTGCCGTTCAGAAGGGCGAGTCGAGAGCATGGCAGGCGTATATTGAAGAACTGCTATATTCTGCAATCGTTCGAGATCGGTGGTACATAGATGAAAATCATGCAGTGACTGCCGAGGAGATATTTGGGAGCATGGCCTGGCCCATGCGGCCGATGATATCTTGGTTTTTTAGGTGGAGGGTGATGAAGTCAATTTGGAACGTTGGGATGGGGCGTCACTCCCAGGAAGAAGCTCAGTCTTTGCAGAAAGAGGCTTTTGAGGCTCTCGAAGCAAGGATGTCGGGCCACTTGTATTTCCACGACAGCGAACAACCAACGGGCATTGATCTTATCATCTATGCTTTCCTTGCCAACACACTGGCAACGAGTGGGAACCCGTACTGGGCGGATATGGTGCTAAGGAGTCCTACCCTCCTGGCATTCACAAAAAGGATGACAACCTTGCTCTTCCCCGAATACAAGCTCCTTTTACATCGCATTGAAGAAGCCGACATCCTGAATTAGCAGCGGGGAACACAGTGGGTGATTGGGTTTATAAAAGGAACAATTTTCCTTCTATTGTTGGTCCGCCTGCATGTTTCGTATGGTTTTGTCGTCATGCTGGAGTAGACAATCCTTTCTCCCGTTTGTAACTGATTATCACCATGACATTAGTGTACACCTCAAGTCCAAAACTTGTTGTCATGATCTTGCCGCAGCATAATTTAAAAGAGCCGACTGCCGCGGATCGGTTACAGCAAATATTATTCATTACGTTCCGTAGTACCGTAACTAAACAAACTTACCAATCTTGCCACATCTCAGCGCTTAGCTGTTGCCTGCGAGGTTCAACACTGCCGGCGACAGCGACCAAGGCTGCGCCTCAACATTCAACGAGCAGCGACGTGCAAATTATTTGCTCGCTCGACTGAATGTAGGTATTATCGTTTGATTGAATGCTAGGTGTTATTAACATATTCGGTAGCAAGCTTATCGTCCCATTATTTCATTCATAGTAGTACTTTTCAGCTGTGGCTCTCATTCCCTTCCGCTAAGGCAACACTCTTTTCTTGATTCCAGTCGTTCCAGTCATTTTCATTTTAACCAACATCGTACCATTCAACCATGTCCCAGTATCGCCCCGATGTCCTGCGAAAACGACAGACGCTGGGTGGTCTCTCCGGATCCGTGATAGTCACTGACACTTCGCCCACCGCAACTGCTCTCGTTCAAAACACCACACCGATACCTGGTTCGGGTTCCCAGACGGGCATTCAACTTGCCTCCTCGACGCCGTCCGCATCACCGACTTCGTCGTCAGTTGCACCTGCTGTGACTACCTCCTCACCCACTTCCTCTTCCGGAAATGACATACCATTAAGTACTGTCATCGGCGCCTGCGTCGGCGCATTCATCCTCCTCGTACTGGTAATCTCTTTAGCTATCCACTGTTCAAGACGACAAAAGCCGCAGCCCCGCAATGCTGACAACTTGTACCGCCGGCGCTTTCACTTACAACATTGGGATCGCCTAAATGATGACAAGGAGGGCCAACAGAATGGGTCGCACAGGCCTCCATCCGGGCCGATGGAAAAGTTGGGCGCAATGTTCCATCGTACACCCAGCACAACCTCTGGAGAAAAGTCCTCTGATAGCCATGGAAACCGCGAGTCTATAGGCACGATGCAGCACTTTGCCAAGTATCATCCTGGCTTGGCTGAGGAAATGGCATCAAAATCTGCAGGTTTAGGTCACGTGGTTGTCACTAAACCTCCGCCTGTGCAGCGGTTTATGAGCCGCACTCAAGCTGATGGTGTGCCAACCATTTCGTGGGACGGCGATACTGTTGGTGGGGGCTCGCTCTTCTCCGTGCAGTCGCGTCTATCTGGTACCATGTCACCTACGGTGACTATGGTCAAGTTCACGCCACCTGCAACTGTGTCTGGGTCACATCGCTGGGAGAGTGCAGAGGTTGGCCATATTGATGTACATGGTTCAGAGACGTCAGAAGCAGGCGATTCACGCAATCCTTTCGCGGATGCGGCTTCCGTCAAGAGTGGCATTAGCCGACGCGTCACTAACCCATTCTTCAATGCGCAGGAGAAACCCCAAAAGCGCACACTCTTTGCCAACACCACACCCGAATCCAATCCCTTTGCTGACTCGAATACTCCCACTTCGAAACCTTTCCTTGAAGTTGAAGCTCGCTCAACCAGCTCCAACAATTCCCACGCTATGCAAAGTCTCATCGCTGCACTGGACATGTCAGCTGGGCCACGTCTACCCGTGTCATCCATGCGATCATCAAATTACTCACATAGCTCAACAATCATGTCTTGTGATGAAGTTGATGCTGTGAGCGTGACAGCCTTCCCATATCCCCCAACGCAAGTTCCGCTCAGATGATCCACTTCCAAAACAACACGCTTCGCTTTCCATTAATATGTGCAAACTTCATTTCGCATCAATACATACTGCCATCTTGATACATTATTTCATATTTGTATCTCGCGCATCCCACCTTCATATTTTTTTCATGGGGGCGCTTTACGGTCCGGTATCGACGTGTACCCCTCCCACTTTGTCACTCCTTGATCTTTTGCATGGGAGCAGCTTGTTTTGCGCTTTCCCTGTTACGTTACATCTTGTCCATCACTACTTGCTATCCAAATTGTTCTGAGGTAGACTTGTTATATTTGTTATATTTATTGTTGCTAGCTTCACCATCTGCGCCTCCTCGCAGGAACCTTCAATGAAAAATGAATAGGGTAGACTTGTAAAATGTGAGCGCTGTCACTTGTGCGAAGCCTTCAAGCCCAGGATGTCAAAGTCTGTGACTGGTGCAGCGACAATCGTATTCAGAGCATACTGCCTCGAACTGAATTATGATATTTGTTTTCGTATCTATAGGAGTTCATATCCGCATGCACAAGCGAACTCTGAGTAATACGTGTAATCTTGCGGGCGGAAGCCAGGTGGACCACGATTGACAACCTACTTAAGACGTGCCGTGACTGATAGAAACAAGAACTCTGCTTTGGTCGGTTCTTGTTTTCACGCTAAACAACACCCGTGCATAGTAGTTGGGCCCATGTTGGTAGCCCGTGTGGTCGTTGATTAATGAGTGATAATGGATATTTTCTGACCAACTTCAACTCGAGCAACTGCACTGGAAGCCCAAAAATCTCTTGTCTCCTAGCCCACACAAACGCCTCTCCTCTCTTATCTCTGCTGGGAGATCATCGCTTGGTATGTCATCGCCTTCTGCTCCCCACGGTTCGAAAGGCGTGCATGCCATCTAGAACGTCACAGTGAGCTGTTGTCAACCGCAAATCGATGACGGGTTGGTGCCTCACCTGCATCACTTTCGCTATGATACGTTTCCCACTGTCATGATCCGCCTCAACTTTCTTGATGAGTTCCTCAAGTACCCACTGTCTGAGCACAAAACGCGGGTTCACACTTTTTGCGGCGTCTTGTCTGGCGCTGTCAAAGTCAGCCTCACCAGCCCACTCTTCCCCATGGCGCTCGGTTTCAATACGTGCACTGTACTTGTCCAACCAACCAATCCACTCTTCAGTAACTTTCCCATGATCCATGCGGTCCGGATCAGGCGTCCCGCTCAAAATCCCCTTGATGAATGCCTCCAATATTCTCTCACTATCATCTTCCTTCATCATCCCAGTGTGGAAAAACGCAAGCCGTCTAAAAGTGCCATGGAAGTCTAGCTGTTGCGCCTCCATCATGTCCAAAAGAGGCTGCACGATCTCCCGCTGGTCCGTTTTCTCCTGACGGCGAAGCCTCAGGCGTTTGCGCATCAAGTTTCCGTATTCTGTAACGCAAGTTTCTTCGAGAATCTGTTCCATTTCTACTCTAGGAAGTTGTTTGCCTGTTGTGCGCCATGAGACGAGTGTTTCAGGCGTGGCTAAAGATGCCCAGCCGGGTTGGACTGCTTTGTTGCCTTGTGCGACTTCTGCGCCAATAAGTGGGGAAAGTGCATCGAGGAGAGCACGACAGGCATAGATGCTGCAAGTGTGCTGTTAGAATGTCGGAAGACAGTTGTGACTTAAAGACCAACATCATGTTTGGCTGATACTGGGTTGAGCGTTGGTTAGCTTACGAGCGGGCATGAATAGTATTTGACCCACCTTGTATGCATAGCGACCTTCTCCGTCACTATGATTACAGATATGGTAAGAGTTGAAGACGTCCATGAATGCATATGGGCCGTAATCTATCGTCAGCCCAAGGATCGATATACTGAAACCAAATATTCAGTCGCCTAAAATTGGAAGTAGGAAGAGAAGTTCACTTGTCCGTGTTCATAACACCATGCATAAATCCATAGGCCTGCCAAGCAGCCACCATCCGTGCATTTCGTCTTGCAACATCAAACAAGAGTTCTTTACCCCAAGCATCACCAGCCTCCCAGTCGATACCTTCCAGCTTTAGCACTCTCCTCGCAGTCCACTCACCCAACTGTCGCAAAGCCTCATAGTCTGCATCTTGCTGACCGCCACCGAGGAAGAAAGAATTGGATGGAGGGCTGAGGGCTTCAAAGTTACCAATACGTATAAATGTTTCTGCAACGCGTGTGGCGATACAAGCGGTTTCTGTACGCTCTCGTGTGACTGGTAAGTCAGGGAGGGAGATTAGACTTAATGACCTGGTAGTCGGGATCGAGAGTGCATGCATGGCTACAATTTCGTCAGTGGAAGCCCGGCACTACCAGCAAGAACATCTTCACCTTCTGAGCAGAGGTATTCTCGGATGGATGAGCGAAGTACAGCTAAACCATCTGCTGTGCGGGAGAAGGGGGTCCGTCCAGCACCCTTCAGCTGTATTTCATAGGTGGTTTCAGCGTCTTCGGGGTGCGGTGTTACATCTAGCAACCTGTTAAGACGTCCTGGAGCAGGCGTGGGATAGATGACTGACGAATTGAAATGGCGCGGCCGTCACCAAGCTGACCAGCCCAGGAGCCAAACTGGTGGCCGCTGTACCTGGCGGACCAGGGTGCAAAGCTAGGGCCAAAGCTGGACTCGGGTGCCATCAGAACGGTATGGCCACTCAAGACATCCACCAATTCCTGCCGGGCAGCCTCAGCCTCTGGGGAAGAGGTCGAGATAACCTCTTTTTCTATCAGAGGGGCCAAGGCCGGGTTTCCCAGCACTTTAAATGCATCGCCAACGTCTAGATGTGGTAAGCAGTCTCTGAGGCATGTCTCAGACAACCCGATGAGCTCCCTCTTCCTATCTCTGAGCTTGGAGGTATATTTGTTCAATGAAGGCTGAATTTGACTGCTAATTGGAGATGAATGACGAGCTTCGCGCTCACTGAGCCACTGCTCGATGTAACCAGCCTTGTCCTCGATGACGGCAGGTGGGTCAGGCGGTGTGATTTCGTAGGGAAACTCTAGTGGCATTGGATTCACATACGAGAAGTGTGATTCTTTGGAGAGTAGCCTTGCACGCCTCTGTAGACTTGGTTTGTTTGGCAATACATCAGAGAAGAACTCTGCTGGACTCAGGGTAACTGGATCTGGGGTAAGGTTATGCGTCACGATGTGGCTTGACGGCGGCAGGGGCAATGAGGAGATGGGTACTTTACGAAAGTTTGCCATTTTGGAACGAGCACGCAGAGTGTTCATGCACAGCTGATGAAGAATGATGGGATTGGGCAGGAGCAGGAAGTTGCTGTGACGTCGAATTCAAGCACTGGCAGGGGCCGTGTGTTGACAAGTGTTTATAATTAAGATGATCGGAGTCACGGTAATTCGATGTGGGCCAACCACTCTAAAAAAACCACTTCCGTGGAGGCAGGACCTACTATGATGAACGCAACGAGAAGACTGAAGACTGGCTTCCTGTGGGGTGATTCAGGCGTGTCTGAGTCGTTTTTCGTTATATATACACCAGACCAATAAATCAGGATCAGCGTGCCCGGCCAGGGCCCAGCATACGAGATCGATCGGTCAGATTCGGTGGACTATTAACTAGATCTAACGAAGTGCGTGCATCGTCTTTTCGTCATTATGATCATGTAGCCGGATATCCGAGAGCAATTGGGGGCGCACTGAATTAGGTATCTGAAGCGTGTTTGGAGGCGCTGCAGGATTGATGGCAGAGTTGCTAGATGCAGGAAGGTGAGCACTCAATCGATTCAATTCTGACTTATCACGTCGACTGTCAGCACGAGACGGAGACAGTACCTATGCTCATTGAGAAAGTAGGACACGCGCTGTTCCGATTATTGCGTGTCTTCTAGACTACATTATGATGATTTAACTGATGGAATTCCTAAACCAATACAAGTTTGGAAAGATCATCAATGCGTCACGAGAACAGCATTCAAGAATTTGGAAACAAGTTCCCAACATCATCAACAGCTTTAACCTGTAGAGCGTTCAGATATATGTTTACCCAGTTCGTTGCTCAATCGCACCCATCCAATATGCCCTTCGTCTCAGATGATCCCAGTTGGTGGCCGCTAATCAATGAGTTATATGGTTTCAGCTATTTTGTAGGTTCGTGAAAAGCCATTTGAATATGTCGGTGATATATAATTGTCTAATTCTAAACTTCACTGCGGTTGCACAGTTGCCGCATCTGCTACAGTGATATATGACTGGGGTGAGCAAGATGGCACCTATCATCATTGGTATTCTTATGACATTTTCACTTTCAGCTTTGACATTCGGACAAGAGGTAGGTCAATGCCACTGTTACCAAAGCAGCCATCTCACCGCGAATGGTTTTATAGTTCGAACTGATTTGGGTAAGCAGTTTTAAATGAATATCAAGACGATACAATTGACTCGGGCAAGATGCAACGCTGGTCCTGCATGACTCTTCTATATATCAGCGTACGTAGCTCATATCATAAGCACAGTTGGCAAGTTGTCCTAACTTCAACAATGTCTTAGGTGCGCTATATTGGAATACTATATGCTGTGTATGTTCACGCCTTCTAACAAGTTGCCGCCGAGCTAATTAGCCATCTTTCGCTGTCAGCATCAACATATTGCGTATGTTTCCTTACATTTGCTGTGCTTGTTTTTTTGACTGTTGGCATTCAGCAAGCCTTCCGTCACTCCCAGTGACAGATATAGTGAGTGTTCCGCACCAAAACCTATCATTCCCGTTCAATAACGTGCACTGCTATGGAGGGGTGAGTGACATTGTTGGCCAGCTTGTCGGCTATAATGACCGTAACAGATGTAAGTTTTAGGTCTTCCGACGCTCATTACTAACTGGGGTTTTCAGGCCACAGTTTGAACTCTACGCTAAACTGGATGACAGTGATTGTGAATACCATGCTGGGCGGTGAGCTACTGAACCACAATACCTCATGAGACTTGACTGAAACATCATACAAGTTATAATGATCACTCGGTTATATGCCATGTATCAGCGATCTCGCAAGATACTTATCTTTCTGGTTGTAATCTTCGTGGCTTTCACGATCGCATGTGAAGTGGTCACTGCAATAGGAGACGTTTATATGTTAGGAGGTGAGCTCGAATTATGAAAGAGTGCATTAAGCTTATTGGACGAATACCAGAGGAGCTCATCCTCTCTGGTACCTATCAGTGCATTTATGAATGGCAAGGAGATATCTCACTCGATTCTATGTCCTGGGTACTCTACATTACATGGGAGGTCCTCGCACTGTGTCTTGCAGTCTGGATTACTGTAAAACACTTCCGTGAACTGCGACGATCATCGACGGGACAAGCTTTCGGGGACTGTTTTATGGTGTTGATGAAAACTCATGTGCTCTACTTTGTAAGGTGAGCTCGTAATTGAATGTAGTTTCTTCCCCCGCTGAAATTCTGCGCGTGCTAGCTTTGCTGTTGTTTCTAGCTTCCAACTTAGTCATTACTCTCCGAACTTGAAGACCAAGGTGTAACGATTGTCAATCGCATCTATATGCGGCAACTGATCTTCAATCCTACAGGCATTGGAAACTGGAACTCTGATGTATACCGCTCATCTTGAAATTTACTCGATTGTGCAGATGTTTGTACTGGGACCACGTCTCATCCTCAGCATTCGAGAGTATCACGCCAAGCTCGTGGACAATTCCGATGCAGGGACAGGCATAAGTACCATTGCTTTCCGGGAGCATGGATATGTGTCAACTGGTGGTGATGTGTAGCACGAGAGAGAAATACTCCAAGTGGTTGACGCCTGTCGGGTGTTCTGCATAGGCACAATATTTTTTTTTGCACCTTTTTCGTGATACTCATGTGATGTGTAGATTTCAAAAGAGAGATATACATGGGTAAACGAGTAACGCACTGTACTAGAACTAGTGTCCCACCTACACCTGTACGAAGCTGGAACTGTCACACTAGTCTTTTTACTTCATTCTGCAAAGTTGGCAAAAAAAACAGCCAATCTCACGTGATTCTCGCGAGAGAGGCATAGGGTGCTCAGGCCTTGGATCATCAAAAATGATGCTTCGCCACTGATAAGGCTGTTGGCTTAGAAGCCAGTATGCGTGCGATGTTACTGAAAGGACTTGTTGATGAGTTATGTGTCTAGGAGTTCAATCAAGTGAGTGTTGAATGTTGACGCTCCCCTACTAAGGCTACTATAGATTCTTCCGGGAAGAATTCTGGGCATAGCTGGCTCCGACTCGGACACGGCCTGTGCACAGCATCGGCGATTGATGCTTGCAGCTGATATTTGTGCTCACCGTCTTTTATGGGTTACTCTCCTGGTGCATATTGACAATGAAGGCTTTGTACTCGTTCGCAACAGTTAGATGCCGAGTCCCGCATTTCTCTATCATGAAACTGCGCTGTGCCCAAACATCGTGCATGCAGGCCCTGCCCGGGCTCAGCTCTAGTGGCGACAGGTTGATACTTATCCGCTACAAACACCAACAATGATCTTTTGCCTCGTAGTGTTTATGCTTGGGACTGGCAAGAGATAATAATATACTAGCCGACTCACTTCTATAGCAATACCTAGGAAGAACATTTTTCATGCTACACTCCAGTATACCAAAGCAGCGGAGGAAGCCTTGACGACCACTTGTCCATTTAACACTTTTTCCTCCACAATGTTGCCTTCTGCGACACCAGAAGCAAAAGTTTGCCCTGCCCAAGACGTTAAACTGGCTGACAGGACATCAGATCCTGGGGCTGTCAACCACTTGACCATTACTTCTTGGGTGTTCTTCGGCAAATACGCAGATATGTCGATCGTGGTATCAGGACGAGGGTACGAATCCGTCTGGCTGTATAGCTCAAGGTTTAAGAGCGCGAGCTTAGTTGGGTAATCGTAGCTGTTAGCGGATTTTTCATCCCAGAAACCGTACACCGAGATCTGACCAGCAGAAGGATCACCACCTGCGGTCGTAACTGACGATCCATCGGCCTGTCGCCCTGGGAAGATATTTGAAAGGCGCACTGAATTTGAGTGACCAATGGCCTCAGTCACGAAGAGGTAAGCCGAATATGACGGAAACACTTGAATGGCGCCATTCGGGTTATCGACAGTGGACCTGTGGAATCAACATCAGTCCAAAGACGTCGTAAAGTCACATATAGACCTACCAGAGGTTGTAGTGTGCATGAGCACCTTGATGCACATACAAACTGGAGATGAGATTAGGCTGCAAGTTCATCGAGGCACCCTGGTCACGTACCGTGAGACATTGATGGAAGCCGCGTAGAGAACCGTGTCTAACTACAAAAATGCTCAAATGTCATAAAATATAGTCCTTTTGTCAACGTACCAACCACATAGCCTGACCGAATGTGTTGCTAACATTGGCTCGTCCACCGCAGGAAACAGAATTGAATTCACCTTCGTCGTGGGTCAACATATATTCAACATTTGATCTTATAATTTGCCTCACCAATAACAAAAGCATCAGGTCCGAGTTGGGCACGAACGCTGTGGATACGGGGCTGCCAAAGATCCAAATATCTACTGGAGATTAGTGTGTTGTGATCATAGCAATAGCCATGACTTACTCAGCCAAGCGTGTGTGATTTACCTAGATCCTTATTGCAATTAATAATTGCAATGGATAATCGACAGCTTGCTTACCAGGTTGACCAACGTAGCGCCGGCAGCGCTACCTGAATCGCAAACCTATTAATAAAGGCTATTTCAGGTTGGGTGTGGGTCAATCGGAAGATTCCTCACGCTGTACTGGTATGTGTGTTCGCTACACGTGGTGACAGTGTGTCCGTTGTTGGCCCCGGCAGCTAAAGCGCTAACACAGTCAAGTTGTGCATCTGCTTGTGGGGTGTTATGCGGCTGCGAAGGGTTTGCAACAGTAGCCCCAATTTGAAACTCGGGATAATCGATGCCCAACGCCTTCGAGATATTGATAGTCCATGGCTAAACACAGAACATGTAGGACCTCATCAAGGAGACAAACAGAAATAGAAATACCTTCCATCTAGCGGTATACGTCTGAGGGTCAAGTTTGGGGTTATAATGATCTGGTTCATTCCCTACTGAAGACGAGTAAAGGTTAGACTGGGGAGGGTCAGTAAGAGAAACGAATGACTCACGTTCGAAGCGAGAAATTTTTTGTGGACCAAGACCCATCCATGCTGCCTCAGCCATATCAAGAGTTCCGGTATATTTCAAACTCCCTAGATTCTACACGGACTAGTTAGGTGCCGACATCCAATGATCTGATAAGTAAATGACCCACGAGTGTCATGACGATCTTTGTCCCTTCAGGCAACAGCTTCACACAGTTCCAGAACTGGGGTCCAAGCGTAGTGTTTCTTAGTGCACCCCTGTCGTCGATGAAATTGTATAGGGCAGCCTCCTGCTTCGGATCCCAGAATGTCGAGTCAGCAGTAATGCCACCAATGCGCACTTCGGCTGGAACCCCAGTCCTCTCTTTTAGATTCTCAAAGAGATTTTGAGAAAATTTGTTCGGATAGGATTGGTTTCCTATCAAACCTTCGAAGTAGGCAGTTTCAATACTGAAGCTTGCGAGGGCGGGGTTTAAGGGTAGTGTTGCATCCGTTGGGAGCGATGCCGGACCGGACAGCGTCAATTTAGACAGACTGCGAGCCAAAAGAGCATGTCTCGCAGATACCAGTGCGACACAAGGCAGAACTGTAGCAAATAACCACATCACGCAGGAAGAAACAGAATACTATCTTAACCACACCTCACCGTGACGGTATTTTATACAGATGAGAAGAGAGCATGAGCGATCCGTGATTACAAATTTCAGGACTATCCATATGTCCAAAGAAATGACAGGTCACAGAACGCACATGGAAAAGCCTAGGTATCCCCCAAGCCTGCAGTTCGGCGAAGCTTTCCGATGGGTAAACTTCGGAGGTAGTCACCTTGGAGCCTGGAGGTCACTTCCTTCCTTTGACAAAAGCCATGGCAAAACAAAGTTGCCCAAGGTTCCCACATGCATATGGGAGTAGCAACGTCACGTACGGAGATACTGTCACTCGAGTGAACGGAAATTTAAAACACTGAATGGTAACGGTTGACCCTCTCATGACGAAGAACGTGAGGAAGTTGAAAATGTTTGGTCTTGCTTGGTTGGCTATGCCCTCTGGTGCTATTGAGAAACAACCAAAGGACGGCTAATCATCAGTGGCTACCAACCCGAGGAAGCACATGTTCACCTATTAGAAGGAACGACGTCTAGGGGAGACTAGCATTTACCTGCTCACTGACTACATACGACGTCGAGGTTCTAACCAATGTCGCTCAATGGTATCAAAGTAGTAGAAGTACGTTGCAGTTGGCCTTGTGGTGAAACAAACAAACAAACGACGAACGTCCACAGTTTGCAGGCCTGGCACCGGGTCCATTCGCAGGTCTGGTACTCGCTCACAACGGGGCATCCGTTATCCGTATTGATCGCCCTTCCTCAACTACCAGAGATCTACTATGTGCGGGAAAGCGGTCGATTGCGTTGGACATGAAGACTGCGAGCGGACTGCGAGTTGCGAAGGACCTCATCGCTAAAGCAGACGTTCTCATTGATCCATTCAGACCTGGAGTGCTTGAGAAGCTTGGGCTCGGTCCTGAGGTATTTCATACAAGTGATAAGCGGGAAGGTCTGAATGACAAACTTGTATATGCAAGACTTGCAGGGTGAGGGTACACACGAGCTTCTGAAATACTATCCAGCTGATACTCTCTCAAGGTTCCCAAGAAATGGTATGCATGTCAGGTTTATATTCTTGCTTCTTCTCAATGATTTCAAGGCAAGCACTCTACTATGGCTGGTAAGTATCATCATATACGCGTGGTTTAGTCTAAGATTCCCGTCACAGGCCATGATATCAATTATATCGCCCTTAGCGGCATTCTCTCCGTGCGGCTCGCTAAGCGCTTGTACTTTGACGAAGCATGTCTAAACTCTTGCAGATGCTTCCGGGAACAATGGACAAGCCCACCTTTCCTTTGAATCTAATTGCTGACTTTGCTGGAGGCGGCCTACTTTGTGCAAATGGTATTTTACTGGCTATTATAGAACGAGTTAGGAGTGGCCGTGGACAAGTCGTCAATGTGGACATGGTACGTGCCAGGGCATCTAGTCTCAGTGATTTATAAATATAGGTGGCAGGTTTCTGGTTCACGTTATATATCGTCTTTTCCACTTATAAGTGCTGGGAGCGGTGCCTGGGCAGGACCGCGAGGCACCAATGTCCTTGACGGTGGCGCGCCGTTCTACGATGTTTACACCTGCTCAGACGGAAAGTGGATGAGCATAGGGTGTCTTGAGCCCCAGTTCTTTGCACAATTCATTGACAAATTCAACGAGGTCATGAAATCCAGTGGAAATCAAGGGAGCTGGTCACCGTTGCGGTCGACACAGTACATAAAGGAAGATTGGCCCAAACTTCGCAAGTATCTCGAAGACGGGTTCAGAACACAATCAAGAGACTTTTGGACGGAGGTTTTTCACGGCAAGTATTACATCATAGAAGGGTTCTGCTGATTAATTTGCCATCATTAGGCACTGACGCTTGTGCAGTTCCAGTCCTGTCTCCCACGGAAGCAGCTCAGCTCCATGGATCTCCCTACCCTGTTCCTCATCCGGAGCTCAGCAGAACATCGCCATCACCTCTACAAGATGAAATCAAAATACTTGATCCAGGGAAACATAGTGTGGACATTCTCAAAGAACTCGGATTGTCTGAGGAGGACATGAGGCAACTCGTCGTTGAAGGAGCATTGGGTAAAGAAGCACGGGAACTAGTAGAACGTTCCAAATCGAAATTATGAAAAACGAAATATAACGTCTTAAAGACCATAACTAAACCCTAATTAATGCTGAAACTGATGAACAAGTACGCGGAGGGTATGAGCCAGACTTGTAGAATATCTATCACGCTGGTGCGTCTACCCGTCTTCGTAGCTGCTGGAACGAAAAATTGGGTGGAAGAATAGTAGCTAACTGCTGCCGTATGCCTTGAACCTGTTGGAGAAACTGCCGCAACTGCATGCCATATGCCTCAGCGACGACAGCCCAGTCGTATTCCTGCCCTCCATCGTATAGCAGGGCAGGAATTTGACAGAAAACAACCTCGGTAGATATGAACTCTTTCACTCGATTAAGCCCCCAGTGGAACTCGTTCGAAAAGGGTCCTGCATTTGGTCCTTTAAAGCCGAGCTTGCTGAGCGGTCTGCCCAACACTTTTCGCCCTGTGACCAATTCCTGAAGGAGGTTCATCGTAGGCGAAGGTTCGTCGTCAGGGACAACACCCGCGCCGACCACCTGCGCGCAGTACTCATGTGTGTGCAGGGTAACAGTGCGCAACTCTGGCCACAGTGGTGGGCAGCCGTGAATGGCCGCTTGTTTATCACTGTTCACGAGCATGCGTATCAGGTAATTTGTTTTGTCGACAGGTACAAGCAGTTGGGAGACACCAGGGGTTGCGCGAAGGAAATGAATGTCCATGTCCTCGCTAAACTCGCACTTGATATACCGTAACACCTGCAAGGACTGGAACGCATCCGGATAAGACTGTGTCATGAATCTGTGAATTGCAGATATTGCGGAGCAATTCATATCCACGAGGTAGAGGCTCTCGATATTGGGCGTGGATATCACGTCAAATATACGTATGCCCGTTGACACGGCGAGGCCATGCACCACTAATTCCCTCAATGAAGGCAAGAGGATAGGCGGAATAGGAACTACACTATTCAGCTCTATAGCCGATTTCACATGGAGCCTGCGGAGAAACGGGAATGCTGACATTGCTCGGAAGAGTTTCTCGCGTGTGAGCGGGAAGGGTGGCCCTGGTGGTGGACAAAAATGGAGTGTCTTTGCTTCTGTTTTGGGCAGGATGACTGCAACGCTGTCGAGCCTAACATCGGATAACAAAGGAGCTCCCTTGGTGAAGAGCTTTGCAGAAGCGATGGGACCTGCAGTCGATATTGGTCCTCTGCACATCACTCGCAGCCGTGTCAAAGCAGGGGCGGACACGCTACGAAACGTTGCAAGGAGCGACGCCAAAGCCTCTCGTGAAACTGCGTCAAGAACCAATTGTCTGAAACGGGGAAGGTGTGGTAAGATAATATTGGTCAACACGTGCTCAATCTGAGGGTGCTGTCTCCATGGCCCGATGTATACGTCGAGAAGTGACCCATCTGACCTCTTCAAATATTCCATGAGCGAATCTTCTTTATGCGAGAACGGGTAGTGAATAGAGGACCAAAGGGAAGGTGAGGTGAGGGCTACCTCACGCCAATGACTTGATACATGCGACAGTCGTACCTCAACGGGAGACTGGTGGAGAAGGAAGAGAATGCCAGACCATTGTGGATTGAGCTGACGGCACTCCTCGAATATCATCGAAAGGACATCAGAGGGGATACGTGACACCGCCGCTTTCTGATTCTGTATGCGAGCTGCACGGACCTGTAGATTGCGGATCGAGCGAGACAGCTCGTCCTGTGAAGACTGGAGTACCCGAATCTGTTGTGTTATCTCATCAAAATCTTCCTGAGTATTGCTGCTGACGCTAGCCTGGTTGTGGTTCATCGACGGCACGTCTATGAAATAAGTCAGCTGCTGCAAAAGATCCCATGTTGTCTGATGAGGCTCACATCGAAGAACAAAGAAGTTCAGTGATATTTTCTCGTAAACCTCCCAGGGTTAAAGGGCAGCTATAAAAACACGTTGAGAACACGGTTTCTTGAGGAGGTTAATTTTCGAGGGAACTACCTGAATCGGACAAGGTGCGGTGGTGAGCCAGCAGTAGTAGAAGGTCAGACTCCGTCAGGGATGAAAACAAGACTGTGACCAAGTGAATTCTCGCAATCAATCGGTGCTGGTGCGGATCCGAAATCTTGTCATGATGCCTCAGTGCGGCGGCTACGGTCTGGCCCCATCACAGTGGTGCCATATGATCTAACGGAAGTGGGCGTATCATTTCAAGTTCATCTGTTCCGGTGGCTGTGCTTTTATATGACCGTTGCCCTAGGTATGTGAAATCATGTCGAAGTACAGTAAATTACAGATAACGAGCAACAAAGCTGAGGATCAAGTCCCGTTTAGAATGAAAAAAATCTTTCTATGGAACCTGTGCATGTGTTGAAGGGTATGCCATGACTGGAAGCCCCGGATGGATAGCTGGAGTACCGTGGGGAGCAAACTGTTGATGCTTCTTGAACATGAAAAGACGATATTGGTTTCCAATGTAGTAAGCAACAAACGCCCAATCCATTTCTGAATCCTGAACGTCGACTGAAGAAGGCAAAGATGCCGAAAAGAGTTCGGTGTGAAGTTCTTCGTGTGTTTTCACGAGGAGAGTTGTAAACTCCTCATAGAATGAACGAGCGTGCGGGCCCTCGATCCGGAGAAGGTCAAGAGGCCTGCCCACCGCTCTCCTCTCCTGCACTACCTCCAATAGTAGTCCCATCGTTGGGGGCGGGTCATCTTCTTCGTCGGAGTCCACATCCTCTCTTTCTCGGTCCAAAGGCTTGGAAACGTGAAGAGTCAAAGTATGGAGATTGCGCCACAATGGAGGGACCCCATGAAGGGCAGCTTGTCTATCGCTGTTCAGCAGAAGTCGCAAGAGATGAGTGTGATGCTTGACAGACACAGCAAGTTCAGTGAGAGCAGATGTTGCGTGGGGCAGGTAAACGTCGAGATCATCGTCAATATCGCAGTTTATGTATCGTAATGTGCGGAGATGTTGGAAGTGCTCTGGAGATGTCCTGGTAATAAATTTGTGGATTGAAGACAAGCCCTGTCGTCTAACATTGATAAGGGACAAGGTTGTAATGGCAGGAGTGGAGATGTTGCGGAAAACGTTGAATCCGTGGTTCAGGGTATTGCCGTATACTAATAACTCCTTTAGGGCAGGCAGTTCAACAGGCGCGCTACCAGGCTCCTGGTGAAATCCGCTAATGAACCCTTTCAAATGTAGGATGGTAAGGGTAGCTGATAGGGGAGCAAGAATATCGAGGAAAGCGAGTCTGGACAAAGGATTTCCGGGTCCAGGTTGCGGTTCAAGATGCAGGGTGGTTGCAGAACACTGGGGCAGTCCGACTGTAAGGGCGCTAAGGCGTATGTCAGACAAGAGTGGTGCTCCTGCTTTGAAAATATCGAGACGGGGAACAACACCAGAAGCGCCCCGAGTATCATTGCAACAGATCTTCAGTCTTCTTAGGGTCGAAGCAGGTACGTCTGCAAACAAGGGAAACAATGCACAAAGTTCCTGGCGCTCGTCGGTGTCGAAAGTGAGCTCACGAATCTGATTCAGTCGGGATACAAATTGCGCGGCAATAAAGCGCAGAGAATCTGGATCAGAAATTCTCGGGCCTATGTGAACATGGAGGGGCGCTTGATTGCACCGCTGGAGATATGCCATAGCAGCAGCCTCTTTGTGCAAAATCGGGAACCTGATGGTTGTCCACAAAGCAGGGGTTGAAAGTGCTACTTCCCGCCATCTAGATGAAACGTGGGATAACTGCACCTCGGGAGAGAGTGGGCGCTTTACTATATTACTCCAAGGTATGAGTGGTCGCCGGCTCTCCTCGAAGATGATGGCAAGTACGTCTGATGGAAGACGAGATACAGGAGCAGTCTTGTTCGTAATATGAGCAGCACGACTTTGAAGAGTGCGTATGGTGGTGTGGACTTGAAAGGCTTCAAACGTTAGGGCGTGCTTCCTCTCTTGTAGGGCGTTAATTCGTTTATTAAGGTCGTCCAGCTCTCTCTGGGAATCATCGTCAAGAAAAGAGGCTGGGCTCGTTGAACTCATGGTTTCTGAGAAGCCCCATCATCCATCAGTTGCTTTACGGATACCAGCAAGCCAGAAGGCTACTGACGGATGTTTTACGCAAAAACAATAAGCAGCTTGCTGTTGACTAGCAGTGATTGCCGGGGTCAACTTTGTGTCGTGTAATCAATGATTGTCGTCAGACAGATCAGAAAATAACAGACACTAAAGTATACAGTACCTTGGCCGGTAGCACAACGTCGCGAGAGGCTATGTCCACGATGGCAGCTGATGGCACAAGATGAGAAGCGAGAATGGGTAATCAGTACCAGTTTGGTTCATCGCATTCACATGCTCCGAGCCGGCTCGCTTCACCGAATTGGACAAACACGTGAAATTGACTATGCCCGTATAAGATGGTGACAGTTCTGACAGGGTCTTCTACTCAAGACTTATCTGCTCCCATGGCCGCCAAAGAACTGAAACAATTCACTCTGGAGGAGGTTGCTGAGGTGCGTCGAAAGTGCAAGGCCCTGAGATACTACTTGCTGAGACCGTTGCGGAGATGTAGCATAACAAGCCAGATGACTTGGTATGTGTTATGTATCTTGAACTGTTACTGATCCGAACAGTCATCATTTTAGTGGGTGGTCATTGACGCAAAGGTTTATAATCTGTCCCGATTCAAAGACTTGCATCCTGGAGGGATATCTGTCTTGATGGATGGGGAAATTGGTATGATGCCTTCCGTGATAGCCATGCATGACAGTTTCAAACGGAATTTGTTCTTCAGCTGGCCAGGATGCCACGGAGGCGTTCTACGGCTTGCATCGTCATGAAGTTTTGGAGCGACCTCAATACCAACGCCTTCAGATTGGTACTATTCAAGGCGAACAACCTGTTATATACAGCCGAATTGTCGGAGAACTCAGTGATGTCCCGTACGCAGAGCCTACCTGGCTGTCACAAGGGTACCACAGCCCTTACTACACCGACGTGAGTTGCCACAGTCGTTTTTCTGGGGCTCTTCTCTGAACTTTACACAGAACCATAGGAAATTCCAACAGGCCATGCGTCGCTTTGCTGACGAGTTCATTTATGAGGATGCACAAGTGAGACATCAGGATTTCTTTCATCACCCGTGCCTGATCCAATTTCCGCGATAGGCTCGCGAAGAGGACGGCAAGCGACCCAGTCAAAGCGTAATCGACCAGATGGCGTATGTTAATCTACTTCTCAGCGTTCATGTTCTTATTTCTGTATAGTGCGGTGAACTTGCACGCAATGCGTATGGGTCCAGGAAAGCACCTTCAAGGATTATCCTTGATGAATGGTCTCGTGAAACCCGAGGAGGTAAGTGCAACCATACCCTGAATTCTTCGTCTCATCCTGACCTGGCTGCTTTCATAGTTTAACTATTTCCACGAACTCATTATTACTCAAGAAATTGCACGATGTGGTGCACGAGGATATGGAGATGGTAAGTGTTACTCATGTAGGCGGCGGTGGCTACTCAATATGCATAGGTTTAATGGGAGGGAAGGTGATTGGATTGCCACCGGTCCTCAATTTTGGCTCGGAAGCACTGAAGGCTCGCGTTGTGCCTGAAGTCTTCGCCGGCAAGAAGTTCATTTGCCTCGCCATTTCGGAGGCCCAGGCTGGAAGCGATGTTATGGGTTTACAAACGACTGCAGTCAAAAGCGAGGATGGCAAGGAATGGATTGTAAATGGAACCAAGAAATGGATCACCAATGCTACGTGAGTAACCAAGGGTCGTTCTGAACTACTCATGAACGCGTTTTGCGTAGTTTCGCAGACTAGTGGGTATGATTACCAACTCTCAGCGGCAAATTTGAACGTCCTTTTTAGCTTCACTGTAGGCTGCAAGACTGAGGATGGTCTCACTGTCATTCTTATCGAGCGCGGACCTGGCGTAGAAACGCGGCAAATCAAAACAAGCTATTCAACAACGGCAGGCACAGCCTACATTACCTTCGACAACGTCCGAGTCCCTGTTGAGAACACCCTTGGTGAGGAAGGCGGAGGAATTTTTGTCATTTTGAGGTATGTAACAATGGCGTGTAATGTGAAACTTGAGCTTGAATACTCATTTCCGTCGTAGCAACTTCAACCACGAACGATGGGTCATGTGTTGTAGTTCCGCTCGCAGCCAGCGTAGTATTGTTGAGGAGTGTCTGAAGTATGTCGAATCCATCATCTTGTATCCCCTTCTTACAGTCAATTTAGATGGGCGACTCAACGGAAGGCTTTTGGGAAGCCCTTGATATCACAAGCTGTAATTCGCTCCAAGCTTGCTGCAATGATAGCACGGACGGAGAGTGTACAGAGTTGGCTGGAAAACATCACTTACCAGATGTGTCATATGGTAAGAACAAGCTCGCCACTCTCATTCTCCTGCCGCATACTTACGAGATGTTTAGACATACAAACAACAATCCCAGAAGCTCGCTGGGTAGGTGGTGGATATGTGCTCTGTTTAACTGCCACTGATGATTTTGTCCCTTAGTCAAATCGCCTTTTTGAAGAGCTATAGCACGCGGTGCGCACAGGAGACCGCAAAAGATGCTGTTCAGATATTTGGTGGCCGTGGTATCACACGGACAGGTATGGGGAGGTTCATCGAACACGTAAGTCAAACTTTCCAGCGACTATCATTATCTTACTGGCGCCTTTGCAGTATCATCGCACTGTGACTTTCGATGCATTGTTGGGAGGTGGTAAGTTCCTTTCATGGATTTATACATGAATTCACTTGCTTATGTTCCCTAGCGGAGGACGTCCTTTCTGATCTTGGTGTTCGACAAGCCATGAGGGCCATGCCAAAGAATGCCCGGCTTTGATAATTAGGAAGCTTACGTTGTCTTGCACTTCACTTAATATTTATAGCAAAACTGGCATGGATACTGTATTTTTTTGCATAACTCGTCGAATCACTAGGGAGGGCCGATCTATCATCGGAAGGGTGGTTGACTAGGATTTCAATGGGGGTCCTCTTTCTTATCAACATTGATATGATGACAATTAGTATTGCCGTACCAGCGTAGATTGCATATGCGTGCAACTGAGCCACCAGTGGACGCGGGGGATTCCAAGAATACAATTTTAATTCTAATACAGAACCGCATGTCTGACATGTCATGCCTCGAAGCCTAGAGCATAATACACGAGAGCAAAACGCAAAAGCAAACAACAGTACCACATACAACAATAACATAGCACTGAAACGATACAGAAAGTACGGCGAAGACGCTCATGTCATCGAACCAAAGTGTGGCTCGTACATTGAATAATCTTGGCTTACAGAAGTGTATGACATTTGATTCATCCACTGGAAACCTGCATCGGGCGTGGTCAGTAAAGACGAACTTCAACAGTGATAGTGTCAGACGTACCAGGGACTAAGGTATCATGCCACAAAGGATCAGTCATGATCTGTGCCGACTCTAAAAGATCGGCGTCCAAAGTGATCGGTAACGGGCCATGGAACATTTCAGATGATGTCGTGTCGTTTTGCAGCTGGGCTCCCGAAAAGCTTTCCGCACCTGTGTACGTGTATGAAGGAGAAGGAGAACCGGAGTTGGCAGAGGATGGAGATGGATAGTCAGCAGATGTAGAGATATCTGCGACTAGACCACCACGAGTCTTGGTAGGCGTGATCTTCGACTTGCGCGCTCGTTTGTGGCTACCGGGGCTAGTCAAGGTTGGTGTCAGGTCGATCCTGACCGCAGGACTAGCAAGTAGGCCGGCCAGGAAACGAGAGTATATGGAAGGTCCGTGCTTCTCGTCAAGAGCTACGTCCGCCGCCCCGAGGAGATCAATCGTTTTTTGCACGAGGTCCCGAATTTCGACCCGTTTCTCATACGTAAAGTACTGCGCGTACTTGAGTTGCAAAAGCTGTGCGGAAAATGTTACGTACTGAAAAGTGAGCATAGCAAGGAACGTACTTTAACGAGGAAGGCGCCAGCAAACGTAACAAATACATATTGCGATTCGGGTGCGTGGCGTAGAAGAACTCCTGTCGGCCAGTGACATGAGATGATAGGATCCATGAAATACGCAACTTACTATCTTCTTCGGTAGTGTACAATCGGTGAACAAAAGCATGGATGACGTCGGATGCCCTCGTAAAACACTGGAAGAAATGAGACAACGAAAATGAGAAGAAATCATGAGTAAAGACTGACCCTCATTAAAAATGAATTTTCATCCAAGTGATCTTCTTTGGCATGCTGCAGGCCAGAAGAAAGGACGACTAAACGGGCATAGCTGAAAACCATTTTCAAAAGACCAGTGCGGAAAATAAACATGGCGCTCTTCGGTTCGATGCTATCTAGTTGATGAAACCAATGTGCGCCGACACTAGCCAGTTCGTCATCGGTTTCACTAGCAATCTGAGTGAAATTGGTAGACTTCGAATCTGTCAGTTTTGGCGAAGGGATCGTGGGAACAAATGAACACGTACCTTGTTGAGTCCGGTAGGGTGGTTTGGATCGCTGCGAATCTTCTCCATGAATTTTGCGCCAATATTGAGCTCCATGGAGTAGATACAGATGTGAATGTCGAAGTCCTCGACATTATACTTGGAGGAGCCCCACCAATCGTGCAAATGATTTGCAATATAGTCAGAATTAGGAATAATGGGCGCTTTGCCGTACTGAGACCCTGTTGACCGATCCAAGTTAAAGCAGTTGATCCAGACACGCGTGCGATTGAGGAGTACACGAGCGTGGTGCTCATTCAGGGGCGTTGTGGCTGTAGGCCTATTCAGGTTGAGGTCCTGGGCCAGTCTAGAACAACGTAAAAAGATGCCGTGAGACATAGCGGAAAGAGATCCCTACCGAATTGCGACACCAAGGTACACCCAGCTACGATCCTCTTCCCAGCGTCGTGAGGGAACAGGATAAAGCTGTAGTAGTAGGTAAGCAAGACACATCTCCTCGTTCTTGGGTCCGGTGATAAGCGCAGTGCCCGCGGCGAGCTGTGCGTAGCGCATTACTTCCGCGTATAGACCTGGACGTTGAGTGTAGAACCGAGAAGCGACAGCACACACTGAGCACAAAAGTCAACACGAGAAGAGAATGCAGCTCAGATCGGCTCACCGACAGTGAAGAGGAAAGGGCTTCTCATAACCACGTACTGTGGAGTATGAAGAACGGGGTCCATCAATGATGTTGACGGGTTCATTTTATCAAAATATCTGAGCACTTTTAACAAGGAATCGTACACATGAAGATATTAAAACTCACAGTTTGAACAGATTCTCGACGTCTTCTAGAGTAACAATCTCGCGAGTGAGAATGTGAGGAAGATGCTGGCTACTAATTGAAGGATTCGACCGGACAGGGTCGGGAGCAGGAGCTAGAAAAGATAAGGACTTGAAGCATATACTGAATCAAAGCATGTGCTTACATGGTCTGAAAAAGTCAGCGTTTGCTACACCAACAGCGTCCTGAGGTTCTGGTTCCGCACTCTTTCCTCTAGTACGGTTGGCCATGTGGGCCATCAAACCAAATGGACTATCTGCGTGGGGGAGGATGCCCAACTTCATATCAGCAAGCTCCTTCTTGGCTAGCGCAGTCGGCGAGTGCCTTTCCCTTGACTGTGAGCGACGGCTGCGTCCGCCTTCCTCTGCAGTGGCATATCCATCACCTTCGTCATCGGTGTCGTCGTCTTCGACATCAAAACTGTGCACTTCCTCATCGCTATCAGACTTCCCAGAGTCCTCATCAAGGAGCATGGAATTCGTTGTACCGCCAAGGGCAATTAAGCCACCAAAAGTGTCAATTGAGGCACGGGCTTTTGCAAGCCAATCCTGCACTTCCGGTTTGGGTGGAGCGGAATCTGCCGGGGTGTTAGGATCGAGAGTAGGAGAATGAAGATCGATGGAGGATGATGGGGACACTGGTATCGTAGTGGTCGAAGAACTGCTAACTGAGGCCGGTGCAACTTGTCGGTTGGTAATATCGAGCTGAGCCATAAGCTCCTGAATTTGAGCAGCTTGTTCACGAATCTGGTTCAAAAGGTGCTCTCGTTTTCTAATGCAATGTCTTAACTTGCTCAGGTGAAAACCAAGTGAGCACGTACGGTGGGGTTCGGCGTGGTTTGCGTCCTGGAATGACACATTCCTGACCGGCACTTGTGCACCTTTTGCAGGTGTCATTATCGCCCCTGAATTCACATCGGACCTATGGTGGACGTGTCTTGTTATCTAAAATGATGTTGAATCATACCCACGTACCTTCAGGCTTTTGCATCGACCACAAGCACCTGTTCTGTGATGTGTGAGTTTGGATATCATGACGGAATTAACTGGAGAGCGCACGGTTTCCGTTTGTCCGCAGGCTCTAGCAGTTCATGTGGGTCAGGTACCACAGTTCGAGTATGGTGGCCATCGTCGTCGCTTCTATGGCGTTTTGATTGCTGGGCCATAGTTGCGTGCATACTGTCTATGATCTGCGACTGGATCTCAGATTGGCGAATAGGTAGTTGGTGAGTGTAAGGGAACTGCATAGGAAACCCAGGACCCGAAGAGGCGACGGATGTTGCGGAAAGTTGGTTGTGCGCGCCCGGAGCGCTTGAAGCGTTCATTCCTGATTGGAATGCAGTCTGATATCCGGGACGAGCGGAATTAGCATTATAATCTGGTGGAGCGAATGTGAATGTGGTCGAGACGGGATTCAATGATTGATTTAGGTTCGAAGTCATATTAGGTGATGTTGCAAAGGAAGGAGAGGACTGTTGGTAGACAGAAGCTGAATCATATTGATTTGACGCATTTGAATTGTATTGAGATAAAGAACCGTTGAGAAGGCGCTGAGCACCAGAATGCCTCTGTGGTTGTAGAAATATTTGGGGGGTATCTTGAGCTGTAAGGAGATACGGGTCCTCATCTTCAAGCAACAGGTGCTGTTGGCCCGTAGCGAGTCGGTTGCGATGATCCCAAAAAGAGGCGTTAGGGCTCATATCGTGAACAGAATTAGACATCGTAGACGATAACTGTCAAATAGCCACGGAATGACTGTGCTCAGGCCGACGAGCTCAACCGGACGTAATGCACGGATCGAAGAGATGAGCCCTTGTAAAGAACACGGGGTACTTTTAAAGGGTTATACTAATAAGTCAAAGTACATGAGAATTGAAGACACCGTTATGGGAGAGTGAACTCACGGCTAAATGGCAAGTCGGCAGTAGGCGGACCGTTGTTGTATGATCTACAACTAGTAGTGAGTTAGCCCTGAATCAATGCCAGTGAAGACAAGTGACCATCGACGTTGGTGCGGCAGACGTTTGTTTATATTCAAGATCATTCAATGAGCCCTACGGTCGACCCTTGCAAAGCAGTGCTCCGTGGCAGTGCTAGGTCACTTTGCTCGAAGTTCAAATTAAATTGATTCACTGCTTTTCGGTTGCTTTCGCAACCAGTTGACCTCACATTTGGCCTTTGCGCTGCCGCGGATATTCCATTGGGCGATCGAAGTCGTATAGCTTGCTTGTCAGGTACTCTTCCCCGGTTTTCCAGTGCAGCGCTCTCCGTACCCGCCGACTCCTTCAACCCGCCTCCGAAAAGCATCGCGATTCAAGAATTTGAAACACAAGTACCCCATGATTTAACGTATCTGTTGTATTTCGTTGGCCGTGCCATCAAAGCGCTCGGGCCCCGTGGTGTCGCACTTGATATGGGGTTTTTTTTTGAAAAGCAACCATTCATAGCATTTACTTGCTTTTCCACAGTTTCAGTTACTTTGGCGCGGTACCAAACCTGAGTCCAAGCACCACAGTTACTCTCGAAGGTCGGGGTAAAGTCAGCTGCTTTGCATGACACGAAACACGCTTGCCCGTTTCGTGTGTGGCACTTGTCACAATTTTAGCTCATACAGTATTTTCGACAATAATCCACCAGGTACGTTCATAGTTGAAAATTTACACTTGTGGACTGCTACTACTATACCGCCCATTGTCAATTGCTTGCTCTCAACGATGCCACTCTCCACACCTGTCGGTTATAAAATGGCCCGTTAACGAAGGCATGATACCTCACACCCAATGATGCAATCTTCACTCTCCCAAAATAACGCTGGTGGCAGTGTTGAAGCTTCTCCACCAATTTTCGTACGCCTAACCTTCAAGTTGCATTCTTGCGCCGACTAACCGTCCCGAATAGAAAACCCTGCGACTTCTCTCCGGTCGTTATCTCCACATGTTTTGGTCAGGCTCTGTTGCCACGCATGAGGACGAAATGGATGACGATATTACTGCTGCAGGTGACGAAAGGTACGTTCCTGTCACACACGGCGTCTTTTACTGACGATTGTCACCTAAAAAGAAAATACAACGACAATTGCTCCGTCGGAGGCGAAACACTGGAAATTATTTCAGTCCCTCAAGGTTCAGGTAAGCTGCTGTGTAGATCTAGATCTGAGCACCTTCGCTGATCAGGCTTTTCGGATACCCCTGTAGGAGAAACTCCGTCTGACATCCGCTCCAAGCAGGATTCTGCTTCTGAAGGAGAAACTCCGTCCGGCATCCGCTCCCGACAGGATTCTGATATTGATGCCTCCGAAGGAGAAGCAGCGTTCCAGCGCTCGCAGTCCCCTGTGACTGCGGCACTCGCAGCATTGGCCAGACACTGTCCACCACAACTTGGACGGAAAACAAAGACAACACGATTCTATAGCTCCCTGGAACAGGAAGATTCTCCAAAGATAGCCAGGAAACGGCGTCAGCTTACAGGTCTGGGACGTCCGCGACAAGACGATGTATTGCTCGCGTGGCTCACGCATGCTTTGGCACCTTCCGATGTGCGTTCTGATGGACATGCCCAGGACCAAAAAAACGATGAAGATCCGTGCAACTCCAAAGTAGGAAACACCTCCCCGAAGTCTGTCTCTCATGCATCTGTCAAACGACGAGGAACTGCACACAAGATCTCTCTCACGTCCATACAAGAGGGACGACGGTCTTACTGGCTTACTCGCCCTTTGCGTACGACTCGGACATTTGACACCTCGGCTCAGGGGGATCTGCAACCTCCAACTTCCCCACCCGATAACAGCCAAACACCCCCGATCCCTGCAGTACAATTCCCCAGTGCGTACCCATCGTGCTTTGCGAATCCCCAACGTCAACCTAGCGTTATCCGTTGGAAGCTGCCTTGATTGTCTACCGCCCAGCATTGGCGACGTAAAAAATTGTAGATATCTTCATGACAAGTCATCGATGACATGCGCCACGACCAATATTTTTGGCAGATTCCGTTGGCAGCGATTCGTTATCAATAGATAGTATCAACCATGCGGATGCCCTCATCCGGCATTCATCGCAGAGTGCGACCACAGTTTGCGGTATTCTTTGGTGACCGAGCTACTCGTGCCTTGCGGAACTAGAACTTGTACCTTGTTGTATACAAAAAAAACTTTTAATGTCATTCTGGTGTGTTTGGTGAAGAACATCAGTGCATCGTTCGGCATTCAATACGATTATCGATTTTCAACCCGGGTCGGTATATGTCTGAACAGTGAACAACAATCCGTTGGTTTGCAGCTTATGTAGCACTACCGAATATTTGGTACCGTCTGCAAATGCTCGGGCCGATTTCATCGTACTGCGCCTTTGTGTGGCAAGACGTATAGAACTCGGGCTGGAATGATGGTTAAAATTTGATGAAACTTAGTTTGAAACAATCCTTACCAATGATGCAAGCAAGGAGCCACCAAACCACACGGCATATCTTGAGAGGAAGTTAGTTATGGTGTGGAATATATATGAAGAACATGATTCTCACCGTTGGCGCTTGTGTGAAATTACATCCACATCGACACCAGATGACTATTGTTCCGTTAGGAAATGGAGAAAACAAAATTGTTGGACGCCGACCTTGGTAGTACTGCCACTTGAAACGACGCTAGCCTCAAGTCTGCGATCAACCAGCTGCTTTAGGTCTCTCTTGAGACGCTGACCAAAGTGCTGAAACATGGTGGAACCTCCAGAGAGAACTATATTCTGCATAGTCGGAATTAAAATGCAGACCAAATGAGAAGCCGAGAGAACGGGTCACCTTGTATAAGCCACGACGAACATCAATCGGAGACGCTTGAATCACATCATCAACAATGTCCGGGAGAGGTGTAAGGAAGTCGGAAGAGTAGATCTCCGGGTTGAAGAAGATCTCCGGGGCCAGAAAGCGTTCATAGCCCACATCAATGGAATATTTCTAGTGAAAACAACGTGCATTCAATAACTGGTGAAACACGTTCGAAAATGGAAACTAACTCTGCCGGTAACACTATGCTCACCCTCATATCTCTCAAAGTATTTGTAGGGTTCCGCGTCGTATTTCCGAAACTCTTTGACTATGTCCTGGCACGTGTAGCTGTAGTTTTCCTTCACTCTGCTGGCAACCCGCAGCTGATCTTCTGGTGGAACGGCAGCCATTTCACCACGCTCACGCAATAAGTTGAGCACGAATTGTGATATATCACGACCAGCGATGGGGATGTGTTTAATGGCACTTCCAATGACGTACCCTTCCGCGCAAGGGATGACGTGCGTGACACCATCTCCCGAATCAATGACGGTGCCAGTGAGTGTCCTGTCTGTGGCACGGTTGGATGTCCAGGATGCGGCAAGGGCGAGCACAGCCTGTACAGCGATGTAGAGACCCTTGATATTGAACGACTCAAAGAAGATTTCGGCTGTCTGCTCTCTGTTTTCTGGAGGGTTAAGTGGAGGTTCAGTCTACAAGAGGCGATAATCAGGATTTTTGGAACGTGTGATACGAAATGATGTCATACCAAAAGGAAGTAATGATCTTCTGGTTCAGCCCGTAGATACTTGAATATCGTTTGTTCCCAGTATCGTTCCATGTGATCCCAGTTGTCGATCATGCCATGGCGAATGGGATAGTGAACTCCATAACCAGGTGTCTTCGCATTGGCAAGGGCTTCGTCTCCAATGAAGAAGTCGAGGTCTTCAACACCGCGTTTCGATGCGACATTTCCAGGTTTCGAAGGAATTGGAGGACCACCACGAGTAGGTTGAGAAGCAGGCCCGCGTGTAGCAATTGCAGTGGGGAAAACGCTGGAGTCATACAAAGCGCGTCTGACAGGTGCGATCTTGTATGGGATGGTGAGACTCACTATGATGGATCAGAATTTCCTGCGAAGCTGCGATCGACCTTGAGTAAGTGAATCAGAGTTGATCGTTTCGTGCTTACCCTATCTTCGAGTATCCGGTTCCATTGTCGCAGATGATAGGTGCGAGGACTGACATCCTTAGAAATAAGTCTTTATCGAGTCCCTGTCAAGTCACTGAGGTTGCTGCGATTCCTATTTGTCTTTGTGTGGCAAAGCCTTTCGTTCCTAACGTGTCCAAATAACCTACTGAGTTGCAAAACTTTCAATGCTTGGATTGTGATTTGACGATGCTACATCAAGATAGTTCAGCTACTAGGGTAGATGGGGTGACATGCAGGCCCCTGGGTATAAATATTTTACAAACTGTGAAAATTGATGATGCCAGATGCATGTAGGTCGGAATCGTGATTGACCGAGCTTGCTCAACAACAAATTACCGAGCTTTTTTTTCGTTTGGCAAAGTGCTCAAACGGTCAAGCTTGACAAGACCTCAGACGACGGGCCGATGCTCCATTTACCACTATCTTTGGCAAAATGATCCAGAGTTGTACTGCACAGCACTTTGCATGTTCGGTTCGCGGTATGTTTGTACAAAACGTAAGTATGGAAATATCACTGCCGCCAACTTGAACCGCCATTTTCTTCTGACAACCTGTTGGTGACCTGCCGACCTCGTATGCAGTGTTCATAGAACATTCCATTCGTGGACCCGGGCCTCGACTTGGCATCATCAAGCCTTCACATTGACTCCCGCGCTCTTATCGTTCTCAACTGACCTTTTGAGTTCTCAATTCGTAAGGACCCTTTGGGACGCCCGTGAGTGGTGTTCTTGGCATTGCGCGGATGAAGGTACCAATTGTGTGCGTGACGTCCGGTAGTTCTGATATTCGACCCTGCAGTGCAGACAACTTCACTGGTGTTGCTCCTATCTAGGAGTGATCCTCTGAATTGCGAAAGTATTGTTTGGAGTAAATCTAGACCGAAATGACAAGCTTGCATGGCAAAGGCAAACAAAACATCTCACCTGATAGCAGCACTGAGAGCACTGCATGATTTCAGCGTTAGTGCAGATATAACGGGAAATTCGTAGCCAGCCGCCAAAGCACTTACTGTACTAGTGCAATCTAAACTGGTCGGAGTGATAGGTGGCAATAATGCGTGATCCCTGCCACCGGTACTGATGCCGGTAGCCTTCATTTTCCACGGAAGCCGACTAGAAGCCGAAGGTTCGTCTTTACGGGGGCAGAATGTGCATGTCCAATTGTCCAACATTCATTTCGCTATAAGTCGCCACGGTGACTAGTTTATGGATGATAGATGGTATACGGGACTGACGAATCTGACTAGGCCCGGCCGAAATTGGCAACTTGAATCAGATAAGTTCATCATACCTTTGGCATCAGCAAGCGGTGGCCTGGTAGTAGATAGAGCTCGTTGGATCAGCTATTGTCGTAGATTTGATCAGCGACAGTAGGTGACAGTCAACAATTATGGCCATTGTATGTTGTGGTCCAGGCATTGAAACACAGAATCTGGCCGTTGGGATTTTGTATGCCTTCTTTCATTAATAAATCAAGTGTCTCGAAAATTCGGTACATACTTCCTGATCAGGCGCACGTATCCTCTGGAGCACCAAGTTGTGAAGTTCCCCGGAGCTCAGGCACGTCAAGAACAACGGGAAAGAGGATTTGGGAGGAAGAATAAAATGGTAAATTGAAATTGAAGCTTGTGGAGAGCTTTAATTTTGATAATTTAAAGATAACTTCTTGAAAATATTCTTATTTCTTTACACAACTTAGCCTCCCTGGAAACGAACTTTACTTATTAATTGGTATGGCAGCTCAGCGCTCATCGCATCATTTCCAGGGAACAAGATCATCGTCTCATATGAGTGTTCTCAAATATGTTAGGTGATTTTCTTTCTACTTTTGCCTTGTAAATCTGCCCGCGATTCTTATAGGCTTACGCTGGCTCGGTGCGTTTGTTCTCTCTGATCCAGGTCTCTTCGAGTCAACCACTCACGTCCTTATTTTATAGTTGAGTAGGGGGTGTCGACGTCGAATCACACGTTCAACTTGGGCTCTTCCATATTTTGTAGCTGTAGCCTGCTCACATTCTTTCTTTATCACGATCTTTCTTCGAGCACTCGTTATCTCGACACCCTTCCAATCTACTCTGTTGTACTGGAAAAATCTCCGAAATCTCTTTCAGCTTCAATTGCTTTTTGATATTGCTTGCAATGGCTCCATATCTCCTTTCAAGATCCGACCCCAACGATGCTCCAGGCGTCCTTCCTATCAGCAAAACCATTTATATAGTCGGATTCACCCTCGCTGGCTTACTTGCTGCTACTTCTCTATTGTGGCTTGCATTGAGGTTCTTCCGCCGCAAATTGCAGGCAAAGCGTGCAGAAGAACGGGGTGCAGCTTTCCTCAATGTACAAGGTGTTGTTCGAGAAATGAACGAGCCTGTCAGCCAGTTCCTGTAAGAATCAATATTTCACCCCCTAAATATAGGTCTCCTGACTTTGTCAAACAGTAGTCAGTCGACGACTGTTGTTTTCCCACAAAAGGCCGTTGTCCCTGCTCAAATAGCAAGACCTTCAAGACACGACCATGTTTCTTCCTCTGAAGTTCCTGCACCATGTGCTGCTCCCTTGCCACGTCCCCGTGCACTCTCTAGTCTCAATCCCTCACATCCGCGCCAAAGTCGTAGTTCGTCAGTTTCTTTGGGTAATTTTCGTTCATCCACTCGACTTCCTTCTGGCTTGCGTTCCTCACATTCACGAGAATCTTCACGATCATCGGCTTCCCATCAAGCCCGATCCGTTCGGCAATTCTTCCAACCAGTGCTTCCTGATGAACTCCCTCTTTCGCGTGTAGGAGAGCAACTCCACATTCTGCAATCGTTTGATGACGGCTGGTGCCTCGTTGCGCAAAACAACTCTCTTCGCTCTCGTTCTTCATTATCCATATTCAATCCTTCACGACTCTCCGCCAGGGTGGAGAGTAGCGGAGACAATGTACAGCTTGGTTTTGTCCCAGCATGGGTCTTCGTCAAGCCCACGAAGGGACTGAGCGTAGAAAGACCTATTCGCAGCTTCAGTGCAGGGATGCTCCAGGCTGGCTTGGACGCTCCTGAATCGAGAGAGACTGTGATTTCTTGGTCCAACTTTGCTTGAATCAAAGTTGAAAGCCCCGATGGTGCATACATCGAAGTCTATTGTTTTCCCTTGTTCACCCATATTTGGCATCCGCGCCGGCCGTTTGAAACCATGTCGCATGAAACCTGCGGTGCAAGTATGCTTCACTTATAGTTCATTCTTCACGATACAACTGCATTGTATACCCTCATTAGGTGTTGTATCCAATACATATACCAATATTTGCATTCCAGCAAGAAAACACGTCTGTGAACCTCGGGAGGCCTGGGACTATCAGGAAAAAAGGTATATCCAGATGACTCAACTCCACGAATGATGTAGTTCATACACGTGAGAGCCCGTCGTGATCAAAATTTATACGGCGGGATGCGCCTGACACACTTCGGCTGAGGCCTCTTCCATTCCTCTATCGGCGTCCCAATGGAGGAAAACGCATCTGCAATCGCTGAACCTTCTGGTGGATGCCCGATTCGATCAGCAAGATGATTTACTTCTGCTGGTGCATCGGTAGTGTTCTGCGGGTCCTGCGGAGTCTGACGTGGACGCCATGGCGTGGGGGCATTAAGGGGCCAGGTAGGAAGATAACATATTTCCTGCAAGTAGATCATGCTTAGTCCGGTGGGCTAGGCAGAAAGTTATTTGGATCCCACCTCTGGGCCGCAGGCAGGTCGGCATTTAATCCATATACTCCAGTCTAACCAAGACATCAGCTTCTCGATGTCTTGTCTCCAGTTATTCATTATTTGAGTGACATCAGGCTCCCCATCAAGTTCAATGGGGAAAAGAGTGTCGAGCCCGCTCATGACACCAACAGCCCACATGTTCGTAGTGACACGACAGATTTCTCTCATTGTGTCCTCGATGGCCTTGAGCAACAGGCGTTCTGAAGGCGTCATTAAGGGTACTTGATATGTCATCGCGGTAGTGTGTGTTGTGGCACATAGCCTGAACATTGGGGATGCCCACTGCGATGGATGTAGGCCCGGAGTGTCTGCGCTAGGGACAACGGTAGCATCTAATAGATATGGTGCAAGCATAACGCGGAGCTGGGTCTGCACGAGCTTCCCTCGCTGAAGAAGTTCTTGCGAGTCTGATGAGGTGAAATTGAGAAGATGCCGCACGAGCTCGAGCCGATCCGCATATCGATCGACGATGACGTGGATGAGAACCTTCCAGTTTATACCGCTGCCCGGGTCTGGTCGACTGATGACTTCGGTGAGCTTTCTCATCAACTGCGATATGTCTTCTGATGAGATTCCGAGCACCCGATGGTCCCGTCGTTCAAGCCCCGCACGAACCGGGACGAGGGAAGGTGCCAGTGCGATGTCGTACAGTGAGACGAGACCAGCCAGGTCGAGCACAATGCGAGATTCTCCCGGGTAGCGATTGTGCCATGAGCCGGAGTGCATGGCTTCAACTATGCGAATCCCTGCGCTCACGGACAAATGAGACGTCAGTCGTATTGGAACACGAGAACAAAACACTAACAGACATCAGGACCGGGTGGTGGAGGAGGGTGATTCGGACTCGGAGGGGCCCGGTCTTTGTCCTCCCATAAGACCCGGATATGCAGGAAAGATACTACTTCGACACCGGCCGTAAAATCACACAACATAACCTCACTGGAAGTTCATCAGTCGAAAGTGCGACACAGAATAAGAGCACGCGCACAAGTCCATTTCCATCCTAGAAATCTGAGAATTAGTTATATACCATAGCGAGATGACTCACTAACCTTGCGAAACCGTCTATTCCGAACTCTTTTCCCCACCTACAGAGATCTGTAATCCGTGATTTTTCATCCAAGATGCGCTCAGGATGCGCTTCTCCCCAGGCTATTATATCCTGTATATCCATTGTACCCTCGGATACCTTAGCAGCACTACTTCCATCAAAGTACAAAACTTTCAGAGGTCGCGTTGCTGCCAGTGTGAGGTGCCAGCCAGCCCTCTCTCCACGAGCAAAAGCAAGAGAATGTTCTGGGTCTGTAGCGGTCCATTCGGGCTCACTGGGTATCGCATGGCGGGTGGTGCCGTGATACAGTAAAGTACCTATTGGAATTGTTCCTGGTATTACGTTATGTCCTATAAAAAGATGAAACACTTGTCCTGCATTAGCAAAGCAGCGGACAGGGATACGTACCATTACGATATCGAGTGTTTGGCCAGTGTTGTAAAAGTGAGTGGACAGTGTCGAAGATCAAGTTCCCTGTCGCATTCTCGGCAGGACCTTCGTCAAGACTCCATTGCTCGACCTTCGAACCGAAACCAAATGAATGTAGTTTATCATTGTTCGAGTTGGCGATATTCAAGGGTCGACCGCCAGCTTCTCCAGTAGTGCTGACGGGAAATTGTTGGGTACGGAGAGCTAGAGCTGCTGACCCGAGGGTCATAGCTGCCGCAAGGGACTGATAACGCATTGCGAGAACTGTCAGAGAAATATTGATGTTATCGTGTCTTTATCGGAGCCAAGTAATGCGAGGTCACTAGTGTTCTTAGCAGAACTCAGGAGTTGTGCCAACTGGGACTGGTTGGTGGTCTACGGCAGAATTCGTGCGAAGGGAGGGTAGCAGAACCTCATCCAAGACTTGCGGAGATGTAATTTTGATCTGATAACAGTGCATGCACCAATCACCATGTTCGCCCGGTTGATTCCGAGTGTTCGGTAATTCGAATATCGCAAGTTGTTCGCCAGGGCGATCGGTTTCGTGAAAAGATAGAGATGGCTGAAACAGCGCTGCAGTCTCAGATATCGATCATGTACGGAGGACCTGCCAACCCGCCGGCCGCCCTCCCGGGTTTGAACGTGGTGCAGTTGACGTTCGATGTTGGATAATGTCAATTTGCCAAATACGCTACTCATGCATATATGCAGAGAGATACGTGGCATATGTTACAGGATGTGTACATACCGAACAACAAAAGTGAGCAGTAACATGTAGAAATTGTCGCCGGGCTGCCAGTCATTCGTGCTTGAAGATAGCACTTGCCGGTTACCACTGGAAGTGCAATAGACGGTGTCCGGGCCCTCGGCGAAACCTACATATCAATGAGGTTAATATATTATGTTCTGCCAGCAGGAAAATGCAAACCATCTATCACGTAGCTAGTGACACGATCTGGGAGGTACAGCACGGAGTTTGAAAATTTGCAGGTAGGTGTTGTTAATAGTTTTGCCAGACCGGTTGTGCCTGGCAATCGGCAAAACTCATGACCAGTCCCCTGTTAGGTTCAGTTTGGCATTCAGAAATTTGCCCCAAGAACCGGACCGAACCAGACTTTGGCACGATGAAGATTTTGAAGAGTCACAACAACAAGTCGTGTGAAAAGTGGGTTAAAGGTGAACTCATGATTTCCTGATGGCCTTAGGTGTTGTACCACACGCATATACTAGTATTTCTACTCGACCAGCAATACCCATCCGTAAACCTCGAGAGGCCTGGGGTTAATGGAAAAATAATTAAATGACCCACATCTGCGAGAACGACGTGAATCAAGATTCGTACGGCAAGAGACGCCTAATGCACTTCGGTTGAGGCTTCCTCCATTCCTCCGTGGGTATCCTAATGAAGAAAAATCCATCTGCACTTGCTGAACCTTCGGGTGGATGCTCGACTAGATCAGCAAGATTCTTTACTTCTGCTGGGTCCCGCGGAGATTGATGTGGAGGCCATGGCTCAGGGCCATCGATGGGCCAGGTAGGAATATAACACATTTCCTGCAAAAAGATCGTGCTTAGTCCGGCAAGTTAGGAAATAAATTATTTGGATCCCACCTCTGGGCCGCAGGCAGGTCGGCATTTAATCCATATACTCCAGTCTAACCAAGACATCAGCTTCTGGGTGTCTTGTCTCCAATCATTCATTATTTGAGCGACATCAAGCTCCTCCTCATTAAGCTCTAGAGGGAAAAGGACGTCGAGCCCGCTCATGACACCAACAGCCCACATCTTCGTAGTGACACGACAGATTTCTCTCGTTGTGTCCTCGATGGCTTTGAGCAACAGGCGTTCTGAAGGCGTCATCAAGGGTACATGATTTATCATCGCAGTAGTGTGCGTTGTGGCACATAACCTGAACATTGGGGATGCCCACTGCAATGGAGGTAGGCCCGGAGTATCTGCGCTGGGGACGACAGTAGCGTTCAATATATATGGCGCAAACACAACGCGGAGCTGGTTCTGCATGAGCATTGCTCGCTGAAGGAGTTCTTGCGAGTCTGATGAGGTGAAATTGAGGAGATGTTGCATGAACTCGAGCCGATCCGCATATCGATCAACGATGACGTGGGTGAGGGTCTTCCAGTCTATACCGCTGCTTGGATCTGGTCGACTGATAACCTCGGCCAGCTTTCTCTTCACCTGTGATATATCCTCTGATGAGATTCCGAGCACCCGATGGTCCCACCGCTCAAGCCCTGCGCGGACAGGAACGAGGGAAGGTGCCAGTGCGATATCATACAGTGAGACGAGACCAGCCAGGTCGAGCACAATGCGAGAATCTCCTGGGTAGCGATTGTGCCATGAGCCGGAGTGCATGGATTCAAATGTGCGATTCCCTGCGCTTAGGAACAAATGACGTCAATCGTATTAGAACACGCGAACAAAATACTGACAGATATCAGAATCCAATGCAGGATTAGAGGGAGTGGAAGGAACACCGGGGTACGGGATTCTATCCTTCCATGAGACACGGACATGCAAGAAAGATACTACCTCGACACCAGCGGTAACATCACACAACATAACTTCACTAGAAGGTCGTCAGCTGGAAGTGCAACATAGGATTGAAAGGGTGCGCACAAGTCCATTTCCATCCTAAAAACCTGAGAATCAGATATATACCATAGCGATATGAGTCGCTAACCTCACAAAACCATCGATTCCGAACTCCTGTCCCCACCTACAGAGATCTTTAATCCGTGATTGGTCATCGCGGTATCGCTCGGGTTGCACTTCTCCCCAGGCTATTATATCCTGCGTATCCATTGTACCCTCGGACACCTTGGCAGCACTATTTCCATCAAAGTACAAAACTTTTAGAGGTCGCATTGCTGCCAGTGTGAGCTGCCAGCCACTCCCATATCCAAGAGCGAAAACAAGAGAATGCTCTGGGTCTGTAGCGGCCCAGAAGGGACCACTGGGTATTGTATGGCTTACGGTCCCGTGATAAAGTAAAGTACCAGTTGGAATTACTCCCGGTACTATGTTATGTCCTATAAAAAGATAAACATTTTTTCCAAGTGTGAGAAAGCAGCAAAGACGTACCATTACGATACCGAGTATTTGGCCAGCGTTGTAAGAGTGAATGGACAGTGTCGAAGATCAAGTTCCCTGTCGTGTTCTCGATAGGACCTTCTTCAAGCCTCCATTGCTCGCTCTTCAAACCTAAAATAAATGAATGTGACCCGTCATTGTTCAAGTTGGCAATATTCAAGGGTCGAACACAAGCTTCTCCAGTAGTGCTAACGGGAAATTGTTGGTCATGGAGAGCTAGAGCTGTTGACCCGAGGCTCAGAGCTGCCACAAGGGAGTGATAACGCATTGTGAGAACTGTTCCAAAGTTATTGATGCTATCGCATCTTTATCGGTGCCAAGCAATGTGTGGTCACTAGTGTTCTGGCAGAACTCGGGAGTTTTTCCGTCCGGTCTAGCCAAACTGGTTGTGCCTGGTCCACGGCAGGACTCGCCCGAAGGGAGAGTGGCTGAACTTGTTAGAACTCCATCCAAAACTCGCGGAGATGTAATATATGGAGGACCTACCAGTGAGCCAGACCTCCCGGGTACACTGCAGTTGCAGTACTGGACATGCGAACAGGTAAATGCGGTGCAGTTGACGTTCAATAAAACTTGAACACGACAATTTTCCCAATACGCACTACTCATGCACATATGCAGAGAACTAGTACTTACGTGGCATAGGACCGTCACATGCGCAGATCGTTGCAACATCGAACAGCGAAAAACGCGCAGTAACATGTGGACGCAATAGCCACTGATCCGCCAGTTATTCGTGCTTAAACATACTTTCCGGTTACCACTCGATTATCTGCAGAAGATGCCCAGGCCCTCAGCGAAGCCTAATGATAGCAATATATTAAAAATATTATGCTCTGCCAATAGGAAAATGCAAACCATTGGCACTTCATGCTTGTTCTCTTGCGTGAATGAACGAATATCTTCATTCGATGTCAGTGACTCTGTGATTTCTTGATCAAACTTTGTGTGATGGGGTCTGTTGTTTTCTCTTAACGCCCGCCAGCTTGAGCAGGTCGTTTTGAAAACATGTAAGTAATCAACCTGCGGGTGCAAGCATACCTACAGTTCCCTTTCCCACGGTACAGCTGTATTGTCTTCATTAGGTTTTGTACCGCAGGGCAATAAACAAGTGCCAGGTCTCTACGATGATGTCTTTCTATGATGCATATTCACAACCATCAGGCAGATGGTGTTTGTACTAGCACAAACGAAACAAGCTATCCTGAGGTCGAGGACAGCATCATCCGGGACCGGCCGCATTCACCAGCAAATATTTGAGCACTTGTTTTTATGCATGCAAGTACTTGTCCCTGTTGGGCTTCGGAGCTTCACGCAAGTTTGATTGACAGACGCGCAGACTCAAACACAATCGATAATACGCCTGGTATGACTCTACATGACCTTATATCCTGCGAGCGTTACTTCTATCTTTCTTATAAACTCGTTCTGCATACAGGCTCTATTTCACATAGCAGTTGCACTATATACGATGCGCCGCGAGTCAACACGACGAGATTTGGTGTAAAAAAGTGTTACTAACCATCGGGGAGTCTTTGCCTACAACAAGGCTTAAGGGGGGGTTATAGTAGCTGCTTCAGGCTGCATGCATTATATGGTAAGTTTGAGACATTCAAGCAAAACAAGGCTTACCTCTCTCTTGACCTTGTCCTGCATACATCACACGATCAGTGCGGCACATTCGGTGCCAAACAAAATAAGGCTTACCGGCACTGCGCTGACAAGGGCCGTCAGGCCGAGGAGCATAACAAAAGCAGTAGAGAGGCGGATAAACATGATGATGAGTTGATTTCGCTTAAGGAGGTTGTTGGTAACTTCATTTTTGATGCTGTCTTTTTATACTCCACAGAAGAGGGCGTCAAGCTATGTCTTGAGCATGCGTGGTCCACCAAAGGAGCTAGCTGTCTTAATGCATACGTGGCCCACCGAGTTGATAGAAGTCCGAACCGAGTCAGTGGGTAACAAGCCTCGTCGACAACCGTTGTTCCCTCGCGCGTCTTAGCGATAAACAACAAAAGGAGAACGCGGTACATTCACAGCTATCTTGATATCGATAGATCAGAATTTGAAAACTTCAGTTCGCCACTTTTATTTGTTATTGAAATTTTTTCGAGTCGTACTAGGTGCGCACCGTATTATCCTTCTGGAATCTGAAGTATTTCAGCTCCAAGTTTTAGTAAGAACAATGCACGTGCCTTACAGCAGAAGTCATTGACAAGGCCTACAACACCGCGGCCGCTCGGTAAGGTATTATTTTCTGCTCATGTACGACCTTAAGCACCTTGGTGACATGCGTGTCTGCTACTGCACATGAATGCATCGCGCCTGACCCTTCTACCTACCACACCTAACCTCCGACCTGCCCCCTCCCGCATCATGTGCTAGGTCCAAATGCAACTAGTATAACTTTATGAAGTCTGGCAGTGGCTCGCGCGGGCAACTCCGCTCTCGACCGAGCCCCGTGATGCAGATGACCTTCTTGCTGGTCCAGAGAGTGCCTCGCCTGACGACATTGACGAAGTTGAAGTGCTGGAGGGAATTTGACGAGTTGGATCGGGTCGAACAACTTGAAGGAAGTCATACTAATACTACAGGTATTCTAGATGAAGGTGAGGTGCCAGTTAATACGATGGTGGGGATCATGGATGGGACGAGGCAACATTAGCTGAAATGTTATCATTAGGAGCGTTGTACACACAGTCTATGCATACAGCCTAGAGTTTCGTCGTCCCGAGAAAATAGGTTTGCCCCCTAGTACCTACACTAACTCAGGCTGGGCACGAAAATGCGGGCTGGACACAATTGACACCGAGCCGGCAGCTATTCGTTGTTTTGGTCCAAGGGCAGTTCAAGTTGATCTCTCAAACTACAACTTTGAAAGTTCCTTTCAAGGTCTTCGCGTTTCAAGTGACGATAACGTATCAAACTGCTTCACAGCCAGTACGAGGCAAATTTCCGAATCAATATTTGTGCTTCATTTGATCAAACCTATGCATATGTAAGTTATATATAGTTGTTCAACGGGTGCGTTCTGCATTTATTACTATGGAGTTTGACCAAAGATCGAAGAATGCATGTGCCTCGGAATAGAGTATGATTTTTGCTAAAACTACTACCTCAGGTGCAACTGTATCTTCTATCAAGTCGCTCCCCGGCCGGTAGTGACATCCAGTGTCGAATCATGATGATAAAACGCTCCATCACGACGATTATAGCAAGCCAAGTTTAAACACAAATCATATGATCCAGTGTTTACACGGCCACCTTGATGAGTTCACAGCTCATTCATCATAAGAACTAAGAAGGCGCACGATGTGTGTGTGAAACATATCTTTGACCTCTAGATGGAGTATTCGACAGACGATATCGCAGCAGCGAGGAGCTTGCAGTTCGCTACGGTGTGTCTCCTTGTCGACATAAGGATGAATCATAACTGACAAGTCATGTACCATCAGTACATATTCAGTGCGTACTGTCCGAACCTTACAGTCTTTGTCCTAACACAGTCCAGCGTCAATGGCTACAATATGGGTAGGCTTATTCTGATATATCCACGTCCGCTGTCAAACTCGCTTATCCAGACCTATGATTATGCATGTTCGTTTCATGAAGAGGTAACACGCTTGTTCCATGATACACCCCGGTTTTTATATGCTGCGCAAAGTGGACATTTTTGCTTCGATCGCACTGGGGCAAGATGAAAATCATGTATATCGTTACGCGATACCTCCCCTTTATCATTCTCGCCATTGATCTATATAGTGCGTTCCACTCCAGCACACATCACCCCGATGATGAATTAACACTTGTTTTTCAGTGAGCTTTGCCCCAAATGAGAATCCAGCTGTATGTGTTGCAGTGCAGGATTAATGAGAACGAACGACTTATTGCATGCCTTCGCCAGAAATGCCGGGTGTTGCAAAATATTAATCCAGGTACGTGCATAATACGTATACATCCTTGCCGAAGGCTACTACTTTTCTCTCACAGGTCTTGACCTAGTCTTGGTTATTTTCTCCGAATGTATCTCTCGTTCCCTTGTACTATGTATGTTTCTGATCTGATTCATCCAGGCTTTTTTATTCTCAGAACATATGCGCTCTGGAACAGAAATAGATTCTTGCTTGTAGCCATGGTGCTGACCTTGTCTGTGAGTCCCTAATCCACTCACCATACCCCAGCTAGTGGTAGATGTATCAGCTAGGCTGTTCTTGGAGCTTCCACTGGCATTACCTTCTCCACTACCATCTCTGCAGCACGTATGTGTTCTCTCCTTCCCTCTGGTGTTCCACGACTACTAAAATATCGTGTTCACTTTACAGATGCGACTAGCGCAATCCCGGGAATCACAGGGTGCTACCGGAGTTCGAGCAATTACTGGCTCTTTATACCATTTCTTCTCCTTTCTGTATTCGAACTGGGTGGGTAACCAAGAGCATATATATGTACAAACACGCCCTGACAGGTGTTCTTCCCAGGACTCATGATCCTCACGCTCATACCTGCCATACAGAGCTGGCGGACAAATTCAAATGGTCTGTACGCTGTCCTGGTGAATCATAACATATCCTATTATGCATGTGGTCTTCGTGAGTCAACACTTGTACACGCCATTTTCCGCACTCATCCATTCTCTGTTCTGAAGTGTTCTCGGCAGCGAACATCTTCACATCGCTGCTCCTCGATGTGCGTGAATCTATTAAATATCTTTTTGACCGAGCTGTTGATGTTCTGCGCACCAGTACTCCTACCACAGCGTGTTCTATGAGTACGCACCTCCACATTCTGCTATATATTCCTGCTAACAATACCCGAAACGTACATCCACGTATAGTTTTGAGTTCATGATCCTTGCAATCCTCGCCACGCGCATGCACCTCCATCTCTGGAAGACGAACCGACATCCACACGACTCTACTAGTGCCCTCGTGCATGTTCCAATGTCCGACATGTCATTTGCAAATCACTCGGTGTGATGTCTTATTCTGTGGCTTATTCGGTGCCGTTCGTGGAGCGAAGTTTGAACTGTACAAGATAATTGGTGGGGGTGGATTTAGTAGAGTTTGTTACGTGCTTTAATTTATAGGACGAATTTGTCGCGGGGTGGTAAGAGCATCTTGGTCTATTTAACGCCTATGGTTTGCATTGTAAGCGGCGGCGGAGGCATTCAGAATTTGAGTGTGCTAGAACCAAAATTAACGATGATCTAATTCTGCTCCTGCTATATATGATCACTGTGAAACACACATGCATTGAATAGACCCTGTCCGCGACGGAAGCTGTATTCCCTCCAAATACTACCGCTAAGTTACCGTCAGGTAGAACGATGTAGCCGTTGTATTTTTAATAGTTTTTATTGTCATTGATAGATTGATTTTGGATAGCAACCAATCCATGAAAAGTACAGGTGGTTTCCATATAGTACTGGAACGAAAGAACGAAAAGGAGCAATGAGAAATGGTAACAGGATGAAAGCTTGCGTCAGTGCTGGACAGCGTGCTGGAAGGTGTAGATGGTAACCACGTAAAGCTGATAGCGTCGTGAAACAGAATGGAAGAGCAACTTGGAGGTAAATTCGTGCTTATGTATGTTAGAATTTGCATTCCACCAGCATTAATACCCATCCGTAAACCTCGAGAGGCCTGGGGTTAATAGATAAATGTACGTCTATTAGATGACTCACAATTGCAAGAACGATGTGAAGGCCAATGAATCAAAGTTCGTACGGCGGGAGGCGCCTAATGCACTTCGGTTGAGGCCTCCTCCATTCCTCCGTCGGTGTCCCAATGAAGAAAAATTCATCCGCAATTACTGGACTTTCGGATGGATACCTGACTTGGTCAGCAAGATCCTGTACTTCTGCTGGTGCACCCGTGGCGTTCTGCGGGTCCTGCGGAGGTTGACCTGGATGCCTTCGCCCGGGGGCATTGTCGGGCCAAGTAGGAAGATAACACATTTCCTGCAAGTATATCATGCTTAGTCTGGTGCGCTAGGAAAGAAGTTGTTTGGATCACACCTCTGGGCCGCAAGCAGGTCGGCATTTAATCCATATACTCCAGTCTAACCAAGACATCAGCTTCTCGATGTCTTGTCTCCGATCATTCATTATTTGAGGGACATTAGGCTCTCCATTCAGTTCAATAGGGAAAAGAGTGTCGAGCCCGTCCATGACACCCATGGCCCACATTCTCGTGGTGACACGGCAGACCTCTCTCGTTGTCTTCTCGACAGCTGTCAGCAGCAAGTGTTCCGAAGGCGTCATGAAGGGTATTTGGTTTATTATCACGGAAGTATGTGTTGTGGCGCATAACCTGAAGATCGGGGACGCCCACTGCAAGGCATCTACGCCTGAAGTGCCTGCACTAGGGACGACAGTGGAATCCAATATATACGGCGTAAGCATCACACGAAGCTGAATTTGCGTGAGTTTCGCTCGTTCGAGGACTTCTTGCGGGTCTGATGAGGTGAAATTCAGGAGATATTGCATCAACTCAAGTCGGTTTGCGTATCGATCGACGATGACGTGGATAAGGGTCTTCCAGTCAAGGCCGCTGTTTGTCGGGTGTGGTCGACTGATAACTTCGGTGAGCTTTCTCATCACCTTCGATATGTCGTTCGATGATATTCCTAACACCCGATGGTCCCACCGTTCAAGCCCCTCGCGAACCGGGACGAGGGAAGGTGCCAGTGAGACATCATACAGCGATACAAGACCAGTCAGGTCGAGAACAATGCGAGAATCTCCTGGGTAGCGATTGTGCCACGAGCCGGAGTGCATGACTTCAAATCTGCGAACCCCTGCGCCCAGAAACATTAAACGTTAGTCGTATTGGTATATGTGAAGATGACACTGACGGTTATGAGGATCCAATGGAGGAAGGGAGGGAGTGGAAGGGTCTTGGTCCTTCGGTGAAAGTCGGACATGCAGGAAAGATACTAGCTCAACACCAGCCGTAAAATCGCACAACATAACTTCACTAGAAGTTCATCAGTTGGAAGTGCGGCACAGAATAAGAGCATGCGCACAAGTCCATTTCCATCCTGAAAGTCTGAGAGTCAGTTATATACCATAGCGAGATAAGTTCGCTAACCTCGCGAAACCGTCCATTCCGAACTGCTTTCCCCACGTACAGAGATCTTTAATCCGCGATCTTTCATCGAAGAATCGCTCGGGTTGCACTTCTCCCCAGGCTATTATATCCTGCGTATCCATTGTACCCTCGGCTACCTTAGCAGCACTACTTCCATCGAAGTACAAGATTTTGAGAGGTCGCGTTGTTGCCAGCGTGAGCTGCCAGCCACTCCCATCCTTTCCACGAGCAGCGAAAAGAAGAGAATGCTCTGGGTCTGTAGCAGTCCATTCGGGCCCACTGGGCATCGTATTGCGGTTGGTACCGTGATACAACAAAGTACCGGTTGGAACCACTCCTGGCACTATGTTATGTCCTATGAAAAGATGAAACATTTGTCCAGCATTAGCAAAGCAGTGGAAAGTGATACGTACCATTGCGATACCGAGTATTTGGCCAGTGTTGCAGGAATGAATGGACAGTGTCGAAGATCAAGTTCCCTGTCGCATTCTCGGCAGGACCTTCGTCAAACCTCCATTGCTCAGTCTTCGAACCGAAACTATATGAATATGATTTGTCATTGTCCAAGTTGGCGATATCCAAGGGTCGAGCGCTTTCATCAGCAGTACTGACAGGGAATTGACCATGTAGTGCTAGAGCTGCTGACCCTAGGCTCAGAACTACCACGAGAGAATGAGAGCGCATTGGGATAACCACTCGTTGTTATCGCATCTTTATCAACGTATTGAACGTGTGACAAACCAATACTTGCTATAGCAGGCTAAAGCTACTGCGGCGGCACATATATCTCAGTAGCGTCTATGAATGACTCATCAGGGGATCTTGTCAGTGAAGATCCGGATGCTCGCCAGACTCTCCGGAATTATAATATCTTATCCAACCAAGGGTAGACTCTTAGATGATCTCTCTGGTCTGAGAGCAGCAGGCACACAGAGTTGAGGCGGAGCATGAACATGCACCATTCCAACGGAATGTTATGGTGGTGGTGGCGGGCACGTTGGTGGGATTGATTGGCACTGGCCGAAACATCAAGCGGAATTTGAACGTTGTCCCCGCACTTTGGCCCAGTTGTCCCAGGCTGGTAATATCGACCTAGAGGCTGTTTGAACGGAAGCACGGCAACTTCCGCGCCGTAACCTATACGCAGCGCAGTGAGCACTCTCTTCATTTCGACCGACAGCGAGCTGCGAGAGAATCTACTCCGGGGATACCGCGGGACAAGCTGTCGTCACTTCCACGACTCGCATCATAGCAAGCTCACACCAACTCACTGCTGGGCATCGAAGAATGGGGTTCTCAAATCATAACGTGAGTAGCTATCTTTTCTGCCTCGGCATTTTCTTCACATGCTGTGACTAGACATGGGAGGGATAATAAACTCCACGTCTGGGCACAATCCGAAGAGTCTGCTTCCATCAGACAAGAAATTGTGACTTGTCCAGATCTATTAACATCAACGACTTGTTACTCTATGGATGTCAACGCTCTTAACTATTGCAAGTTCTCTCTCCTTGCCCTAACAGAGGCGAGCGCCAGGAAAGTCTCTCGCCTTTCCGAACCTCGTGGAATCAGATATCTGGTCACTTACATCGTGTCAAGGACTCCACGCTGCTATAGGTCACTAGGGTTCAGCGTTGCCGAATTTGACCTTGCTTACTCTGCATCTCTGACTTCGAGTCTTGCGGTGGCCATTAATGCAGTACTGACGCATGGCGATAGTTATTTTTTTCTTCGTTTCTTGTACTGCTAAGTTCAGCTACTACAGTTCATAACGTTTCAGTGAGAATACTGCGACTGGTATTTTTTCAGTATACACTCAGTCTTCCCTCTTTACAACATGTGGTTGTGCATAATGCTGCTCTGTGAGTTAGCTTTGATCGTGCATAGGTTTGACTAACCTATTTACCAGGAAATCGATTAACACTGTTTTTTTTGGCGTATTTGTGCTTATTTCTACTACCTTTGACAGTCTCGTGGCTCATGCACATGCTCGACATCTGCGCTAAGACATGGCATGTTGGAATTCCTATTCTCTGCCTTTCGAGAAACAATGTGTACAAGTTATCTAGTGTTGTATTAGAGTTTGGTCCAGACACAGTTGCAAGTTCGTTGCAGGTGTTGTCGGGTGACTGTACAGTCGTTTGTGTTTCGCTGCTTAACCCTGCAATTTACATTTAACAGAAATGTGCCGCTCTTGTTGCAAGCAAACTTTTTTCAACTGCTTTTCTTCATCGTCTCGTAATCGTGCAGTTTTCACATCCACTGCTGAGATGACTACAGATTGAAGAACTGGCAGCAGAGTGTCGGACTGATTCCAGTAAACTGTTTTGATTTCGCTTTCCACTCGTGAAAGTTTGAAGTCATAAATAGCAAAGTTCGAATTTCGTTAAGAGCGGGCTCATGCAATGCGTTTTCAAGTTTCAAGAGCAACGAGAGACGCGGATCATGAAGGCGTGCCGCCTTATTCTGCGTTGCAGATGTGTCCGCTGGGTGTTGCACGCTAGCCATTACATTCAACTGCGCTTTCGTTTTTAGCTCTATTCAATTTCTCGTCACCTACTGCAGCTATGATCTCCGATTCTCCTTCATTGTTAATTTGTCTAGAGCGGAATTGAGCTGTTGCAGTTGTATCATAACGAACAGCCACACTCATGATTTTGTCGCATGCCATATGACCTTGCTTGTGAAAGCAAGGTGACACCTTCGCAACAGCTTTCTCGGATGGTAGGTCAGGCAGCAAATCCGGGATCATCATGTTAATGCATCTTTTTTACTCTGCGTTGCTTGCACCTTCGTATTCTACAGTGCCTAGGGTTAATAGAAAAATGTACGTCTGTTAGATGACCCACAATTACAATAACGATGTGAAGGCCTACGAATCACAATTCGTACGGCCAGAGGCGCCTAATGCATTTCGGTTGAGGCTTCTTCCATTCCTCTGATGTCTCAATGAAGACAAATGGATCTGCAATTACTGGACATTTGGGTGGGCGCCTGATTCGATCAGCAAGATCCTGTACTTCTGCTGGTGCATCCGTGCTGTTCCGTGGGTCCTGCGGAGGTGGACGTGGATGTGGAGGCCTTGGCCTGGGGGCATCTTCGGGCCAAGTAGGAAGATAACAAATCTCCTACAAGTAGATCATGCTTAGTCTGGTGCGCCAGGAAATGAGTTGTTTGGATCCCACCTCTGGGCCGCAAGCAGGTCGGCATTTAATCCATATACTCCAGTCTAACCAAGACATTAGCTTCTCGATGTCTTGTCTCCGATCATTCATTATTTGAAGGACATCATGCTCTCCATTCAGTTCAATAGGGAAAAGAGTGTCGAGCCCGTTCATGACACCTACGGCCCACATTCTCGTGGTGACACGGCAGACTTCTCTCGTTGTGTCCTCGACAGCTTTCAGCAGCAAGTGTTCCGAAGGCGTCATAAAGAGTATTTGGTTTATTATCACGGAAGTATGTGTTGTGGCGCATAACCTGAAGATCGGGGACGCCCACTGCAAGGCATCTACGCCTGAAGTGCCTGCACTAGGGACGACAGTGGAATCTAATAGATACGGCATAAGTATAACACGGAGCTGAATTTGCGTGAGTTTTGCTCGTTCAAGGACTTCTTGTGGGTCTGATGAGGTGAAATTCAGGAGATATTGCATCAACTCAAGTCGGTTTGCGTATCGATCGACGATGACGTGGATAAGGGTCTTCCAGTCAAGGCCGCTGTTTGTCGGGTGTGGTCGACTAATGACTTCGGTGAGCTTTTCCATCACCTTCGATATGTCGTTTGATGATATTCCTAACACCCGGTGGTCCCACCGTTCAAGCCCCTCGCGAACCGGGACGAGGGAAGGTGCCAGTGCGGTATCATACAGCGAGACAAGACCAGTCAGGTCGAGAACAATGCGAGAATCTCCTGGGTAGCGATTGTGCCACGAGCCGGAGTGCATGACTTCGAATCTGTGAACTCCTGCGCCCAGAAACATAAAACCTCAGTCATATTGGAACACAAGAAGAAAATACTGACGGGCCTCAGATTTCGGTGGAGGAGGGAAAGGAGGGAAAGGGTTCTCGTCCGTCGGTGAAAGTCGGATATACAAGAAAGATACTAGCTCAATACCAGCCGTAAAATCACACAACATAACTTCACTAGAAGTTCGTCAATTGGAGGTGCGACACAGCATAAGAACATGCGCACAAGTTCATTTCCATCCTGAAAGTCTGAGAGTCAGTTATGTATCATAGCGAGATAAGTTCGCTAACCTCGCGAAACCGTCGATTCCGAACTCCTTTCCCCACGCACAGAGATCTTCAATCCGTGATCTTTCATCAAAGAATCGCTTGGGTTGCACTTCTCCCCAGGCTATTATATCCTGCGTATCCATTGTACCCTCGGCTACCTTGGCGGCACTACTTCCATCAAAGTACAAGACCTTGAGAGGTCGCGTTGTTGCCAGCGTGAGCTGCCAACCACCCCCATCCTTTCCACGAGCAAAAACAAGAGAATGCTCTGGGTCTGTAGCAGCTCAGTCGGGCTCACTGGGTACTGTATTGCGGATGGTGCCGCGATACAACAAAGTACCGGTTGGAATCACTCCTGGTACTATGTTATGTCCTACGAAAAAGATGAACATTTTTCTAGTGTCAGAAAGCGGCGGAGACGTACCATTACGATACCGAGTGTTTGGCCAGTGTTGGAGAAATGAATGGACAGTGTCGAAGATCAAGTTTGCTGTCGCGTTCTCGGCAGGACCTTCGTCGAACCTCCATTGCTCAGTCTTCGAACCGAAACTATCTGAATGTGGTTTATCATTGTCGAAGTTGGTGATATCCAAGGGTCGAACCCAAGTTTCATCAGCAGTGTTGACAGGGAATTGGTCATGAAGTGCCAGAGCTGCTGACCCTAGGCTCAGAGCTGCTACGAGGGTTGAATGAGAGCGCATTGTGATGACCGCTGGGTGTTATCGCATCTTTATCAATACCGTAGTAATACTTGCTGTGGCGGCGGCAGTATCTCAGCAACGTCCATGGATCATCAAGGGGTTCTTGCCAGTGAAATTCTGATCATCATAATACTCGGCTTGGCACGACTCTCCGACGGAATTCAAATTTCAAATTTCAAATTGTTTAAACGGGGGCACGGCAACTTCCGCGCGCGAGTGTGTATGGCTCTGCCAGCACCTTCACCTATTCATCTGCTACGCTCACATTCCAGCGCAGTGAGCACTCTCTCCATTTCGACAGACAACGAGAGAATCTACTCCGGAGATACTGCGGGACAAGTCATTGTCACTTCCACACGCTCATTGCGACCACTCGCATCATGGAAAGCTCACACCGACTCCCTGCTGGGCATCGAAGAATGGGGTTCTCAAATCATAACGTGAGTAGTTATCTGTTTTGTCCCGGCATTTTTTCTAATGTTGTGACTAGACACGGGAGGGATAATAAACTTCACGTCTGGGCTCGACCCGAAGAGTCCGCATCCATTAGACAAGAACCTGCGACTTTGTCAGATCTATCAACACCAACAACATGTTATACTATGGATGTCAACGCTCTTAACTACTGCAGGTTCTCTCTCCTTACCCTAGCAGGGGCGAGCGCGCAGGAAGGTCTACTCGCCGTTCCGAACCTCGTGGAATCCGCTCTTGTAGGTAATCCTTTTGGTGTGTGGTACGGCGTGATCTCAGTATGAACTGGCCAGGCAGATATCTGGTCACTTCCATCGTGTCAAAGGCTCCACGCTGCTATAGGTGATCCGCTAGACACTTCCGCAACAACCTTTTCGGATGGCAGGTCAGGCAGTAAATCCGGGATCATCATGTCAATGCATCTTTTTTACTCTGCGTTGTCTGCACCTTCGTCCTCTACGTCAGCAAGAGAGCTGCACCTGTTATGCGCATACGAAGATGGAAGCGTTGTCCTGCGAAAGCGGACTGCACGCGAGACCAAACAGACTATCGAGGGCCGTGGATGGGAAGTCGTGTGGAAATCCAAACTTCACGTAGAATCAGGTTCGTCGAAATATGTAACATTCTCATAGGGATTCTGACGTAAGTTGTCGTTTTAAGTGATGGCTATGGCAGTTTCTTCAGACTGCACTCTTGCTTTGACAGTGTCGGCGGACCATTTAGTGGGACGATATGATCTTATGGTTCGTGTTCGGGTGGCCCTGCATGAGTTTGCTCTCTGAGATTCTGAACAGAAGACTCAGGAGGCATCGGAATCCACTCCCGCAGGAACTGCATTCAAGACCAAACATGCAGGAAATGGCGCTGTTGCCATACGGAGCGACGGGAGAGTATGCGCGATTGGGGGATGGGACGGCAAGTCAGTTGATCGGAAGATCGTGTCGTTTGAATCGAGCTAACTTGTAAAGCAGAGTGCGGTTATATTCAACAAAGACATTAAAGTTGCTGGGAACCCTTGTACACCACAAGCAAGGATGTCAGACGGTTACGTTCGCCTCTCATATTGACCATGTACCTCTTTGTGGAGACTTGAAAGAGGACGACTCCTCTACTGATGAGGATGAATTTACCGTCGAGGAAAAGCATACCCGTGGTCGGTGGTTGATTGCTGGTAGTACAGATGCGAAGGTGTCGATATGGGCGTTGATGGACTTCGAGAAGACAAGCACATAAGTTGAACCGATGCCCACGGTAAAATGAGGACGTGGCATGCTCCTTGCTTGTTAATTAATTGTATGTTTGTGTGCCGCAATCAGTCGTCTGAAATAAGGCGTGGCTGAGCCAGCCCGTCAAATAAGCCAAAGCAACCTTGAAGTAGCCTGTCCGAGGACACCCGAGAGATGGTCAGCAGGTCAAATCTGTTGGAACATCGGAACTTTCACCTCCCTCAGATCTTGCACTTGTCGAGAAAGATGTTTCCCAACATCGTTGAAAGGGTGCCAACCGGGACGCCTCCTATACATAATCGTCGTTACCCAGAGTCGTCGCCCGATGACTGACAAACCAACGCCACCTCTTGATCACTCGCCTGGAGGTCAACAGTTCAGTGATACTATAAATCCTAGAGTGATGACGGGAGTGCGCGGGGCGCTGTGGATCGCGGACATCGCACAATCGTTGCAGCACACGAAAACGTTGAGGGCGCCGTCGGGTCCTCAGCGATGACGTTGAAAAAAGGATTCTCATTCAACAACGCCGCCTAGGCACTGGAATACATGATAAGTGACCTAGCGCATGCGACGTTCAAATCATGTGGACCAGATTCATCGATGGGAGAAGTAAAGTTGATGGCAAGCGAGTTCAAGGGTGTGGGGTTTGCGAAGCATGCTGGCAACCGCCAAACTCACGAATTTCCCTGGTCGAGCTTGGCACCTGCGCTCACAAAGTCTCACTTGGTCGCCTATCATGGTCGGAACATGGAGGCAGTCGTTCCTTTTCGCTCACTACGTAAGCTGTTGGGTGTAGACTATGCATCCAGATGTCGTAAGTGCGGATGTCTCAGGTGAGTGATTATGATTCAGACTAGGGGGCACTCTATTCAATTCTAATCATGACGTCGCTCATATGTCTCAGTTTAATGCCGTGCATATTGGTCACAGTATATAATCTCGCATTCTGATTTTCGCATCGTTCTATAACTTGACTTACAACTCCATCTTGCATATCCATTCAACTTCATCTTCAAACATGGCTTTCGAAATGCAGCAACTCCTTACTTCTGGCAGGCTCCAGAATTCCGACTTTGCTCCCTTACATTCTGCCTACGGGACCAGCACCTCCAGCGCCGAAGTCATGTCTTCCTTCTCTATCGTCACTGAGGACATTTCACCCGACACCTCCTGCTTTTCTGCATACTCCAATGATTCCACTACCCGGAAACTTAAGCGCAGGCATGCTAAGCGCGGGCGCTTTTCCAAACGCAAGGCGACTATGAGTCTACTTGAAGATGCTAGCGCATGCGACCCCTTGACTCTGAATGCTATTGCTAGCCTTTCCTCAAACTGGCTCAACCTGTCCTTCCCAAACCGCACTCCTACCTACACGGACTACTTCGTGAATTACTGGCGACATGCACTAGCAAAGGAGCAGGACATTTTGATGGATCATTTTACTACTGTCATGGCAGTCGTCCATGAAGATTTATCGGCTACCTCAACCACCCGCTCGACTCAGCCTACGCTCGTGCAATCCAACGAGGAGTCCTCCAACATTCAATACGAAAATGCTCTATTCGCAGTCACCTGTCCCTGGGACGATGGTGAGAAATCTCACCTAGACGACTGGATTGAATGGGACGAATGGCGTCGGGAAGATGATGAAGTCTATATTCCAATAGGCGATCGTCATGACTATGGAGCTATTGGCCAGCCACCAGTATATCCGCTGCGCAACATGGGCACCCATTTCCAGATCGTAGCGCCGAAGCCGATTCGTGCGTGGAACAACATAACCTGGTTGGGTCATCCACCCGTCACACCTGAACCAGTATCCCGCCACTGTATGGAGATGGTTGTCGATGATGCAGCCGTCTATGGGACTTCACAAACTCCTTTTATGGAAAGTTCCATCATCTATTCCACGGCGTACCGCACGCACGCCGAGTCGACCATCTATGACTCTGGCAGCGCATCTCCCTCCTCTTACCTATCTGTTCTTGCTGCCTCTATGCCTTCCACTGGCAGGCGTATTCCTCCTCCGTGTGTCAATGATCCCCATCCTACCACTCATGGAACAAAGGCAATTTCTCTCGAAAGACAACATTCGAGAGATCACAAGTTGTTGCAATTTTTACGGGTACGTCCCTTCTCTTATCTCGCGTCAGTGATCAAGTTACTAATCGCTGCTGTGCAGATGTCTTATGATCAAAAAGTTCTTGAGCTTGAAAGAGTAGTTGGATGGATGAGATCTCATTCGCTACGGATATGACCCCAGCTTACATGCATGATATTTGTTTGTATATTAGTTATGGATTGTAATGATCAAGGACATTCACTCTGCATTCAATTTTCGTTGTGGCGTCGTTTTCTTTTCCCAATACGCAACGTTGCTGAGTTTAAGAATTGCTCTTGAGTGATATACTAACGCGTTCTCCTTTTCAGTGATCCTCAGTCGTATGGCCCTCGAATACCTTCCGATCCTGAGTTCAGGCGTGCCTTTGTGTACAAGGATTCCAGACCGCCAGGTGAACATACGCTACTGGTGACTGAATGCCATACCCGTCGCACGACTTGGTTCGGATGCGCATGTCACGAGACAAACCCCTATACCACCATAGCATCTTCGTAACCTTCCAATACCCACCCACAGGTGACAGAAAAGCCTCCGTCATACTGAGAGATTTGATGCTGGTCTTTGCAAGCTGAATATAATCTAGGCTGCCCCTGAGAATACGGTCTGCATAAAAGTACGCCTCTTATCATAAACTTCACAACTAGAGCAAAAGACGGTTTATTCCAAAAAATTAAAATACATGAACTCGTTTATCGTCGCTGTAATGTTAGCCCAACAACAGTGCGTATGGTATACTCGTAGTATATCTCGGTTTGACTAGGTAGTCTTAATATAATCTTGTGCTCTATTGAGTGAGGAAGAGTGTCCTCGACACTTGAGCAGCAGATGAACGAAATGCGTGATGAGGTACTGGATCTCAGTCCCAGTACCATTAGCGAATAAATACATGGAGGTTTTGTTGCCTCCCGCTGTGAATTCGAGCCCGGAGATTATGCCCATTGGAAAAATAGAAATCATTTCGGCCAGCGAGTTTTGCGGCGCGCAAGGTCATCTCGATTCCGAATTTCCGATCACATCAATGGTCATCAGCGCCCGGCCACCCCCATTGGACGATCCGAGTTGGTCCATTGTGCCACGTCTGCACTCTGCGGCGAGCCAGATTGGACATTGTGGACCCACGAGTGCCAACAAAGCCCGCTCCATTCGACTGAATAATAGCATCGATGAACACCGGATACCTGGTAACAGGAACAGTTTCTAGCATGAGAATGAAAAAATGAAATTTAATTGACTCACCACTTTCCATAGATTTCCTCCGTCCGGTCTGTCGCATAGTCTACCCACGTCCAGCCCAATGCCCGGACCTCTGACCACCATTCCGGGTCAGACTCATCGCTCGTCATGATAACATGTGTGGCCTCGATCCCTTTTTGCGTGCGAAGTTCTTCTTGCACCTCGGATACCCTGCGCGCAATGATAGACAGGGAGGCAAAGCACTGATCCAAAGGAAGGCCATGACACTGATCGCGGAAGTCACCATGCCGTATGTGAACGGATATATACTATGAAAGTTGGTAAATCTGCGGATCAGCCTATACCCGAAAATTCCACTCACGGGAGGTACTGGTTCGTCGACTGGCACATTCATGGCACGCCGGGCGTGCGCATCGGCAAGCTTTTCCATGGTTACATTCCATCGCATGTGTTGGCCTACAAATCTCCATGCAGGAGAATAATCCATCTCCCATTCCCATGGACGTTGGGCGCCTATGAAGTAAAGAAAATCGAAGCATAGTAGCTGGTCGTCTGGGGGAAGTGAAACCTGATGCTGAGGAGAAGGATGATTCGGTAATCTCAGGCTTTCCGAGCGAGCCTGCGGAAACGCAAGTGTTGCAAGGGACCAAAACGAGGCGTGGTCGTCTATTATGTCAGGAGGTGTGAGCTTGACCCAATCTGGGGTTCGCGTCCACGAAATATCTGTGATGACCACGTAGTTAATTCACTGGTTAGAAATATTCGAAGTTGTCTTACCGAGCTTGAGGCGATCTATGATGGGACTTGCACGAGGACGGGGATCCTCCTTGTATCTTTCAACGCTTTCCCAGACGCTCCAACCACCAAGATCATCGAGAACCTGACTTTCCGAGTCCTTTACTTCGTGCCATTCAAGTACGGGGATGCCTATGGCTTGGCTAAGCCGAGGGACATCAAAAACTTCCCCAAAAGCAAATGGAGGTTCACTTGAGTCGATATGAGAAGAGAGGAATTTTGCAATGATGGGAATACGTTCTGTTAGGAGTGCCAGGTAGATTAAATTGCCCTAGTATTTGTGAGGAACGGGGAGAATGTTGGAAGTGGATCGTTGACTTACATAGGTCATCACGTCATTCGCTAACAAGTAGCTGTGATCAGTGGTGCAAGTGGCAGTTGGCTAGAATGGACGTACTCCATCCCGCTGAAGAAAACGATGTAATGTATTTTGTGTCGTTACGAAGGTTGTCTGAGACGATTATTGTGAGATACAGGTGATGTTTTCGCCGATTAACTGACCTCGAAAGCGTTGGGTAGGTGGACCTTGAAGATATGACGGCGAGTTGGAGGCGGCAGAATGTGAAGGCACATTCGGTGTGTCCAGATGGCTCGAGGGCTTGAGTAGGAGAAATCCAAAGCCAAGCAAGGATATACCTGCCAGAGCAGCGCATATCGTTCTGCGAGATAGTTTTCTTCCTTTAGTTGTTCGTGGTTTGGCACCCAACGTAGGAATAAATGGAGTCTCTGAGTCGTCGTATGTGTCCATGAGGGGGAAGGCTTGAGGGAGCTCAATTAGAATCTTTGTGTGGGGATGATGGTGAGTATTTACGCTATGTAAAACTCAGGGCAATGCCTGATGAGCCTCCAGTGAAAGATCCGGGTATCGTGCACGGTGACGCCACCTATTTGGTGTGAGGCAGTCGGGACCCGCCCGATGGCATCAGAAGGCACCACGTACGGGTTAGATACTATTTAGGCTCAAATCATTTTAAGAAGCGGAAAAACATCGGCGCAAGCACTTCAATTTCAAGGAACTGTGCAGGACCCATGTGATGCATTCCCAACTATCTATCTGGACAAGTTGGGGCGCCCTTCAAGGACCTGTGTCTCTCACATACCGTGCGAACATCTTCACAGCGCTGCGGTCAGAGGGGTTGGAGTACAAAATAAGCACTTACCTTACTACACAAGTCCCGAGCCTGGAAATAGAGCACGGCACTCCACTTTGAAGTGCGCTGCCATAAACTTCCGGTATATGCACTTCGACAAACCCACGTGCGAGGATGATAAGCAATGGAGAAGAATCGTCGATATAAATGGTAGAATACAACGATGATCTCCAGAAAAGAGCAACTTCCTGAAGTGAACCGCAAAGGATGCGTGTCAGGTGAGAATTTGAAACCGACCAGCTGTCCATGATCGCGTAGATGTCGGAGAATTGGTTCATAGAATCTCTTGGCGTTGTTGTTTACATATCTGTCGCGCATCTGCCTGAGCAATACTTTGACCAAATATTCTCGTCCACCTGTGCTCCAGTTTTAACCCTTCCTGTCCATCGCAGATTTAGCTCAATACTGGCTTCCGGTTGAAGGACTATAGGAGAGCTGAAATAGCTGGCTAAGACAAAGGTTGCTCCACAGACTGATATGTTGTTAACGATGAACAAGAATATCTCCTTCAGAAGTTCCAGTGGCAGTGATTGAATGTGATTTTCAAATAGCACGTGACTAGTGATTTGTTTGGCAAAACCTTTGGATCCAAACAACACTATATAGACTTTTTTACGTCCTCAAATACCTTATCTGTCAAGTACTAGCGACGACAGCCACAGGCCTAGGGCGCCATGTCCACCACATACCCCTTCACCGGGTATCGCCAAGTAGATTCATTTGGTCCCGATGAAGAATATTCATCAGACACCGAAGAATTCTACGTCACGCTTGATCTCGGTACTGTCGAGCCAACCCTACTTCCCAGCAGCTCAACCTACAGGCTTGTAGTAAGCATAAAACCTCATATATCATAGCCATCACTACAAGGCAAAAAAAGGGCTTGGATACGCCTACGCCATTCCTGCAGCTTTCTGGCTCCTTCTTCAGGGGTAGGCATGATACGCTCCTTGGTTCGGAGCTTTTGTTCAATGAGGGAAAAAGTACGTAAATGTTTTGTCCATCATCAAGTTAAATTGACATTTTCTGTCGATCAAAGATGATTCCGAAAGAAATACGCGAGCTTTGGCCCACGTCGGCGTCACTGAACGACGTATCCGATTCAAGGAGGTGCAGCTACGGCAGAAGGCCCCTGAACAATTGGAAGAGGCTCCTGCTGTCGGTGCGAACTCTTCTCACAATGGGGCACAAGCGGAAGCTGCTGGTCATTCACTCGGACGCATGATTGGGAGTGTTACAGAGCCCCGATCTCGAAAACGCAAGAAACGACGTGACAAGGGGAAGGGAAAGGAGAAGGAGACGTCCCCTCAGGACGAGGGGAGAGACGATGCGATGGATACCACTTAGTTTTGCCATAAGGTGATTCGCCCTTATCATCTTATCGTTCTGCACATGTCGCGTGTCAACCTTTAAGCGGTCGACTCTCCAGTTCCCTATGGACTGCAGCTTGAAAATTTGGTAGAAATATCCATACTTTAATTACAATGTACTTCGGATAATTAATTAGGCAAAGCAACCGGTGATGGTATCATAAGGAGAGCAGGAAGATGAGACACATATCATGCTCTAACACTTGCATCACCCTCTCGCATCTCTGAATAAAAAGGTCAGATCCAAAAGTATACTATACAACACCAGTGACGGTGTCATCACAATAGATGCGCAGCTCGCAATTCTGCCTCCACATGCTCCTGTTGTGTCGTGGCTGTGAGAAACGTTTGCTCACTCTCTTCAAGCGGTGTAATATTGAACGCCTGCTCGATATTTCTCCTCGTTGCGATGTCACGAGCAATATCCTCAGGTGATTGGGGTTCGTGTGCACTTGAGGCACGGATGGCAGATTCCCACTTCTTCACACGCCAGAAACCGACCAAAGAGGAAAGGAGCAAAAACCAACCTGCGAGACGGAGTAAGTAAACAAAAAAATGAAGACAGGAAACACGTACCGAGAGTCATCAAAAGAAATGATAGCCACTCTCGTGATGACATACTGAGAACAATGGTATTGGTATTGTCCTGAGGCATGGGAGCCAAGGATGAAGATGAAGGCGGGGCGGATAGCATGAGGACATCAGGAACGCCATTGCCATCAGCCGTGGGATGCATGGCATCTGCTGCAGAACGAGTGTAAAAGCCATATTGGATCAATGTTATCCCAAGGCCAGCTCTCGAGCCATACTTTGCGGCGTGTGTGGTGTGGAGGAGGTATGTGAGGAGGAAGCCGATGAACTGGAAGAAAAATGAGACGAAGAGGTTCGAAAGGAATGCGAGGATGGAGCCCGAGGGAAGATCGCCGACAATCATCCCAGCATCGCTATCCATTCCGGAAGGAGCATGTACGATAGTGTCCCAATACGGGGGTACAGCATCTGCTTGGGCTGTCGCATAAGACTTGAAAGATAATGAGGTGAGGTATATTAGAAAATGAGTAAGCATAGGCATACGGGTGGAGCATTGTTCTGCGTGTCCTCAGGGACCATGTAGATGCTGCCATCATCAGCTTGTATTGGCACTGAGACTGAGGAGGCGGGTTTGACGACAACATTTGAGAACACTCCATCATTCTGTATCCCTCCACCTCTCACCCCAGCAGGTGGTTCGTCGGTCGGTACGCGGACATAGTGAGTAGGTAAGATAGCCCCAACTGCCCTGCGCAAGAATGATGGTCGTGGTAATGTCGTTCCCAAAGGAGAGGTTGGTAATTCACCATTCGAATTGCCAATATCGTTGGGTAAAGCAGTCGCTAGAAGCTGTGGGGGAGAACCAGGGGGCGGACGGTCGTAATCGTAATTCCGCTCGAAGTCATAAATTGAAGGAATTGTCGTACTACACGGCATGCTTTTGGGGGGATCTGCGACGTAGGGAAGCGTCTCAGCACGCGGGTGATTAGATGGAGAGCGTTCAATGTCAATGTAATCCTCATCATCATCGCCGTCGGACTCAAAGGCGTCGTTGAGTTCACGATCAACATCTCGTGATGACTGCTGCGTTGGCAGCGGTGCGTAATGCGTAGACATGGCACGTCGCATACGAAGGATATGGCAGGCCTGCAGAGGTGCTACTATGTAAGCGAACCCCGCAGCTGCGGCGTTAAACCAAGTTCTCACGAGACTGTATGCTCTTCGATTGCAACTTTCTACATAGCCGGCATTGCCCTCGCATAGCCTCCTTGTTATTTGTTAACAGGGAACGTAATATCTTATGGTACCTTCATGCACGCATATGACACGATCTCTGTCCATGCCGTATGACCTTCTTCAATCGTTCAGAAACCGTGTTAACGTTGCTAAGTGATTAGTACAACCCCGAAGACTGCATCGGAGAACTTGGCCAAGGCCCAAAGATACATTATCCTCCCGTCGAGTTCAAATTGCGTACACCATCCTGTGCCATCTTTTTGTGCCCAACGTGAACGCCGCCATCTCTTTGCATACTGCCCATCACATCAAAATACAGCGCCAGACCCCCGCTCGCAGTTGACATCTCCTCCATCAATCCTCCTTGTCGACTACCGCTAGTGGTGCGGCCTTGTACATACCACCCTACAATGTCTACGTCATTGGTGGTCGTAATTTTACGTTGCATCTTGATCTCACCCAGCAAACCAAAGACACGAGAATTTGGGTTGGTTCATGATTAAAATTTCATCATATGTGAAGGACAACACATTGTCAAGGAGATGCTACACTACACGCCCAACTTATGTGTGGGAGATAGGGTAGCTGGCACAAAGGACAGAAACCAAATGTGGTGTATGGGGAAGCGCTGTCCCAAGAATGTGTTCGACCGTAAGTGTCGATGTGGTGACTCTAGTCGAGGTTACCACGTCTGTCGGTGCTGATGTCCGTAGGCTGTAGGGAGCGAAAGCGCGCGGAGAGCCTGTGGAGGCAGAATTCGGAGCGGCTAGCTCGGTGATAGACGGCTAAGGGATCGATGTGAACATGGCAGAACAGCACAGAATAGGCACGCACGAGGACGGCGAACTTCGACTTGAGAATGATGTCGATTAGGAGGAAATACGCTTACCGAGCGGTGGTTGAGGTCTCTGCCACTGATGAGTAATTGATGCGTTCAGGAATTCACTGGCCGCCGCCTGCACACCCTATTGGTAGCCGATCACCCCACGGAAGTTAGGACTCGTGCAAATGTCACTGGTGGAGGACGAGTCTAAAATTGCCGGTTTGAGTGAAGTCTGTGTCTGCGACCAGGTCTGGGCGCACACTAGTACTCAGCATGCGTGGTGGAGTTTGAAGTCGTCAGTGGCTAAGATTCGGGCATGATGTGATTACGCCGAGGCGACCTTAAATGAACGAGCACAATTAGATTATTACACAGTGAGGAATGGATGCACAGCGATCAGCTAGTGTATGATAACAAAATGTCCAAGTCATGCACAGAAAATATTCAACGATATGGCGCAACTTGCCTAAAACATGGGACGACACCAGAGGTGATCACTGACAGATCTACTGTAGATACCACCATCAGCAAAAATGAATGAGCCTGCAAAGGTAATACTGCTGCTGACTAGTCGACTCTCCATGGCTGCTGGTTCATCTTCATGTCAATGATGTACCAACAACGATGGCGAGCCAAGATCGAGGCAAATGATGACAAGCTATTTGGATAAAGTTCGGACCAGCTACAGTTGCGGACAAGCAAACACCACCAATTTTGGGCACCGCCAAAGATTGATTTTTCCTGTTGACACAAATAACCGGGAACCCATTTTTAGTGCAGAATCCACTCATAGGGGACCAAAGCAACTGATTTGCACGAGCAGATTTTTAAAAAACTGCCATACGAGGGTTTCGGAGGCCAAAAATTTAATGTACCCCAAAAATAATTCCTAAATTCACGAAAAATATGCCAATCACTTCCTTTTAATGTCCTATACATGATTCTGTCAAAATATCTACAGAATCTCAAGGCATTTCAGCGCTAAAATTTGGTAAGTATTGATGTAATTGCCTCCGGTATTCTCCAAAATGTCATGATTATTACTTTTTATGACTTACTTTTGATTACAAAAAGGTGAACTAAGTTTTACACAAATGATTCTGACCAAATTTTGGTGCAGAGGGGTACTTTGGATCACTCTTGGACCCCCAAAAGGGGTACACAACATTGCTCAAATTGCTCAAAAATTTGGCACACCAAAAATTTTGTGGGAAAAATATTGGAGCAGTGTTTTTAGACATATTTTCACTGCCTGAGTTTGGATCTGGCTTCAGTTTGACCTGAAAAAATCACTGGCAGGCCCTCAAGATCCTTTTTCACTTCATGCCTTGCTTCATCCAAATCATTTCATGATTTCAGACACCTTTGCTTCACCGCCACATGCTACATCGCTTCATGCTACATGCTACACCTGCTGCTTTACACTCGGCTCTCAACCTTCACAGGACAAGCAGCAAGGAGCCACATTCAACCAGTCATCTTCAGGACATCAATGTGATCATCAGCGCGATTCTCACAAGCGTTCACCATCTCTTGAGACTGGGGGCAACAGAAAAAGGGTGCAGCAGGATTTTCGGTCTGGCACAACTGGCAATGTCCTATCCACTTGTGCAGTGTGTCTTGGGTGCAACCCCCACAAAATCATTGAATGCAAGTTGCTCAAGACGTGGGACAACACCTTCGACACTATGCTCCCACATCAGCAAAATCCTCACAATGTGAGATGGGGGGTAATGTGGCCGAAGCTTTCTCGTGATTTTTCCATATAATCCGATCCCTTGACAACAGCGCTTCTCTTCTTTTCATTCTTTCCCCCCTCATCATCTTTCACTGTGGTGTCTCCCTTTGACACTGCACAAGTCTTAACTTGTTACAGTAACATGGCACGAGTCCCCCGCCAGCAGACCAGCCCTCTGCCGAACGCACGGCTATAGACGACACCGGAGCCTCACCAGCTCTATAGACGATAACAGAGCATCATTGGCTCTATGACGATAGATGACGACAGATGACGACAGATGACGATAGACGATAAGCGGCAACTGCCGGCTTAGATAAGCGGTCTGGACCGCACGTGATGATACATGACGACATAGGTCTAGAAGACCTATTAATGTTATCAAGATAGAAGGCATGCCTCGTGCTGCCTTGAGGACGATAGAAGGCAAGCCTCACGCTGCCTCATGGACAGATAGAAGATAGAAGGCAAGCATCATGTTGCCTTAGATAACGATAGAAGGATACCACGTGGATCCTATCTCTGATGGAAGCGTACCGCATGGACGCTATCTACGATAGAAGCCCGCCTCATGGACGCTATCTCTGACTCATGTAGATAAGCAGATTAGAACCCAGCTTTAGGCTGAGCTTAGATACGAAGAGTAGCCTTATATAAGGTCGAAGATTACAAGTAGACGTTCCTTACTTTAATCTTACTAGGTTTACCCTTGAACTCCTTGTCCCACTAAAGCTACCTGCTCGACATCGACTCGTACCTTCAGTGACGCCTCTCACTGTCTGTAAACCCTGCTATCATCTCAGCGTAACCCCTCGTTAACCACCACGAGCTACGTTCGAGTACGCAACCTTTGCTTGTCTGTAAAGGCCGACAACTCTCAGCACTCGGTACCACTGTCGTGGTTGTCGCTGTTAGATTATCCTAGTCGCACACGACCGTTTGTCGTAACATAACTCCTGAGGCTGAAGCCTTAATTTGTGGATTTTTGGAACTCTGGCAAAAGATGGATGCAGAAGGCAAATGTGCGCCGGATTTACTGATTGAGAAGGAGAAATGGTGCAGGAGATGGAACAGAATTTTGATATGTTGGATCCGCTTTGATTTTTGGGTGTCCACACTAATTTCTGAAGGTATGAAGGTCGAAATTTCAGTAATCATGAAAACTGTGTTGGATAGGGGCGTCACACTTGTGCTATCTGCGGAGGAGATCACCAAGGGCAAAGAGCTGACTAAGCTCCATGATCACTTTGTGGAACAGCTTCAATTTGTCAAGGATGCAGCCACTCGTCAGGCCGTTACTCAAAATGCACCAGTGGATGTTTCGATGGACAGTGAGGGCAATGAAGAAGATGCAGACGGAGAATCCGAAGTTCTGATGAAGCGGCCGATGTGGGTCTGCAAGTCAAAGCAACCTGCGCCGAAGGTAAGTCCGAAATTTTTGCATTTTGACTTATGCTAAATCTTTCAGGATGATGAATCCGACGATGGGATAGTTGTTCATGATCCTCCCTGCAAACGCTGCAACAAGCGCAATGCGGAGTGCGTCGGACCCAAAGGTCTCAGATGTATGGAGTGCTGCAATGCTAAACAGGCGTGCTCCTATTCTCGCTCTGGTGGTAGGTCCTTCTCTTCACATTTTCCGATGTTTTGATGTTTTCTACTTAGCGCGCACCAAAGGCAAAGTGTCTGCACGTCGGCCGACAGCGGCTTCTAAGGGTCAGATCGCGTCTTCATGCAGATCCGAACCTCTGATTATGATTTCCGAAGGTGAGGACATGCCTTCCGCCTCACACATTTCCAAGGCGAAACCGGTGGCGATGCTGCTGACTTGGAAGAGGAAGTTGGTGGATGTAGAGGAAGAGGATTTCGCACTTGTGGACTCGGGTTTGTGCGGAGAGGACTTGGTTATGGCGGGTAAGCTTCGGAGTGTCTATGCGAAGTTTCGCACTATCCAGGGGCTGATGTCCGAACTTGCGAATGAGCTGGACATGATGTGGGCGCATGTCAACAAGAAGGCGCATTACTGAATACTCTTGTTTTTCAACATCTTTCTGCACTCTGTACCACCACCTAGCATTTCCTTTGACTGTACAATGTATCCAATGCATTTCCGAATGTCAAAGTGTGATGTCTGATGACTTATTCCGATGTCTGAAGATCAAAGTGTTGGGTCTGCTGGTCAAAGTGTTGGGTCTGATGTGATGTCCGAAATTTCTGATTTTGTCCTGTGTCCCTTGTGTCCCTTGTGTCCATGTCTCGTGTCTCGATGCTAGGTCATCCCCCACTAGGGTGTCTAATAAAAAACAATGAAAAAAATAATTGTAAGTGCGAAATGAAATTTCGGATATCATAGTCAAGGCAATACTAGGGGCGCAGATTACCATCTGACTTGACTTCATTGTACAACTTTTGACTTTCTTTCTTCGGGTTTGCGGGTTTTCGGGTTTCTAGATAAATATAAGGTCATGTGTGCGGGGTGCGGTTTGAAGATGAAAAGCTACATAAATAGGGGTTATTAGCACATTTTTCGGGTCTGAAATGTCTGTGTACTATTAGTGTTTTTGTAAGTGTGGATATATGAGAATAGTGGTTTTCATGTTATGAGATACGAAACACTGGTCGAAACCTGGGGTAAAACCTGCTATACTTGTATGAACATATGTGTGCTTTTTCGGACATTGTATAACCTGAAATTTTGGGTTTCGGACTATAGCTTTTTCCTAAGGTAACAACATTGTCGGCTTTCATACTGATAAAATGCGATCTGGGAATGTGATGGACAGGGGTATTGAAAGTGTCGGTAAACTGGATGATCGATTCGGATATTTCAGGTCTGATGTGATGGGTGACAGGAGAGGAGGATGAAACTATGATGGGAAACTGCGGGTGATAGGGGTATATCTTTGGGGTAATGGGAACATATGGTTTGGGTGTTTCGGATGTTAATGTGCGGACTTTCGGACATGAATTTTTGGACTGATACCTATACCAAAGAACATAACCAGTGAGCGATATAATGGAGAATGCTGCGGGAATGAGATTGTCAGTGCTTTCCAAAGAATGTGAAATGAGTTTGTGATCTAAAACTACGATGTCGATATCTGATATTTTGGAGAAATCGTCGGCCGATATTTCAGGTATCTCTGGTACGTCATCTCCTAGGGGCTTTAGCTCTGAACCTGATACATCTGATGTTAGTGTTTCCATTTCAATAACTTCTACCAATAATTCCAAATGTTCTGTCGATAACTGAACTGGTTTGCAAACCAGGTCCAATATTTTCGGGTTTTCGGGTTTTCGGATCTATCGGGTCTGTCAGGTCCACATTTTTCGGGTCGGGTGTACGGTCCTACATTCTGTTCTGGGTAGTATGACAAAATTTCGTTAGCAAAATTCAACCAAGATGTTCCTACTGATTCTGGGTAATCTGCCCATAGTTCCTTGTCATCGGATTGGTTATACCTGATAGCATACTGAATGACCTGAATGTCCGATAACTTGTTCTCTTGTCCTAGTCGGTCTACAGATTGCAAGAATGCAAAAATTGCATATGCATCTCTGGTAAACCTGGGGGCTGACATGTCAGTGCTGAATGGCATACCCAGGGCATCGCGTGAGATGTGGATAGTGCGGGAAAATATGTCGGGTCCGAAATGCAGGTTTGTCAGGAAGTCCTAAAAATTGAAATCACAAAAATAAAATAAAAATAAAAGAAACCCCTCACGGTGGGCTCCAGTTGTAGAGATACGGGCACTACACGAAGTAAGTAACCAGCAATATAAAAATGTGTTGTGGTCGTGCACAGCCTAGTCTGCTATACTTGCAAGACAAGTGTGTTCGACCCGAGGGGTTTGCTGTATGGTATTAGAATAATTAGTTATATGAAAAGGAAGATAGTCCGAAGTGCGGGAAACCGAGTCTGATGTCAAAAACGTCAGGTCCGATGTTTTTTGGTTTTGGGTTAGCAGGTTTGCGTCGGGTTGCATCGGGTTTGCATTGGGAATATAGTGAATGTTGGGGATAGCGAATGTCAGATGTTTCAGAGTGTTTTGGATAAAGAATGGATGATATTGCGGAATTCAGCTAAGAACTACTAAATATCGGATGACCTCCTCCTACTCGGAGGTAGAAAGGTAAGTAATAGGTAGGAGGTATGCGAAATATATAGTGTCTATGTAGAATTTCGGAGTGCTATAGGCAAAAGTAGTAGCACTGATTTTCAGGTCTGATGTCCTATGTAATAAGACACAATGTACTGTGGACATGTAATAACGCATTCTACAATGTTAGCGATGTGAAAAAAAGTAACTGCGCACCTAGTGGGGATAGATACAACTGGACAGGACATAGGGAGGACAAGTGCATGGGAAAATATTGGGTCTGATGCGGCTGAAACGTCGGGTCCATCGGACTAGCATCAGGTTCATTGGACTAGCATCGGGTTTAGTGGATAAACATCAGATTGAGCAGGTAAGTGTCAGATAACATTGGGAAGTGGTTCGAGTGCAATGGGTGTTTGACATGCATTGGGAATTAGCTGAATACATGCTCAGCGCGAGGCTGAGTGCTACAATGACCTACAACATAAAGATATCAGTTTGGAGCCTATAGCACCACTGAGTTGTAAACCTACAATGTGTCTCAACAAATGATGTGCAGTGTGGTGCAGAGATAGACTGCTTGAAGGATGCAAGTGATGTACTGGTGTGAATGTCATGGAGAACAACTGCACCTCAACCAGAGCCTGTGGCCTGGGGTGCAGTGGCACATAGGATGACTTCTTGCAGAATCATTTCAGCGATGCCTCAATTTGCATCAATGTTATTCGAAAGGATGTGTTAGTAGTAGATTACCTTGTTTACCAAGGTCACTCACAGCTTGTAATTGTGGCTGAAGGATAAAGTTATGCATCTGTGAGAAGTCCTGGCCAACTGTTTCTCATATAAAATATCTCCACAGAGGAATGTACTACAACCTCATATTTCTCCTGCAATGATCTAGGGACTGTGAGATCCTCTGTCTCTATGGTGTAATTCATCTTTGCAACCCTCTGAAAATGTCCCAGAGCCAGCCTCTGCCATAGCACGCACAAATGCTGAATGAGCTGTGGGTTCCTTACCACTGATAATCTCTGCATCTATTGACATCTGATGGATATCATCATTGTCTGTGGATCTGCATCAGTGTGTGCCATATGCTGTGTTGCTTTGGAAGTCACATTGGAGTCTTCTGCTCATCTCAGACTGTCATCTTGCTTGTAGATGTTGTTGAAGTCAAAGTTGTTGGTGTGAATTGCTGCTGGTCACTGCAAGGTGGCCATTCTCACTGCTTCCTTGACGATTCCCTCCAGCACCGGTGTGATCATGTCCACCATCTTTGTTTCCAGCCGCTCTTCCATGCCGGCTATCAACCTCTCCTCCAGCTTGCATCTGATGCAGTGTAGCACTCGAGCTTGCGCTAGGCTCGTATTCTGCTATTTTCTAATGCATGTCAAACACCTGTCGCACACAAATCACTTCCTGATGTTATCCGACACTTACTCGCTCAATCCGATGTTTATCTGCTAAACCCAATGCTAATCCAACAAAACCTAATGCTAACTCGATGAAAATGTCCTCCCTATGTCCTGTTCTGTTGTATCTATCCCCACTAGGTGTGCAGTTATTCATTTTCATGTCGCTAACATTGTAGAACACGTTATCACATGTCAGCAGTACTGCATGTCTTATTACATAGGACATCGGACCCGAAAATTATCACTACTACTTTTGCCTATAGCACTCCAAAATTCTACATAGATACTATATATTTTGCATACCTCCTACCTATTACTTTGCCTTTCTACCTCTAAGTAGGAGGAGGTCATCTGATATTAGTAGTTCTTAGCTGAATTCCACAAATATCATCCTTTCTTTATCTGAAACACTCTGAAACATCCAACATTTGCTATGTTCTTGACACAAACCCAACACAAACCCAACACAATCCGACGCAACCCACTAACTGAAAACCTGAAAACATCGGACCTGACGTTTTGACATCAGACTCATAATTATACCTTTGGACTTTGTTTCCTGTGCTTTGGACTATCTTCCTTTTTGTATAACTAATTATTCTAATACCATACAGCGAACCCCTCAGGTTGAATGCACTTGTCTCACAAGTATAGCAGACTAGGCTGTACAAGACCACAACATTTATATTTGGCTGAGAGCTTACTATGTGTTCCCTGCTCAGCCATGCACATCAGCAACTGCCAGTTGGTGTTAGCTTGAAGGAATTGAGGCAGTAGATCCTCTCCCCCCCCTGCCAGGGTGTCTGGACTAAGACTGTATATGCGGTTCTCCATCATCCTGCTGTGGCCAGCTTGAAGGGCCTCCACAGTATCTTCATCATCCTCCTCCAACAGCTCCTCTGCAAACCGACCTAGCTTGCATTTGAAAGCAGTGCTGATATAACACCACGAGTTGATGCCAAGATGGAAGCTGAGTTTGTCTATACTTTCCCTGGCCATGGTGGCAGACAGCTGGTCAGTGGTGAATAACTTGTGGTTATTCATGAAGATCTGTGTCTGATATAGCTCTTTGATTGATGGCTTATCTGGGTAGCAGATATGGGTAGCAACTTTGGTGAAGGGCCTGGTGAGAGTGAGGTCTTGGATCATGATGTCAGCCATGACTCCATCTATCGAGTGAGGAATGATCTTGTCTGAATCAGACAGTGCAGTGCCCTTATAATATGTTCTAAGCATGGTAAGGTTCTTTCCCAGCATGACCTCCAGAGTGTGGAGTATCATGAAATGCTTTGTTGGACAGGGAATCATGTTGTTTGCTGTCTTGATCAATTTTGTCATCCATACCAATGTGAGAATGGAGTGTATCTTCACTTGTAGTGTCACTCCCCTGGATGAGTGCAAGTTCCAACTCTGCCAGATCCTCTGCAAGGCTCAGGGAGATCGGAATCTCATACTTGTCACCTCTGTTTGTCCTCAGCAGCATGGCAAGGAGACCAATGGTGACATGCTCATATGACTTCATCGTTGTGGCTTTCTGGTGACATTGAAGAGGTGAGTTGTTGATTCTGCTTTGGATTGGGTCGGTTTAGTGTACACATATGATAAAAATGAGCAACTCACTCTTTTGCTAGATTGGAAGAGTTGAGTCGCTGCAGGATCACCTCATCTGTGGTGTCCAGCAGGACCAGGGCGCTCTCTAAATAAGCCTCCACTGCTGTTGCAAGGTTGGGCATCAGCGAGTTGTTCACCTTCAGTATCTCTATGAGCCTCCTCAGAGTCGCAACATCATGACCGGCCACATGTTTATGTCACTTGGTCATCAGCAGCCATGGGCTCACCATCTGCTTCTCTTGCGGTACTTGCTCCACTCTGATTACCTCCGCCATCTCCCATCACATCACATCTATGAGGTCCTGATGGTTCGACTGCGGCTCCTTTTTGTCAGCCACCCTCCAGAACATCTTACAGTCTGACCTGTTTAGCTGTTGCATCTTACAGAGAGACCACTGTTTTGGCAAGGGAATAGTGAGGTGGCTAGTTCTATAGTGCGTCTGCATTTATTTTTTCGACCCACACACGAATTCACATGAATGGCAAGTGATTCCTTGGTGCATCTTCAGACCCTTATAGACAGAGTGACCTTTGCCTCCTGTAACAGTGGTGGGAAGAGCTGCCTGTATCTCCATCATGGCGACAGCTTGAGAGAGCAGATCTTCTTTGAGTGTTGCTCTGTGGGCTAAATGGACTTTGACTATATGAGTCGAGATGTGATTGAGGGGGACGGCAATCTCACATATTTCGCAGCACAGGATATGTAGGTCTGAATTGACCACAATGTTGATGGTATTAAGGTAAGTGTGATGTAGCACTCTGTTCTTTGCTGCTGTTGCTGCTGGTCCAGATGTCTCTTTCTGAGTGAGAGTGGTCTGTAGTTGTTGTTGTCAGTGAGTTAGTATACATATATGCTGAGTGAGGGACTTACTAGATTGTCTTGCTAAGAGTTTGCATGACTTGCTGCTCTGGAAAAATCCTAGCAATTTGCTGGTAGCCGATGCATGATCAAGATTGAATTAAATATGCTTGCCTTGTGATGCTCTGATTGAGCTAGTTCATTGACATTCATGAATTGTTAGTATGAAGATGGCTGCATGCAATGTTGATCTGTTAGCATGTGTGTGTCTGAGCAATGCTGGTTTGGATAGCTCCCCTGGTGGGTTTGATACTCGGATGGTTCTGCTATGATGGATGTTCAATTCATGTCCAGAGGAGGCATGTGTGATGAGACTAAGGGACTTGCTAGGCTCAGTTGATAATCTATGGACTCTTTGTCATTGTTATCATTGGTCTGATCATGATTGATCAGCATGGAGGCATGCTCATTTTGTAAAGAGATGATACTTGCCTGATAAAGTTGAGACTCTACTGGCCAGATAATAGTGGATGCTTGATTTAGATTGATGGACTACAGATGTGGTAGTTAGTTAGTGTGTGTCATCATGATGGATGGCTCTTGCCTGATTTCTCATTGCTGAGGACTCAGTGCTTTTGCTGGTCTGGTCATCCTCTGTCAGTGTGCGTGTATGCTGATTTGAGCAACTTTACCTTTGCTGATGCATTTAGTTGACTGGTGTCCACTGCAGAGGACTTGCTACTTTTTCTGGTCTGGTCATCCTCTGTCAGTGTGCATGTATATTGATTTGAGTGACTTTACCTTTGCTGATACACTTGGTTGACTGACATCTACTGTAGAGGACTTGCTGCTTTTCTTTGTAATCATTAACTGTCAGCCATGCATGCATGCTGATTTGAGGGATTTACCTATCCTGACATGTTGGTCTGGTTGCCCCTTGTTAGCATATGCCTGCACTAACTTGATGGATCTCGAGTAACTCACCTTTTGTAATGTACTGGTCTGATTGTTTTTAATCAGCATATGTATACACTGGTTAGATGAGCATTGAGTGTCTTTACCTTGCCAGATGTGCTGGACTGATTAGCATCTTTTGAGGACTCGATCTGATCATGCTCTGTGAATATATGTGTTTGCTAATTTGAAGCACTTTACTTCTTCTTGTCCGATCCAGTGAGACTTGACTTTGGTCATGTGTCTTTTCAAAGTCTCAGAAGTGCTGAATGCTAATTTGAGATCTGTAGCAACACATTTTTCATCAGAGCACCAGCATTCAAATAAACCATCTGTGTTCTTATGGGCAGTGATGGTCTGACTGGTGGCTCTATAGTAGAATTTCTCAGTGTTAGAGGTGCATGACTTTCTATGGGTGCTGAAATCCTTTCTATTGAAAACCTGAGAGCAGGTGGGACAGAGGGGCATGCTGACGACAAGGATGATGGTGGTAGAAGTGGTGGCGGGCAATACCCACCAAAGCACCACCACAGCCAAATCCACACTGGCAGCAGAAAAAATCAAGACAATAGGTTTGCTCATCCTAAGGAACATATACTGATGTCAATACCCTCCTCTGAACACTCCTCTCAGATATCAGACGGGCAGGACATATAGCTGCTTGCACTGCAAAGGAGGAAGATGTCAGGCATGCAGTCTTGGCCCAGCTGCTGGAACCCTGTGATTGAGAATGCTTGGAGAGCTTGTTTACATTTACATACAAAGGGAAGGAACTCTAGCTGGCATTTGCAATACCATAATGTTTATACTAAATGGCTTCGATCCAAATGCACCTTGTTACGACTTCAGCCTGAGTGATTAGAGATGCGCCATTTGCTCAACCATCATTTCTTGTCTCACTCGCTAGATGCTCTCGCTTGTTTGGTCTTCAGTGAGAACCACTGTTTGTGACTAGGTAGTAGTGTCAAATTTCATGATCTCAGATCCCCCATACTCATTGCTTCTCCAGCCTTCATCAAGTATACCAGTTCATATAATATTTGTCTATTCACAATGCAGTATGGGAGCTACCCTGATGTTATCTATAGTGCACTACTTAATCAAGAAAACATGATGTCCAACATCTGAATATCATGATCAGCCAGAATCAACTGTCCGTCTTGCGCTCCATGAGGTCTCCAAAGACGGTCTCCTCAATATATGTTTGAGCTTATCAATGGCAAGGGCTATGAAGTTCCAAACAGTATTGTGCAGGGCGAGATCCTTGTACGGGTGCTGTATGATTTGCATGAATGATGCGACAGTAGCCTCTGGATTCAAGAGATGACCGATGATTATCGCAGGCGAGGGCTGAGTCACAGACAAGGATGTGCAGAGAGCATAAAGAACTCTGATTGACTCCAGCAGAACAGCCATCCCAATATCCTACCCTTTGACATAATTTGCCAGGACATTGACAGGGTCTATTCTGAATCTCGTAGGATCTGTGAACCCAGCACCTCCTGCTACCCGCACACATAGAGCTTGCTCGAGAAGACATGGTTTTGAGGAATCAGGAATGGACTGCTTATAAATGAGGATGAGCCTAGTGAGACTGAGGTGCAACTCCAGGAGGTAGATCAGACATCTGGCATCGCCATAGCATCATGAAGTGTAGAGGGTGCCGAGGATATATGGGGCAACTGCTATTGATGATACAAGTGGGTTGATAGTGTAGGCAGAGGGTGCACCGCAGGTATGACATATATTTATCGCTTGCAACACCCAGCAACAGAATACTGAGTTCCATCGGGCTGCAATGATAGTGATGGATGAGTGATATAATGAGTAAAAGATGAAACTTGCACATTTAGTGGATCACTGAGGGCCTGGGGTGGCTTTTCACATATAATGGTCCGTAAAGGAGTTGTTAGCACACAAAAAATGAACATTTGCAGGGATTGCATACATGGGCCTGAGCAAGGATGTGACACACCATGTACCACTCCTTGTAATTACACACATGTTCATCATACGCAGTGTTGATCTCAAACTCTTTGCGCAACAAGCTTGTCCATACGTGCCTCCAGTTGTTTGACACAGTGTTTGGACGCATCAAGAGCACCAGATGACTGTTAAAGCTCAGTGTCCTCAGCACGCAGCCAGGCAACTTCAGCTTCTAGTGTGTATGCTTTGGTGGCTTTGACAGCTTGGTCCTATGCACATGTGAATCTGTGGAGAGGTAGAGAAGATGGGTGAGATAACCTGATTATAGTGACAGGGACGTCTATGGGGGCATGGATAGCGGAACATATCTAAGTTGGGAACAACGACAAGAGCAGGAGTGCCTTGCCACCTATTGATGATAGTCTCAAGGAAAGTCACAATTTGGACTGTCTTACCCTGTGTAGAGTTCATGTGAGTAAAGACAAATGATGTTTGCTGATAGGCGTACCAGGCCCATCTCATCAGCAAGGATACAGGGTTGCAAGTTCCACCAATTGTCACAGAGCCAGTCAAAGCCATTCATCTGAAAGATCGTTAGCATGCCGGCTGGATCAAGAAACACTAAGTAGTAAACCTGGAATGGCATAAGTTGGAGTTAGCTGTTCTGACTGAGCTTGGGTTGATGTTTCTGGCAAAGGGCATGCTGTGTGTATCCATCCTTCACTCTGCTCTCCAGCTTCTTGATGTCCTTGTCTGATTTTCAAATGAAAATGTTCTGCAAGTCTATAAAGTGTTGGAAAGCTGCCTCAAATGCTAAGTAACCAGGCTCCTCAGAATGAGGGGGAGAATCCCAGGTTGCTATTTCGCCACTTGAGTTACACAGCGATAAATGAGAAGAAATATTCACCTTCATCATAGCCCAGATCACCCCATTTGATAAATACCCATGCAACATACTTGATGTCCTTGATGTCCAGCTCCGACTTATCAACAGTGTGCAAGAAAACATCTACATTCTCCATACAATCATCACTAGGTTGTTCACCTTTCAACTGCATTTTCACCAGCTGATCCTGGAGCTCCAGAGGCAATTCCAATTCCTCATTGCTCTCCACAACTGATTTCTGTTTACCTTTCTTTCTATGCCCCGACCGGTGTAGAACTTGGAGTCCTTGTAGCCTCGTAGAGGCTATTTTTGCAGTGTCCCTCAGGTCCTCACGCAGTGTGCGCTATCACTAACATGGCATGCATCTTTTCCATTGTCAGCTGACGGCTGCGGCTCACATGCACACATTGGCTCATGTCCGCTTTTCTTCGGCTCCGTTGCACATCCTTCCTCCGTTCTATCCATGTCCTCCACTTGTCCATTGGTGCATATTTTATCTTGTTTGCATTAGACTAACTATATTTCCGAAGCTATATTGCTTATATTTAGGCATATGCACGGGTGACGGGTGTGGGTCTGACCTTGCACCACCCGTACCCTCACCCATACCCTTGGCTCGGGTTGACACATGAAATGATGTTACTTCAGTCAATGTCAAGTGTTTGTTCAGTTGCAGTTGCCTCTTACTATCTCATGTTCATTCTCACCTCACTGTTTGTTCTCGCCTCACTGTGCAGTCGACTCGTGCACTATTGTGCCTTCACTACTGGAGCCAGCTCAACCTCGAACCCCACCATGATCATTATCTATCAGCGCCCTACACTACCTCAATTTATTGGCCCGTAGTTTCATCTCAACACTATTTAGGTACATCACACATGTAGACTCAACTCTGGATGGGGGACTGATATGTTCTTTTTCTTCAGCTTCATCCTTCATGACCGTAACATTACTGTTGCACTTCTCATTGTTGGTGAGGCCATCTGAATTCCTTTTCTTGTATGTGTTGGCTCATTAGCAACACCCATGTGAGACTAAGGACATAATCTGTCTTATACCATCACCTCTCTCACCTCTCCAGCCCAGGTCACCCTCATTCCTGCCCTTGGTCATGACCGGCCGCAACAACCTCAGCCATCCACTCCTGATCCATTCCAGGTCCCGCAAGTTCCTTCTCACTCTCAGACACCCACTCCTGATACTGGACACTTTGGAGTCAGGGACCCTAGGATTAGTAGGTTGATTGCTGGTGGTGAGCTGTTCTTTTCTTTGTCTTTAAATTCACTTAAGAATACAACTTTGATCCATAAATATACTTGTTCCTTCGTTATGCTGGACTCACAGCATCCACTCCCTGCACCCACCTTGGCAAACCACACACCTACTCCTTTCCCTGGGCCGCAACCACTGGCCAACCTTTCACTCGCCAGCACCAACCAACTCCTTCCTCACATCACCTTGTATGTATGCGGCCCATCTCCATCATACTCTCTAATGCATGGGATGCCATCAGTGTTCCCAATGCCCACTTACCCTTCGCAAGATCTCCTCATCTTCTTCCCTCCTCCTACTCTCATCTGTTGTCTGCACTCATCTGAGCCATGTCAGCAGTTGCTGACATGCACTGGGCATTTGCGCATGGTGTTCGTGGTGTTGGGAATGGTGTGGTGGAGCTCCGGCCCATTGTCTGCAAGCTTGGTCGAACCCGGTTTGAACGCGAACCTTTGTATCCTGCCATATGTCATTGTGTACCCACAGGGTATACCCATGATGGGTTGTACCCATGGTGCATTACCCTTGTACCCACAACAAAACCCAGACCCTCAGCTCGGGTGCGGGTATTCCTCAGAGTGCGGGTGTGGGTTAGAGTGCTGACACCCCAGGGTTTACCCATGTGGATCCCTACTTATATTCACGTTACTTGCGTTATGGACCCTTGTTACATATTACCGCTACCTACTCGGCTCCAAACAGTGCTTCAGTGCACTATCATATATACTTAGAGCCCGTTCAGCAACCGATGTTTGAACAAAATTTATGTTTATGTACAGATTGCGTTGGAGTGGCATGGAAGCCGTTTGTGGCGGAGTTTCAATGAACCCTACCTCCCAATCATGCCTTGCAGGAGCGAAAGATCTTATCAGTGAATGCAGATCATCTCAGCTGTAGCTGCCATCATCCTCTACACTCAGTTTCAACTCTTCATAATGACTCAGAGGGGCAAAAGTAAACCCAAAGCCCAGTGGTGTGAGGAGGAGGTCAATGCATTCCTGGTCTATCTTCAATTGCAGGTGTCAAAGATTGCTGGGACAACTTTCAAAGATGAGACCTTCAATGAGGCAGCAAAGAAACTTGTGGGACTTCAGAAGCAAGGCCCAGACAAGGACATGGTACAGTGTAAGAGGAAATGGCAAGCAGTACGTTTCTGTATCCTACTCCCTAGCTGCATCGCTAACTTATTATTAATACTCCTATAGTTGAAACAAATCTACAATGCCATCGAGAGATATCACAACAATTGATTGGGCTGTCATTAGGACAATGTTAATGGTGCCAATATTCAGGGGGAAGCGGCAGAACTCCAGTGGAACCAATTGATTACCACTAACAATTCCAACAAGGTACATTTGTGTTTATGATTCTGTCTACTAGTCACTTCTTATTTTCAGGTAATGAAACCTTTCAAAAACAATGGATGGAGACACTGGCAAAAGATGTCAGATATTCTCCCAAACAGGAGTGGTGCTCAGGGGGCAGCCGCCTACAATCCAGCTTCCTTGGCTGCAGGGGCATCAGCAGCTATTCCTGTCAATGCTGAGGCCGGTGGATCCTCCTTATCTGTACAAGCATCGGATGGTCCTATCACTGAGGCCAGTGGATCTGGACTTGAAGTCGCTGCTGTGCCACAAGCTGGATGGGACCAGATCAAGTCAGCCCTCCCATCCATCACTCCTGGAGTTGCTAGAAGTTCTATGAATGTCCCTCCTCCCTCCTCTTCTATTGCGCCCTCCAGTATGGGCAAATGCTTGCATTCCAACATAATTTTGTCCCCCAGCACCGCCCAAACTACAACCTCACTTGTAGATTCATCCCACGCCTCCAATGTCAACAAAAAGCCAAAGTTGTCGACACACGGTAAAAGTCAAGCTGGCCGCAGTCACAAAGGCTCTAGGGCTGCCAAAGATGCTGCCAGCACTGCCATCTTCATGAACCTGCAAGGTTCCATCAACAGCCTGACAGACAGCCTTCGCAAATCAGCATCCAACACTGACCAAAATGAAACTGGGGTGTTGGATGAAAGGCTAGAGGCTGTGCTTGCCATGCAGGAGAAGGAACTGATTTCAGAAGATGAGTCCGTTACCCTCATAAACATGTTCACAAGGAGCCCAGCAGTATGCTCCATCTACTTGGCTGCCAAGCCTGAAAGACGGATCCCCTACTTGCGATCTGTTCTTGACCAGGCTGCCAGGGGGGAATTTGGTGTGTTTTAAACGTTGTCATTGTCATGTTTTACTTTTTGTCGCACTCATTGCTGTATGTTCTCATTTGTTTGCATCATGTTACATGAACCTCACTTGTTGATATGCAGCACATTTTCATTTGTAGCGCTATGTACACTACAATGTTGTCATACTCCTAAGCATCACTTTCATTATCATCCTCACTCCCATAATATTGGTCAATGTCCTCGATGTCCTCTGGATCTTCATCAATATCTAATGAGTGAGTGATGTCTACCAAATTGCGCTCATGTAGGATGTTCTGGTAGTCCTCCCACATCTCTGCGGCCATGCGATCGTGAAACACATTCACATTTACATCATCGTCAACGATTGGATCAGTATCATCAGGACCACCTTGAGCAGGTTGGCCCTGATGGGTAGGGTTGTCATTGAATATAGCCCTGTGAGGGAGCGGCTCTTCGTCTGGGTCGTGAATGTGTATGTAATTGTGCAGAGCACACAGTGCCGCAGGAATGCGAGCCTGGACGGCTATCTTATACTCTGGCGACACTAAGAGAATGCGAAAGTGCCGCTTCATGATGCCGAAAATATGTTCAATAACATTACAAGCAGACACATGACGAAGGTTGAACAACTCTTCCTTGTTAACCAATCTAAAATGAGTATTGTTAGTTGAGATACACTGCAGAGATTAAAAGTCTTACCTGACGCTAGCACGACCCCACTCTGCTAGTTGGTACTGAACACTGCAGTGAGGAAACCAAGGTCTGCAAGAAGGTACTTTCCAGGCAGAACAACCAAGCCATCATGGTGGGCTACATCCCAAAGCCGAGCATCTGTTGCTGACTCCTCCCATCCAGTCAGTGCAAAGGTAAATTGAAGATCGAGGTCACAAGCAAAGAGGCAGTTTTGAGATACCAAACCTTTGTGGTTGTAGTATAGGTGGCAACTGGCTGAGGGAGGAAATGTGTGAATATGACTCCCGTCGATTGCGCCAATAACATCACGAAAGTATGGCCAACATTTTGGGTTATCGCGAATTGCACTCAAGACTGGTGCATTGGCAGGAGCGGGGAGGTGGACATATTCTGTGTAAAAAGGGTGGGATGTGAAGATGTCTAGCATTTTGCGAAAATACCTATGAGAGTATCAGTACCAGCGTGAGTGTGAGTGTGAAATATAGATCAAAATACAAACTTAGAGATGGTAGCATTTGAATGCTGGAATCGTTCTGTGACGTGTCTGACAGTTAATCCTGTCACACACATATAAAGAAATATGGATAGCTGTTTTTCAAGTGAGACATAACATGAATCACAGTGACCAAGGGTGCGAAGGTCCTCTATCAATTTCTCGAAGACCTCAATATTGACGCCAAGCTCGCAATGAATGTGATCGGGATGGCCAAGGATTAGTTCAATCACCCACTCTTGCCCTGTGAGGGCTGATGTGTGATAGGGCTCAGGTTCATCAGTGTCCTGCATGAAGACATGCACTGCGGCCAGCAGGAGGCTGAGGATGAGCACAACATAATGAATGATACGATGCCGAAGCTCAGCACAGTGAGGCCGGGGGGGACGATTTTGTTCCAATATTGGACGAACAAGCAGGACTATGAGTGGTCGTTGTAGGTTAAAGCGGTTATGAATAGGCTCATCTGCATCCATAGCTATTTAGATTATCGTCATAAATGTTATCAATGTTATCAATGTTATCGGCCGCTCACTCACTATTCAGACTGAGCTTGAATTTCGGTAGCGTGTGCCGACCGATAATGTTTGATTTTGCGAATTTTTTGTTCAAACATCGGTTGCTGAACAGGCTCTTAGTATTTGAGAATTTACCAGACCCCCGCTCGCAGTTGACATCTCCTCCATCAATCCTCCTTGTCAACTACCGCTAGTGGTGCAGCCTTGTACATACCACCCTACAATGTCTACGTCATTGGTAGTCGTAATTTTACGTTGCATCTTGATCTCACCCAGCAAACCAAAGACACGAGAATTTGGGTTGGTTCATGATTAAAATTTCATCATATGTGAAGGACAACACGTTGTCAAGGTGATGCTACACTACACGCCCAACTTCTGTGTGGGAGAGGGTAGCTGACACAAGGGACATGCGGATGAAGAAACCAAATGTGGTGTATAGGGATTCAGAAAGCGCTGTCCCAAGGAATGCGCTCGACCGTAAGTGTCGATGTGTCGAGGTTACTACGTCCGTCGGTGCTGATGTCCGTAGGCTGTAGGGAGCGAAAGCGCGCGGAGAGGCGGAGGCAGAATTCGGAGCAGCTAGCTCGGTGATGGACGGCTAAGGGATCGATGTGAACATGGCAGAACAGCACAGAATAGGCATGCACGAGGACGGCGAACTTCGACTTGAGAGTGTCGATTAGGAGGAAATACGCTTACCGAGCGGTGGCTGCAACGTTGAGGTCTCTGCCACTGATGTAATTGATGCGTTCAGGAATTCACTGCACACCCTATTGGTAGCCGATCACCCCACAGAAGTTGGGACTCGTGCAAATGTCACTGGTCGAGGACGAGTCTAAAGTGGCCGGTCTGAGTGAAGGTCTGTGTCTGCGGCCAGGTCTGGGTGCACATTCAGCACACGTGGTGGAGTTTGAAGTCGTCAGTGGCTAAGATTGGGGCATGATATGATTAGATAAATTACGCCGAGGCGACCTTAAATGAATGAGCACAATCAGATTATTACTACACAGTGAGACCTTGAGGAATGGACGCACAGCGATCAGCTAACTAAACCAGTGTATGATAACAAAATGTCCGAGTCATGCACGGAAAATATTCAACGGATACCACCAGCAAAAACGAATGAGCCTGCGAAGGTGATACTGATGTTGACTCTTCATGGCTGCTGGCTCAGATCTTCAATATGTACCAGGAGCCATGGAGAGCCAAGATCGAGGTAAATGATGACAAACTATTTGGATAAAGTTCGGACCGGCTAGTTCGTGACGACGGACAATCAAATGATTAAACCAGCAGTACCGTACAGCTGGCCGCATGCCGTACAAATAGAGTTGTGATCATGCAAGCGGGCCCACGTTCATTCAGTCACTAGGTTCATACCAGGTTGCTCCCTAGTAAAATAAACCAGTGGGAGTTCGATTCGTCGTCACACCAACCAACTACTATGTCGTCTTTCACTTATCAGTTCGACACACCGAGCTACAAGGGCACCTCAACGGTCCCCACTGGCCTATTTATCAATGGAAAGTTTGTTGAACCTGTAGAGAAGGGCACGATTGAGTATGTTCTTATCTTTACCGCACTCGGCGTCTACCTTATCATTTGACTTAGAGTTGTGAATCCGGGTAGGTCAACTAGCCTCTCAGACCTGATCAGCTTTGACAGTTGATGCAGTCAATGGAAAGGTCATAACCTCGGTCGCAGCTGGCACCGCTGCAGATATCGACATTGCCGTTCGGGCTGCAAGGAAGGCTTACAAAGAGTGCTGGGGCTTGAAAGTCCCTGGTGTACAAAGGGGCAGAATGCTCAACAAACTTGCAGACCTCCTCCAAGCCAACGCTGACGAATTCGCTGCCTTGGAGGCTTTGGACGTAGGTAAGGTGATACTTCAGCTATATATGCTAGCTTGTGATGTGACCCTATGTGCAGGTAAAGCTTTCAGGGTAGCTCGGAATGGTGATATTCTTGCTTCTATCGGTGCCCTGAGGTACTATGCGGGATGGGCGGACAAGATTCAAGGGAAAACTATCGAGGTTAGAAAGGCTTGACATGTCCCCTTTGCGATAATTCTAATCTATACCCACCTAATAGACGAACGAAAAGAAGCTGGCTTACACGCGTCACGAGCCCATTGGAGTGGTGGTTCGTACTCTCATTTTGTCACGCGGTGAAGGTATGCGAACTCAGCATCTTGCAGGGCGCCATAGTTCCTTGGAACTTCCCTCGTATGTTCATTTAATCCATATTCAGTGAGCGAATAACGACGGTGAATAGTCACGATGTTGTCGTTCAAGATCGGCCCAGCTCTAGCAGCAGGAAACGCTGTCATCCTGAAACCCTCTGAACTGACACCATTGACTGCGCTTCGTCTCTGTCCTTTGTTTGCTGAAGCGGGATTCCCTGATGGTGTCGTCAATCTTGTCAACGGCTATGGTAGTATCGCTGGTCAAGCCCTCAGTGAACACATGGACGTCGACAAAATAACTTTCACAGGGAGCACACTGACTGGGCGCAAGATCATGGAAACGGCTTCCAAGACTAATTTAAAAAAGGTCACTCTCGAGCTTGGCGGTAAGAGCCCCAGTGTCATATTCAACGATGTAGACCTGGAGCAGACCGTAAAGTGGGCCTCACACGGAATATTGTATGTCACCTGCATCGTAGCCGAACCCCTTGCTCACTTTTCATAGCATGAATCATGGACAAGCGTGCACTGCGGGTTCCCGCATATTCGTCCAAGCAGGGATATACGATAGATTTTTGAAGGCGTTCACTGAACATGCCTTGTCTTTGAAAGTCGGCGATCCGTTTGCGCGAGACACTTACCAAGGTCCACAAATTTCACAGACACAATTTGAGGTGAGCGCCTACCTAATAATGTAGTGAACAGTTTTGCTTACTTTTTATCAGCGGATCATGGGATACATCAAGTCTGGTAAAGAGGACGGTGCAACCGTTCATATCGGTGGAGAACGTCATGGGAACGAGGGCTATTTTATTCAACCGACCATTTTCACGGAGTGCAAGCCGAATATGAAGATCGTGCAGGAAGAGATATTCGGTCCCGTGGCTGCGATCATCAAGTTCACCACGGAAGAGGGTGGGCACATCCCATTATGGATGTATCCGAGTGTTAACAGAGTATCATAGAGGCCATCGAGCAAGCGAATAATACTGTGTATGGCCTTGCTTGTTCTGTCTTCACCAGAGACATTGACAGGGCGATTCGAGTCGCGCATAGTATCGAAGCTGGTACCGCATGGGTGAGCACGAGCATATTAGCATTAGGACTGCTAATGATTCGATGGACATAGATAAATTGTCACAACTCCTCTGAGTTGAGCCTTCCGTTCGGTGGTTTCAAACAGTCAGGCATTGGGCGTGAGCTTGGCGAATATGCCTTGGAACAGTGAGCCAAGACATGATGGTATGGCGACTTCTACTGACGTTTTGTTCCAGCTATACAAACCTGAAGGCTGTTCATGTTAACATTGGACACCGTCTTTGAAAGGCAGAGATTGAAATATCATCTAAGTGATGTCTGTTAAGAAAACGAAGTCCCAGAAAGCGAACTTAAAATGACTCGATGTATCTATGCTACCATTTCTAATGTACAACATTCTGTCTCTAAAATCTGTGGAATATGGCAGTATTAACCACAGTGCCATTCTACACTTCTGTCTTTACCATTTAACAGCTCCAAACAGT